TTTCAATCCTGAACGCGGTATGGAAACCCACACTTACACCGTCCTGCTCATCAATCCTCTCGCCAGACCCGGAACCTCCAGCACCAGCCTACGACGATCGTTGGTCGGTTTCAATCCTGAACGCGGTATTGACCCCAAACTTACCGTTTCCTGCTCATCGCCCTCCTTGCCAGACCCTGAACCTCCAGCAGGAGCCTACGGCGATCGTTCGTTAGTTTCAATCCTGAATGCGGTATCGACCCCAAACTTACCGTTCCCTGCTCATCGATCGTGTCGCCAGACCCGGAACCTCCAGCACCAGCCTACAGCGATGGTTGGTTGGTTTCAATCCTGGACGCGGTATCGAAACCCACACTTACCCCGTCCTGCTCATCAATCCTCTCGCCAGACCCCGAACCTCCAGCACCAGCCTACGGCAATCGTTAGTCGGTTTCGATCCTAGACAGGGAATTGAAACCGTCCACACTCACCGTCGTCTTTGCCTTCTTCGCCGGTGGCCCATCCTTCTCCTTGCTACCCCCGTCTTCTCGCTCACCCTCCTCGTCCGAATCGACAAACTCCCGACTTGTAATCTGGAAAAAAGTGGGTCAATGCGGCCTGATAGCACGGTCAAGTACTCACCTTTCGCTTGGTGCCCTTGGCCTTGCCCTTCCCTTTGGCTGCTGACCCCATCCTTCCCCCTTCCTGGGCGGTCGCCTGCTCCTTGGCCTTCTCCCTTTCCGCTGCCCGCTGCTTCCTCGCCTCTTGCTCCTTCGCTTTCTTTCCCGCCGTCTTGGGTGTGCGCGGAGTCGCCTTCGCCGACGACGATCCCGCTTTTGGTGGCTGAAAAAAAACGAAAAAGATCAGCCACAAACAAGTGGAGGTGGGGTTGGGCCTCCAGAATGGCTCGAAAAAGTCGAGCCCACACTGGAGGTCGCGTGGAGAACGCACCATCGTGTGCGTTCGTTCGACTTTAGTACTGGTAAAAGGGAAGGCCGGTTGAGTGTAGGGCTGGATAAGTGAGAAAAAAAAAAACTCACCTGGGTTGATAATCGCTTTTGTAGAGTCTTTGCGGTGGATTTCCACTGGGGAGCGATTAATACACTCGCTGGGATGGTGGAGGGAAGGAAGAATGAATGAATGAGGTAAAACTTGAGCCACCCAAGACATTAAATGGGTGGCTGAGCTGAGTCAGGTATGATCGAAATTGTTTACCTTCCGCCATGGTAACAAGCTCCCATTCCACAGATCTCTCAAAAGCTAATCGCGATCCAGACCTTTCCTTATGACGTTTCGATAGAAAAAGACACCGCATAAAATGGTGAAAAACCAAGGGTGCTAGGAGGTAAGCTTTCCTCTGGGCCAAGACCTTTCCGGACCGATCGTACCTGCCTTATCGGGTGGCGATGGCTCCAAATCGGGGCTCGTTCGAAAGGTCTGCACCTGCCAAAAAAATGGGTAGTTGCCCGATGACAATCGCGACATAATCGGGTTGGAAAAAGGCGGTAGAAAGCACCGGGTCCGCCTCTATGAGGTAGATTCAGGTAGGTCATATCTCGTTCGTCCTAGCACTAAGCCAATGTATATAGAAATTGTAAATACAATGCATTATATTCTATCAATACATCCCTGGTCCTAACCCTTGAAAATGCGAGGAAGAGGATGGGGAGGAGGGACGGGGGGAAGAGGTTCCCGGAGTAGTGTCCGCATTTGGCCATCCAGTGCATAGCGGATCAGTCGATCGGGTCCCACTTACCGGATTGGGCCCGGGACCTGATCGTCTTTCCTGTTTTGGAACCAGGTCGACAGTTCAGGTGGTTTCAATCCTTCGAAGAAGATAGAAACCAACGGTGGGGGTGGGTTACAAGGGAGAATGAGGGGTAGGAGGAAAACTTTGTGGCTGTACGGCCATCACTGAACGAGGATCCGTGGTGAGGGAGAGGGATGGTTTCTATAGTCGGTCGGGATTTGAAACCATGTGCTTAGGGACGTACCTGGACACACAGTGTCTACGTTTCGTAAAAGTGCAGCCCCCTCAGAAAAATGCCGATAAGCAAGGTGTAAAACCTTGTCCTAGCAAAATGCTTAAAACAGATTGAGAACGACAAATACTAATCGCGGTTATTATAAGCTCTCCTTGACTGCTTGTACCTCCTATCTACGTCCTAAAGAGGCGCCTCCAGATTCTGAATGCGCTCGTTTCGAGCAAGTAGCTTCCGCTCAGCAATATCTGCCTCCTTCAAAGCGGAATTCTGGTCGATGAGCTGGAGTGAGATGCGAGGGCTTGCTATGGTGAGGAGGTACTCAGTAGTGTGGGTACGACGAACGGACGGTGTCATGGTACCAAATGGTTTCAAAACTTGGAACCAATTGGAAACCACGGACGACGGACGACGGACGATGGCGGATGATGGCGGACGACGGATGATGGCGGACGACGGACGATGGCGGACGACGGACGATGGCGGACGACGGACGATGGACGACGGACGATGGACGGCGGACGACGGACGGACGATGGCGGACGACGGACCCCGGACGACGGACGATGGACGGCGGACGACGGACGGACGATGGCGGACGACGGACCCCGGACGACGGACGATGAACGGACGATGGCGGACGATTTAGTGTACGATTTACCGAAAAATTCGTTTTTTTTTGGTACGACGGGACGATGAACGGACGATGACGTCATTTTCCCACGGCGGACGACGGACGACGTCGTCCGTAAACATGGCCATGTTTTTTGGAACATAATATTAGGGTTTTGATAAAAACCAAACAAAACCTATTTATTTCAACATCTATGTATTGTATCTTACTAAATAACTGCTGTATGTGCAATAAAGCACATAAAAATATCCATATAGACTGCTATAACTAATGGTTAGTGCCAAAATACTTAAAACCCTTGGTCAAAACCCTCAGGGTTGGGGGGTAAGGGTACTACCCCTGCCCCTCAGTCGGGGGTAGGGGTTTTGGGGGGTGGGGGTAAGGGTAGGTGTCCGGCTACCCGGGGGTTACCCCTGTCCTTCCCTAACCATCTTCGCGTTTGATTCTGTCATCCTGTCGAACACGCTCTACCCAAAACGACTCCAAGAGCACGGATTCTGGAGCCCCAGGTGCGATCTGTACTATAGAGGAGCGCGGCGAGCTGAGAACAGCTTTGCGGGTGGCAACCTGCAAACGATCGCGATAGGGACCAAGCGTGAGAGACCCCCTTTGGAAGTCATTCCTCGATTGAAGCACGTGTTCTCCCATGCCAGTCTGCGTTTAAGCGCTCAAGGTATATCGAGCTTTCCCGTTTTGAATGGAACTAAAAACGCGCTGGTACACAGGATTCGGAGCGGGCAACCCCAACCTCAGTCCATTGGAATCCAGAGCACCCAATGTACAGCACACAGCACCTGGTTCGTCTTTTGTCAGCCAGAGCGAGAAGAAGAAAATGTTACACTCACTTATCTAAAGAGGAACGAGCGCAAACCATGTCCTCGACTATCTTACCAGCGACAACTTGTTAGAAGAGTCAAAAAAGCGAATCGGACACGAGTGGTGTTGTTTGGGTTTGCTGTCCTACAGCTTCAATGGACACAGTTTCAACGTTTCAACTCTCAGCTCGACGAACTTGACCCGTCGAACTTTATGCTGAACTAGCCACACTTCCGTCCAAATCGAAACCTATAATACATCATTTTTGCAATCCGCCACAGCAAGTCGAGCGAGTTAGTAGTAATAATAACAAGGCTAAGAGGGATAATAGTACGTGGTTAATAAAAACGAAAGCGGGGTCAGTAACTCGATTGTGCGTAGGGCGAGTGTCCATGGATAACGACGAACAGTGTGCGACGAACGATAAAATAAAACACACGAAATAAAATAATAACGAGCGCAGAAACGACGAGAAAAGAGAGGGGGAAAAGGAAAGAGGGAATAAGAACAACCAACTAAAACGATAACGGCGTCATCGACGAAAGCAAAGGCGGTGGCGTAAACGGAAAGAAAAGAGTACCTCAACTAGAACCCAACACGCTCACCTCCACCGCCCATAGGCACAGGCAACGGCGGAGCAACAATCGGGTCCACACTACCCAATAGGGACTTGCGACTCCCATTCGACCTCTCCCTCTCCCTCTCTCTCGACCTCGATGGTCGATACCGCCCACCCCTCCCCGAGGACACACTAAACCTCGTCGTATCATCCACTGAAAGCTTCTTCGTCCTCGACGCAGTTCCTACACCCGCCATACCCCCTCCCCCTCCTAGCGCCGACGAACCAAACTCATCAACATACCCTCCACTCCCACTCCCCAAACCAGACTCATCGACATCGTTCGACGACGAACCGAGGTAATATGACAACCCAACCTCCGCCCTCCTCCCCCTCCTCTCCTCCTCGTGCTCCCCATCCCTCCCATGATCACTCTCCATCCCCGACAAAAGCGGTACAACAGTCGAACTCTGCTGTCGATGATGCAGCCCCGCCCTCGATTCACGTTCCGGCGAATAAGCCGCATTGGACGAGTACACCGACGGCCTCGAATACCCCGACCCTCTCGACGGCGAATCCGAGCGGTCCCTCGTATGCTGATGCGTCCTCACGCGCGAAAGGGGTGTCAAGAGCGGTTCAGATGGTAACGTCCCAGTACTCGGCACCCCACCACCCGACTGACTCCCCCCTCCACCACCCGCACTCGACAACAAACCATTATCCGGCAGAATCCCACTATCAATCCTCGTCCGCTGGCCAAACGCCAACGTCTTCTTCGACGCCGCGCTCCCCACAGCCCAGGGCAGACCCGTCGTCGGATCCCATGGATCACCGAGCTCCTCCTCATCGTCGCCAAAGCCGTCCTTTCCAGGTTGAGCACGGTCCAAGGACTGTTGAGTAGCAAACACCGACCCCCTCTCCGTTGGCGTCACATCGTCCTCCTTGTTGAATCCACGGCTCGAACGAAGCGTATCACCCGACATCTTCGAATGGTTGTCCCCGCCTTTCGATCCATCCGCCAGCGAGTCCCGTAGCGTATCGCCAGTACTAGGCCGGCCCTCTCCACTCCTCCCACTCCTCAACGTATCACCACCACCCGCACTCCCATACACACTCCCCCTCTCCTTCGTAATCCTCTCCGCAAGCTGATACCCCCCAACATCCATCCCCAACATCGTCGAACCCATATACAACGCCCTCTTCGTATCCTCCACCTCTCCTCCCTCATCTCCCCACCCTCCTCCTGCTCCTGCTCCACCTCCACCGAAACCCTGCTTCTGCCGCCGTCGTGCAGCCCTTCGCTGCAAAACCCACCGCACAAAAAAGAATATACAACAAAGCGCAAAGAACCCAAGGAGCGCGATGAGGACGATAATCCCCGTACTGAGTTTCTTCGACCCTCCTCCTCTCTCGGCGCTGGTCGGATTCCGCGTAGACCCGTCCGTCGAGTTCGAAATGGGCTTGTTGAGGACACGGACGGTCGTAAATTCGTCGAGCGCGATGGAGGGGTCGGTTATGCTCAGTAGACCCAACCGGGGCGTAATAATCGACGTCGGGGGCGGCGTGGTAGTCGAGTTGCCGCTGTCTTCATCTACTTCGTCCGGGTCGAAAGCGGGCGTGAAGGATCCATCCGAGTTAGGCTGTGCGTACGCCATAACGGTGTAGACATTCCTCATAAACGGCACCCCCAGAATCATATCCGCGATCGAGTTGGGTCGCCCAAGCTGCGCATCCGCGACTTGAATCAGCCCAATACAAAACGCCGCGCGGTTGTTATCGGGTGGGTCAGCCGTAAGGTCCAGCGGATGCAACGGAATTTCTCGTCGATTGTCGAGTCGGAAGGTGATATTGAGCGGCTGGTTGCACGGGACGTAGTACTGCCCATCGTTCGCCGGGCTCACCCCAATCGCACCATACAGAGCATTCGCAATCTCCGAACTGGTGAAAATAAGCGGGACACCAGAATCCAATATCGCAGTTGGAAATACCGCACCGTTCCCCGAGCGCGGTAAGTCGATATCGTTCGGCACACCGTCGACATAAACCGTGATCGAGCGCACGGTCGTCTTCCAGAACAGCGTCCCCACGCGTTCAGCGACGAGTGTCGAGTACTCGATTAAGCTCGGGTCGGGTACGATATCTTCTGGGTGCCGTCCAATTCCCATTAGCGATGGTACGCGGTTTGAGCCTGGTCGGCCCAGGGTAAGGGAGAGGAAACGAGACGCAGGCGCGTTGCGAACAGGGGTGATGGAGAAGAGGTTGGATGCCCACGCAGCGCCGTCGGGGTCGTTCGTAATAACCGGCGGTATCCGTTCGGCGATGATCGAGTTCAGAGGTAGGGCGATACCGAGTATACCATTAAAGTTGGGCGCGAGGGGTTCGTCTTCGACGATATTGGCCGCAGCTGCAATGAAGAACGACGTCAGTCTCCCACTGCTCGCGAAAGGGGGATGATATGACGCACAGAGAGCTTGGTTCTCAATCGAGTACCCTCCCACAACCACCCGGTCCCAGAATATCGGTCCTTCTACGTGCCCCCTCAGATAATCAATCTCGAATCCCACACCCGTCGCACTCGCTCCACTCGTCGACGGATTGTACAGCCTTCCTCCGTTTTTACCACAACTAGACGTCGAACATGACGTTGAGGATATCCACTAGAGGGGAAGTCGTTAGCGACGGGCGAAGGAGTGAGGCAGGGGTGGACTGACGAGGTCCGAGGAACCCGAATCGACTTGAAGTGAGAACGTTTGCTGGTTATCGCGACCGACGGTGAGCTTGACGACGTAGGCACTGGAGTTAGAAGATTAGCGACAATAGGAGGGGTGATGAAAACGAATTATCATGGAAAAGGAAGTTTAAGACGACGAGGTGGACTGAGAACGAGCGCTTCATTCCTTCGACGAAGAACGACAGCAACTGCGACCCATCCTCTTCGACGAGGGGATTCAAGATAGACGACGTACACTTCAAATAAACCACTTCCAACCATCTCCAAAGGTACCAGAACACCGTCCCTCCCTCCCGGACCTTCCAACCCTTCCCCTACCTGCCTCGCCTTCCCTTTCCATCTCCTCGTCGAGTTAGCGTATAACGATTCAGCGAATTCCGTCGTAGGCGACATCCTATCGTCCTAGTCGAGTCGAAAGCGTCCCAAAGTCGAGGTAATAATCCTCTGCGGTGAGTCGAGAAGTATGAACCGTGTGCGGGGTGTCAAAAGCCGTCCAAAAGAATGTTGCGTCGTGCGAATCGAATCCAAGTTCCAAAAACGAGCGTAATGACCGCTTTCCAGGCGGTCTAGGTATGTCGAATAACGAATTAGTCGAAGTTGAACTTGAAGATGAATGTCGAGCGTCGTTGGCTAAAAAAAGTGACCGCGAATGTTCTAGCGCCGAATTAAGGGGGTTGTGTGGGGTGGGCGTCGTGATGCCAATTCCAATTCCAGCCTAAACACCCCGCCTGAATTACCTCGTTCTGTTGTCCCCGACAAACAGACGAAGAGAAAAGAGTAGGATATGTTTCGAGGCGGACAGTGCCGGCGTTTCGGTTAGAGGGACAAGGAGCAGGGGAATGACAAGAGGAGAAAAGGGGCCCCTGGAAACAAAACTTGGTAGGCTTGGTGATTTGATGCGAATCACATTCGCAGGCCAAGCAATCCCCTGGAATAACGAAACCCTGCATAAATCAAGCTTCAAAGTTAGCTCGAACACATCACTAGACGAAGGCTGAGCTTGGAGCCATTCATAAAAACATACCAAATCGTAAACGAAATGAAACTAAACCAGCTATCTTGGGGGTGATATCTGGTGATATTGTTCAAAGGCTTTGCGAGCGTTCATCATCTAATGGAACCGCGTTGAATGGGGGAACACGTACCTGCGTAAAGAGAGAGTTATGCTCGCTTGGAACAAACGTTCAACTGTGCATGAGGTCAACTCTTCAGCACACCTGCACCGCTAAAGTTGGTTTCAAACGCCGCCTCAAATCCCCAGTGCCGCGCACACTGCCGAACGGAGACGACGGCGATTATCTCAGTCTGGACGGCTTTCATCTCCAGTACTTAGCTCGAAAAGTCACCAACGAGCGTTGGCTTCGCATCTTGGCTTTGCTGTGCTCCGCGAGTACAACTCTGGAAACAAAGGATACAATGATAATCATCCTCGTAGGCGACTCTAATGCGATCCATCGCGGAATTCGACCCAGGTTCCCCTGCGCCACTGACCATTACTGGTCTACTACTGATGTACGTCGTACAGCCTATCAGGAAAAGAGAAATGCTGTGGGAGCCGTGGCCCCACGTCCCCCACACCCATCCACGCCCTCACAACACGGTGTGGGACTAGACGGGGGTACGAAATTTCACAATCGGTTGTGGCGCCACGACAGCACTTGTGTGACCATAATGCATGGCCATCCACAACATACCACACCTTGCCACGACAATCCACATTTCATTTACATGCACGGTGTAGGCGAAAACAAACATAATATATTCAGAAATTGGTGTATGATACATGCGAGAGTATACATCAAGGTTTCTACGGGTTGAAATAATAAATCCGAGGCCCTAAAAACGTACTGGCAGACAGTCGACAGATCGACGGGCAATCCAAACATCCTACGAGCCATTGGGAATAAGTAGAAATAAATATCGGGACACATCCGACATACCTGCTGTTAAAAAGCCCTTCCTCCAACCCGCATCCAACCAACGTCTATACTGGCGAAATCCGGAAATCTGAAGAGCCTCTACGCAAGGGTAAGGATGCATTATCCGCAAGAAGCCGCGGAGCACACACCTTTCGCTGAATCTTAACACATCGGAGCCTCACGCTGCTACTTTGTAAAGTTAATGGCAAGTCAATTTGGGCACCAGATCAAGACGAGGAATCAAGTACTTGCCACCGTATTCCAATCCCATACGTCCCATATGTCTGCTGCGTACTAGAGTTCAAGCCTGCACATAAGTTTATAGCTTAAGTTTGAGAGATCTGAGATTGGAAGAGGATGAAGGATGGTGGTGGTGGTCAAGCCGAACGACGAAGGAACGCGACAAACTTCGAACAGGAAAAATCAACATATGGTCATGTGACCGCGTCAAACATGCGCAAATCGAGATCCGCGCCTGGAATCCACTAAGTCGCGAGTACTATCCCTTTGTGAAGTCCTGCATCCAAAATACTTCATTCTCAAGAATAAACAACGTTCCTGGGTCAAATTTGGCCAGCATATATGCTACAGCCTCTTAAAAAAAAAAGTACGTTGTGGCAATATGTGGATTGTGGAGGGCGTGAACGGGTGGGTGGAGGGCGTAGACTAATGTGATGGCTTATCAGCCACGGGCGCCACGACCTCCACACCCTCCACAGCGAATCTCTTTTCCTGATGAGCGACCTCGACGTCGGAACATCGTGAGGCATAGGTCTTGCGATAAGGGACATTTCCCTCCAAATTGGACACTTGGGCGACGTACCTGGCGTTCTTGTCCCTACACAAGATTCGGATGTCCTGAGTGTCACTTAGTTGGAGGCCCGCATACCATTCACATGAGAGCAAGCTGTACCGTCGGGAAAACAGCCGTCATATTGCCTACATGGAGCTCTGGAGTCGAATCGAACAATTCTGGTCTAATTGCCGAGTTCCTGCGCACTACGTCCATTTGGAAATACCAAAGCCAACCGGCGCAACCAAACTGATCGAGGCTTGGAATTCTCCGGGGTACATACTGCGAGACTCGAGAGAAGTGGGAACACGAATGCGGCAGATGTGGTGTGGCAGTACACAGTAGGGATGAGAAGGTCAAGATCGGTGAATACATTCCACTTTTCCGTTTGAATCTTGGATCTTCTCCGTAGAATGCTAGATATGTCCTTCCCTCACGCGACGGGCCCGAAAGAACAGGAGATCGGATTCCAGAATTGGGTACGAGAGCGCTCTGTCTCCGGTATGTCGTATTTTTTCGTTCCAAAATTTTTCCCATACCTTGAAGCATTACCCAGACCCTACGCCACAGGCCATCGCCTTCCCCCCTCGAACGCTCACTCCTCAGCGGTATGTGGTACATTCTCTCAGGGCCATACGAACTTTCCATCTAGTGAAATGCACGCTGGAGAGCCAGTCAACCATGACATTCGCAACGTCGAGTTCATCGCTTCTCTGCAGTAAGAAACTCATACCGATTCCTTTTGATAGAAGCCACCCAAACAGAATTCCCTTCCTCGATGATGCAAAACGTCAACCTCTTTCTGATCGCTGACTTGTCGGCTAACAAGGGTGTGAGTACTCGAGTACATGTGAGCACAAAATTCACACTCGGTCAACCTCCCTTTTCCTTTTGTTTACATACATACATACTCCTCACCTCGGGCTATGTAGCATGAGCTCCCCAAACGAGATAACGAGGATCTTCCTTTTCGCTCTCACCGGTCCAGGTCACGTAACTCTCCTGCGTCGGTTACAACCGTTGCGATCGCACGAAGGAGGAAAGAGATAAAGGTGCACGAAAGGAATGCTCGCAAAAATCACCTTTCCCTTCTCCCAAACTCTTTTCTTTTGGCGACGATGTCGGGACTGGCGAAGTTCGTCGACCTCCATGGGACCATTGGAGCGTTGGAACTCGGGTCGCTATTCTCGATGTTTTTGTTCGGGGTACTGAGCGTCCAATTGCACCTCTACTACCAACGATTCCCAGATGACCGATGGTACTACAAATGGATGGTGCGTCCCTCTCAGTACTTACCATCTCCACTGCCACCCTTACCAATAGTTCATTTCAGGTCGCACTTATGTGGTGCGTCGCCAACTCGCAAGTGTTCGGTAGTCGAACCCGCTAAACTTCAACTCCCCAGGGTCCTCGAACTAGGCCACACATTCTGCATATCAGCCGAAGTCTACCACATAACAATCTCAAGATACGGCGACATCCTAGCCCTAATCGACCTCCCCTTCCTCCCATGGACAGTCTTCATCACCGCAACAATCACTAGCTTCACCCATGTAACTCCCCGTTCCACCTTCCATCCCACCACCTTCCCAGTCCGTCTCTAACGTTAATCCTCGAACCCCCTCTAGATCTTCTACTCCCTCCGCGCCTGGGTCGTCATCTCCAAACCATGGTGCTACATCGCGCCCCTCTGCCTCCTCGCCACCACCGCCCGCTTCGCAGGGAGCATCTGGGCCGGTATCGGCGCCGTCAACGCAGCCAACGTCCGAGAGTACCAGCGGAACCTCTCGTGGCTCGTCTTGACGTTACTCTCGAGCTGTGCGGCCATCGACGCGATTTTGGCGATTGCGATGGTGTCTTGGTTGTGGAGGAGGAGGATAAAGACTTTCGCCAGGTGAGTAATGGCTGAACTTTCATAGTTAAGTCGAGTCGAGTGAAGGCTAACGCTCTTGTATTAGGTCTACACGCCTCTTGGATAGAATCATGCACTTTACCATCGGTACGCTTCCACATTCCGTTGTACCTTGTGATCCTGGCTAATAAAGCGTATCCAGGGAGCGGATTCTTACTAAGGTCCGTGTCGTACTTGGTGGATAACCCCAGTGTGTAACTCAACTAACGACGGGCGTCCGCCGTTCCCAGTGTGTGCACTGTAGTCTTGGCCATCTCGGTGAGTAACAACGCATGACTCTCTTGTAGAATCTGGATCGATGGAGAACTGACTTCATTCGTCTAGTTCGATCGCCTTCCGGATACGAGTATGTTCTCAATTCGTATATATCACCATGGGAGTATCGCTCAGTTTAGTACTCACCTCACTTCAGTGATCTGGATCGCCATCTTCGCATGCCAGGCTAAACGTGAGTCGGACTCTCCCTCCCTATCTCAATGGAACCTCAATTCTAACATCAACCACAGTCTATTCCAACAGCGTCCTCGCCTCGTACGTTCCCAATCCCCCATCTCAAACTAGTCCTTACAACCAACCTGTCATCCCATCTCAGGCTCAACTCGAGAGCAAGCCTCCGAGCAGGCAGACCCGACTACTCAACCGGCTCCAACCACGTCCAACTCTCATCCGCAAGTCGACACCGAGAAGTGACAAGCGGTACCGGTACCCAACCCGTCGTGATCTCTGTAGAGATGAAGTCGACGACACACCGAACAGTCGACGAGCCCTACTACGCCGTATGTACTACGCCCTCTTCTTCTTCTTGTTCTCCTCTTCTCCAGATCCGTTCAATTGGATACCAAAGCTGACGTGTATCGGTGTAGGATAAGACGGTGGACCAAACGCTAAGGTTCCACGACGTGGAGCGATATGGCAACGGCGGTGCCCCAAAACCATTCTGAATAGTAGAATGGGAATGTATATTAGCTTTGAATGGCCTACACTTTCACAATTTTCAAAATACCTCGAGAATCGAGCTCTTGGCGCCCGGGGCGCTTAAAATCGCAAGGCTTTGTCAATGTTGTGGCTATGGAACGGAGTTTAGGCATACCCCACTGCCCAGGGTCATCGCTCACGGGCGAAAGGGTAATGCTATCGTAGACGACTCCAGTGTTACCCCTATGGTGTCAAAAAGGTATCATTTGCAGATTCGAGTACGGGGAATCGAACCCCGACATCCTAGCAGCCATATCCTGCGGACAGCGCTGTGGTGCACTACCTTTATGCTATACCCGAAATCGCCAAATATCACTGGAAGGAATTGACGTTGAATAGAAAGGGTAGTCGAAAAAGGAAGGTCGTCTGCGGAGGCCAGGTGCATCATGGGCGCTAATGTATAATTAGCCTGACACAACGGGAAAAGTGTGATGTGACGGGTGGGATCATCATGGTTGAATTTGGATCGGAGACAAAATAACGGGATCATCCTTGGCTACATCCGAAAGGGAACATTCAAAAAGTAACCATCCGGGGCTTCAGAGGCTGCATTGTTGGTATTATATTGTCTCCGATCTCATTCCGATCATTACGGTATCTCCCGTTGCATAATACTTTTCCCGTTGTGTGATCGATTGATACAACCGTGAGGCTAGATTAGATCTATTCGTCGACAGCACAGCTTAGAAGAGCTTAGACTCTATATAACTACATAGGTGCATGTCCCGACATGATGGAAAGAAAGCAAAACCCGAGATCACAACCGACCGTCCCCCTCCACCTTTTCACCGCGACGTGCCATCTCCAACTCTTCCCCATCTCCGAGTCTCCCTGTTCCACCGAATCCATCCGAGTCACTAAAGTCGGAACTGACCAAACTATCATCATCCGAGATCTCAGGGAACCTATCAGCAAAACGGAGACCAGATATCGTCGGTGTGGTTTGCCCAACGTCGTACATCCGAGCACGTTTGTACATCTGGAGGAGTAGGCGGTTGGCGAGGATGGGGAGGGATATTCTGAGGAGACTGGATGGTAGAAAGGATGAATTAGAGAATATATATGGAGAGGTCCGAGGAATGCAACGTACTAGTTGACAATCGAAAGGTAACCCCATTTCTGTACCGCCATTTGAGCCTCTAGCGTTATAGGCGAGGCTGGGGAGGACTTACTGGACGAAGGTAATGCGCGATGAGATCGAGTATCGTCATAACTGGTCCATCCACGGTGGTAAGTCTCAATCTCACCAGAACGATATACCTGAGAAGGACCCACAGCATATCCCAGCGAAATACTGAACCCCACCTCTCCACATCGTCATCAAAAGGGGAGACTTCGTAACCTTGGACCGCTTGTATCCAATGTAACACGTTAAAGCCAGCAGAACTGTGATATGCCATCAACTTCGTCAATTGGAATTGGAGGAAAGGTAGTGAAGGCTTACTGGCTTGTCCGACGATCTTAAGAATCCTATTGGCCTGGATGAACTTGACGCCTATTACCCGGGTAGATAGCGAGCACCGAAAGGGTGCATAGGGCCACGCGTTCGCTGTTAAAGGCCCCTGTTAGTTCATCGGCTCGCAGAGGAGGGGAGATAGAAATTTACCTATCATGTTGGGAAGGACAACTGCGAGAGTCGTGAATCGAAATGCTACGAGAAGCTGCCGACTGATCAGTACCGAGTAGATACTTAGGGGGTTAGGATTATTATAACTTACGAAGTATCCAAAGGCGAACAGGGGAGCGTACTTTCTCTTCGCACCAAAGAGAGCGTACAAACATAATATAAGAAGCGCTGGGAACCGATGAAGAGTTGAGCAGGTTGTACAACTGTATGGAGTCGAAGTTACCCAGTGGACAAGCTTCTCCGACGAACGAAGACGCTGTGTGTGAAAACAATCAGACCTTCAGCGCACCATTCAGAGGAGATAGAGGGAAGAGACGAACTTAAAATGGATGCTTGGAGGACATAGCACCCCTACGGATTTGTTGATTCATAACTATATATGCCAGCGCTCGGGATGGACATACCATGGGATCCATGTAACGCTCGTAAATAACTGGTTGGACATCGTCAGTACCTCAGGCAGATGGATCATTGGACAACACCTTGGCTTACAATGAATGAAGAGCGGGATTTGGAGAAGCGCGATATAGCGAGATATGAAGAACAGGACTCTCGCGAGGTTCCATAATCCATTCCACATATACTTCACCTAAGACGAAAGAGGTTATGAAGTCGGGCCTTAAAGATGGGCGCCTAACGAGATTAGCACGCACCTCAAGTTTCACGGTTTCCAAGTAGTCGCAGATGTAAGCTGTAGACGCTATGATGGTGAAATACTTGGTGGACATCAGTTGATATATCTTCCACACAGAGTTTTAGCTGTATACACACGGCGTTGAGTGTAGAGAGTCTTGTAAAGGACAGATACGCGGTTGCGATGGCTTCAGGACTTGCCATCCTTCAAAGCGAGCGATATTGGATAAGAGATGGGACTAAGCCAGGGTGTGGTGCAGGACACTCTAAGCGAATGGGTGATCGTGTTAAACCCGTTCAAGTGATAGTGATAGTGATAGGATCGCAATTTTACAGTTCTGGATAGGTTACAGACACCGGTAAAAGCGACCGGGACAGGATCGCCCGTGATACCCTCACTCAAGACCACCGTGACGAGTTTTACGAGACTTGTCATGTTACGTCGACAGTTCGAACGCGGGTGACTGATAGGTATGCGGGACGCGATGAGAGCAATGTCTGGCCCAGAGCTAGGTCGACCCTTCTCCTTTGTAGGTTCCAAATTCAAAAAGATTTTCAAAAATGGTCAAAAGCATCTGACTGGACGTTCAGGGGATTGAACCCTGGACCTTTCGCAAGCGTCAATAAATGCGAAGCGAACGCGCTACCACTGTGCCAAACGCCCGTGCCTTGGCAAAAGAACCGACCCGTTCCTGTTAGTAATCACGAAGGGCTTCTTCCTATAGAATCAAACTTCGATACAACTGCTTTCCCTGTCGAGTAATTTTCGATTGGGATAAAAGGTGAAACTCGATGAACGATCCCTTCCATCCACCACCATGAGGGACTTAGAAAGGCTGAACGAACTTCAGAATTACGAGGCTCTAAATGTAAGTCCCCGGCCCTTGCGTGATCGCATTTAACTTTTATTGAAAGGCCGTTGTACTAGGGGACTCACGAGTGGAAGTATCCTGATCTGACGACAGTAGAGGAGCTGGAGGAAGGATTTGAAGTCCTTCGCGTGTCTCTCAACCTGCTCGAACAGCGCAACGACTCGGTCTCCCGTGAAATGTTCACGAGCGCATCCGTTTTCGTCTCTCGTCTCAGAGAGTTCCTTCGAGCGAGTCTCGACGTCGGCTTGGATATCTCGACCGCGATCATCGACAATATCGAGCTGATTTTAAACACTCACCAACGACTTTTCCCATCATGCCGTCTGTTCAGCGCCTTGGCCTGCCACGTAATGGAGTTGTTCCTCAGTGATGACGCTTCCAAGCTTCCAAGCGCTCGCTCTTCTCGACTAGGATCCTGGACATGGCTCTTCCATTATTCGTGTTCGACATGGCCCCATACGGCCACCAGTTAATATCGCTATTTGCGTCGGATCGGCCTTGTCATGGGTTATGGTCATCTCATCTCCCACCCGAATCGCGATAGAGATGGAAAGACTCCTCTCATGGGATCTGTTCACCGTCTTGATTAAGGCACTCGGCATTGCTTCGCTCACCATGAACTTGCACGCCGAGGAGAAAATCGTTGGTCTCCTACAGGGGATTGCAATCATTCCATCCCGGCGCACGTCGCAGTTGCTCAAGAACTTGGTTGGGAAGGCAGACTATCTTGGTGGTTCCTACCAGGGAAATGAACAGTGGCCCAGGCTTCGCATTTGCCTCGGCCGTACCCTCGAGTCATTGGGGGAGCAATCATCCCACAAACCGAGTTTCTGCATGAATCCTAATGTAAGTGGAAGTCATCTCATGAGAAGGTGGACTCTGGTACTGACGGCCAAGATAGCATTTCGCCTCGAAACCGTCGGACTCTGGTGGCGAAGAATTGGCGCTCAAGATTTGCACGAACTGCAAGGTTACCGCCTATTGTGGGGAGCGATGCCAGAGGGAAGATTGGAAGCAGATTCACAAGCGCGAGTGCGGGGATCTGGCCAAGGAATACCGAAGTAAGTCAAGCAGGCATCCGTCTTCACTTCTGACTCTGACCGTACCCGCGAAAGAACTCGTGGACGCAAAGCGCTGGGTATCTCCTACGACTAAGCTTGGCGATCTACTTGCGATCAACAGCACCTTCCGCGCCCACGACACACTAGTTCCACAGATCCTTCAACAAATCTGCCGGGCGGGTCCTCAAGCGACAAACAAGAACTCGGTGTTTATCCTTGGCCCGGGACTGCTTCCCCTCACTGCTCAGGATGTCGACGGTGATTAGGGTTGAAGACTACGCCAGACAGCACTCAAAGTGGAGCTTGTGGTCCGATGCTCGCTTCAAGACTTCCATAGATCGGGTCAGTGGTGGAGAAGCATTGCTTATCGGCCAGGATATAGTGCTGGGTATGAGCAAGTACCATGTACTCGCGGTCGTCGATCTGAAGGATTCCGATGGCGAACCCGGTTTATATCACTGCATGACATTGCATGACATAGGTGCGTTTAGAGTTAAGTATACGGTTCTTTTACTGACACTGTACCCTCCAGGTTTCACTCGAGAGATAACCGAAGAGATGAGTTTCCGGAAGTCGACAGATTGACGTTCCAGAGGACCCTGAAGTCGGAGATATAGAGCTCTTAACTCACCGTATCGAAAACCCTCTATCAGTCAGGCGGGGCTGGGACCGCGGTTACCAAAGTTCCGAGTCGGGATGAAGTCATAGTTGCGCTCCCGTCCTTTCGGTGCGGCACGCGTTAAGAAATAAACATTATTTCCCATTATACACCTTATCACCCCCTTGGTCTACTTATATTGCTTTCATATGTTGAGACCATACGGCGCGAGGTCCGTGTGGTAAAGCCAACGATTGTGAAGGAACATACAGACACCACGTCAAAGTCGTTGAAAAGGAAATTCTCAAACACTACGTACTCCATAGTAAAGGGAAACCGAAAGAAACAACAGGGTAAAGCTAAAGGCCACAACACGGAAATCGTACCTCACGCGATAGCTAGATACGAAACAGACGCAGAGTAGATAACGGTGTCGTCCGCAGTCTGGATCTTCCATTCCATCCCCGAAGAAGTCACATTCGACACACTAACCCAAATCCGCAAGGTATGCGCCTTCGAAGCTTTGATGTGGTCAATCGCGAGGAAGATCCTGGGAGGTGTTTCCGAATCCGAGATTGTAAACGCCTGCTCAAACACCACGTCTCCAGATTTTACGGGGCTGGACGAATCGAGCACCTCCGAAATGTGGAACTGTCCAGTACACATCTGACGTCCCGGAAGTCCACCCTCGGGGAACGCAAGCCAGTGGACCTGTATATTGGCCAGTGTCCCCTCCTCCGGAGATCGCACCACATTCATCTTGAAGCCACTCCGGTTTACATCGGTAGAGAACACCCTAATATCCCATGCCTTCCCGTCAAACTGGAAGCCGCTTGGTGAGACAAAGACTCGAGGAGGTGATTCAAACGAAGGACCGAACGCCACGCGCTCGGAAATGAGGGACGTCGTTTTGGAGTTCGAGTTCGCATTCGTGCTGAAAATGCCCCCCTGAAGCAGTGACGATCGGTCGGCGCGAAGCCAGGATACACCGAACTCCCCACTAGTGTGGGTCCAGTTGTTAGTGTTGACTTGGAAGCTGGTAGGTGTAAAGCTGCCCGCGTGCGTGAGGAACTGGGCAGTCTTCTCATACCAGCCCCACGAGGTGATGGAGGAGAAGCCTAGGACTACGATGGGCGTCAAGTAGAGTGGGGACGTCTGAACGACTGTGGATTTTCCTTCGCCAAGGGGAAGAGAAAGTGCCTCCAGAACTCCTACATCGATGATCTAAGGGCCAACGACTCGTTACAGGTGAAAATGGGGATACAAAATAGCATGGACTTACCGGTACTTGATCCCTCAAAGGTGGACCAACCATTCGCGATGCTCCCTCCTGACCAGCTCGATGATAAATCGTGGTAGTAGTAACGACGAGGTGGATTCCTGATTTGTTATGCGCCACGGTAGTGTCCAGTGCGTCGCTGAGCGACTGCGTGAATGGAATCAGGGAGAACCAATCGTGGAACTCTGAAGTAGCCCTCGAGACCCATCCCTGATCGATAGCGACATCCGGTTTTAAGTGCTCCTTCGGCTACGGAGCCTGTCGTCAGCTTCACCTTCGAAAGCTGAGAGGAATGTGGTAGCACTGCCTTACCTTCCACAACCTGATCTCCTTCACATCGATATCAACTCCGTACGCGTCGTTCAATGCTTGGATTAGAGTTTTCAGCAGGTGGTAGGAGGGCCCCCTATACTGCACTGGCGTGAATGCAATGGGGATAGGAACGTCGCAGACAGGTCCTCTATCCAAGAGGAGGCTGTGGATGACTTGACTCCCCTGGTCGATGACCGAGGTCTGTTGTAGGCTTGATCCCGCCATCGCTCACGACCATGTAGGCTGGAGGGAGAAGAGAATCGTGTGAGTACAATCTTATCGATGGACCTATGGACAACGTTGGAACCTCGTGACGAATCTTGCTTCGATTTCATGGGCGCTTAAATCGAGATCACGTTCCTTCTCGCTCCGTCGTCGTGATCTCGATAACCCTATGGCCTACAGCGACAATACCAGAGCCAAAAACCACAGCCCCAGTGGCTGTTAAATCTACTTTTGTCAAGTCGGGTAGATGGGGAGAAATGAGAAATTGAAGAAAAATACGAAATTGGCCCACCTAGCTCTCTACGACCTCTGACGCTTTTTAACGGGCGATGGTCAACCGCCAGACCGTCCCGCTCGACGATGATAAGAGTCTGAGACGGTCTATCTGATCGAGCCACGCGGGCTTGGTGCCGCGTTGCCACTCTTCCGAGTGTCCCGGCTCGAGTTAGGGTCGTAGCCCACTTCCTTCGAGGCATGGAGGTCAAATGGAAATCCCTCTAACGTCATTGAGAAGGTCGACTGGACTTCCCTATACCATCTTTACCATTTCCTTTCCTACTCTTACTTATACATCATTGAAAATCACGGGTGCGAAGTCAGCGGCTTCGACGATGGGGTGCCAAAACAATAATCACGAAGCTACTACAGCACGAAGGTTCAAGATGAGACACGAAAGGAATCGAGGAACCACTACAAGAAGCGTATACCACGCTCCCGATGACGCAGTCAGAGAAGGTAAGGAACTACCTCAATGGGGTTACATACACAGTAAGTCGACTTCCTAATACCGTTACACGATAATCAACGCCCTGATTGACCTCGGAAAGAACCCCACCCTCGTGTGCAGAGCGCGGTTTCATGAAGGTTTAGGCGTCGACATAGTCAAATCGAAACATCGTCGAAATAGAAAAATCGCTTTCAAACCCCAGAACCGAGCTATAAAAACTCGCCCATCCACTCCCTAGACTACATCCCAGCACTCAAGCATCCAATCTTTCTTACAACTCCAACTCTCTTAAACGACTCAGAATCATAACCATGTTCTTCGTTCGTTCCCTCCTCGCATTCGTCGCAGTCAGCGTCGCATCCACCCTCTTCGCCTCCGCGACTCCCGTTGTCGAGAAGACTCAAGACCTCGATGACGTCCTCACCGTCGTTGCGAAGCTCAAGGTCGCCACTGACCTCCTTCTCCCTGAGATAGGTACGTACAAGTGCACCTCTATGGTAAATGCAACACATACTGATTTAACGCCCTGTAACCTATAGATACCTTGGTCAACCGCAGAGTAGCCACCGAAGCGAACATCTCCCCTCTCTTGGCCAAGCTCGCGTTTGCTCTAGATGCCAGCACCGACAAATTAGAGCTTCTCAGCCTTGAAGACGACGCCGAAGTCGGAGGAACCGACGAGCAAGTCGCTCGAGAGGTGGCGACCGTCTACGGAGTATGTCTCCCTCACCTAGAACGTAGCCTAGCCTTATCTATTATCACAATTCGTAGAACATCGTAACCAGCCTCGACAACCTCAAGACTAACGCACCCGAGGTCTACTCCGCCACCGTCCCCATGTTCGGATTGGACAAGCTCCTTCTCAAGCTCTTGCTTACCCTCAAGACCATCGTCGCCGACGCTCTCAAGTTGATCGGTGAACTGTGAGTAGTCCATCCTCTTTAAAGGACCATGGATCTGACCGTCTCATTTCTGATAGGTTGAAGAAGACTATTGGAGGTCTTTTGGGACCCCTCGGTCTCATCCTCACGCGCCTTCTTTTGGGTATCCTCTAGTAGTAGCCGCCCACAAGGCCAGACGATACACACAGCTCACAAGTTCCATTGACCGCAATTTCTCGCCTCGCATTCACCGCAGTTTGATGTTTTGCTACTTTGCCTGACTATAGGTCCAGTAATCGATTCTTCGTTCAATTGAAGCGAGATTCTGAGATACAATGAGATTACAAGGCCAGAGCCCTTTGCCATTGGTCAACGACATTAAGCGAAAGATAAAATTTAGAACGCTAACGAGGTGTCAGGGTCATGAGCCCTGTCCAAGAAGATCGACGTCCTCGGTCCATGATGATCGACACCAAGAATCTCGCGGCTACAAGTAGGAAATGTGAATATATCCCTGACGAGGAAGATCAAAGAAAGGAAAACACTCACTCGAATCTTAACGCAGTCCTATAAACATTCTCCAAATCCCCCGTAAACTCGACTTCAAGAAGCACATTGACCCTATACATGGGACTATAATCAAACGTCCCTTCAACCAACATATTCCTGCTCGACCTCTTCGCTCGATACTCTTCAATGATCTTCGTCGCCCTCGCCTCCATAGCCGGACAGTCGGGCACCACCGTACTCCTTCTATCCCTCATGTACTCGTCAATCGTCACGATGTTCATCACCGTCTTCGAGCTCACTCCTCGACTTCTGCCGATAAGAGCGATCAAATCATGACGACCGAATTGAGGGAAACTGCGAGCGATCGTCCCGTCCACCTCAGGACCTAAGTTGTTGAACGTGAACGACGATTGGAGAGTGTGGAACGCTCGGGTGTTGTGCGAGTAGCCAACTCCATTTTGTTTTCGGACTGTTACGACGGGGGCCCTCAGTGAAAGTCGCGTTCAGGGCAGAAGCTGATGAGGACGTACTCATATGACCATGCTTCATCACATTGCATTCGTCCTTATGCCTGCTTTCCCAGTCCGCCTTTTGACATTTTTCACTGCAGTACACAACCGTGTGGCAGCCTGAACACGCCTTGGGCAGGACGAGTTCGGTCGTTATTTCTTGAGGGTGCTGTGATGATTCAAAATCAGCGGAAAGAACGGAGACAACGACCCAGTGCGACGTACCAAATGGCTATCGCGCAACGAAATCTGCGGAAACGTCTTCTCTTCGACTTATCGCATGAGCCCAACGCGACTATCCATAGCCGCCAAGAAATCGCTCCAAAAGCTCGGATACGCCGTTCCTCTCCGTCTCCTAAGGTTATCCCATACCGTCTGAGGAGTCGCTTCCACAACAGTCCTAAACGCCTTCACAGTCCTTGGATAGAACGTGAACGCGCTCAGTGCTCGGAACACCTTCCCCGCTTCCACAATCTTCGATCTCGAGTCCGAACCCCCAAATCCCACACGCTGAAGGCCCTCGAACATAACCGGCATAATCCCCGCCTTGACCACCTCCGCTACTCCCTTCACTGGATCCGCAAAAGGCTGATACGACAGACGAAAGGCGAGGAATGACAAGGTGAAGATAGCATCCGGCGACGCATCCGGACAAAGTGGTACAATCGCTTGAACGATTCGACGGAGCAGACCTTGCTCTCTCAGCTTCTGATGAATGGCGCGAATCTTGACGAGCTTCGAGGCGATGTCGAGGAGCAAAGCTGCATGGGCGCCAACATATTCGAGGGGAAATCCACGGGGTTGGTAGAGACTCGGGACCTGATCGATCCGCTGCAAGAACGCGGTACAAAAGTCGTCGAGGTGCTCCTGCGAGGAGACCACTTGATCCATGAGCGTCGACCACGCATCCGGATTCTCAGAGAACTGCGACATCATAGCGACGGTCCCACACCGCTCTGGATCGATATAGCAGTAGGGTTGGCGTGTGTCCTTGCGGCGGGTGCACCAAATCACCACAAGGACCTTGATCACCTTGGGCGAGAAGAGAACGTGCTCCTCCGGTACCAGCTCGGCGATCCGGTAGATCGTCCAAGTGATGGTGTGTATCGCTCGTTCCAACCCCGCTGGCTGGAAAACCTGAGTCGCAGAGGCCAAATAAAACAGAAACCACGAGAATATCCCATCAAGGTTTGGAACAAGTTTATCGATAGTAGCCGTTCTGAGAGGCGTACTCCTATCGCAGGAAATGATTGACCCGCCCAGACACGAGAACAGGGCTGCCTGGAAGTTGACATCCTTTCCTCTCCCCTCAGCCTCCGGGTAAGACCCAGGGAGGAGCTCAGGTTGAAAATGGGGGAGGATTGCGTCTAGAATGCGAGTTGTGTAGTTGTCCCTTGTGATGGCCCTCCCCAGGTCCCGCAATGCGTCCGTCCTTCCGCGCCTCGCGTCTTCTACGAGCTTGAAACGTCTCAGAAACTGACTATCAACCACAGCGCTTGTGCTCAGAACACATACCTTCGAAGGTACTGGTGCCATACATGCTTCAGGACGTGGACGTTGATAACGAAGAGTGCCGCTGAGCATCCATGCATCTTCGGATTCCACGCTGGGGCCGCCTTGTTTGACATTGTATTGCCACCGCTTGTCACTCTAGCTCAGATCGTGGGCCTTGTTCGCTGGATTGTCGATCCAAGGGGACTTCTGCAAGTTTGAACCTTGATATCTGACAGTAATCCCTGGAACGTTGAACACCATTACGTTTCTGAAACCATCACACAGGCCAAACAAAAGACCAACCAGGAGGATTTCTCTCTCATAAACCTCCGCGTATTGTGTAATCCACGTCGAGAGGAGGTTTATTTTCTTCGTCTAACGGAGAAACAAAATCCATATAATGGAGATATTTATTTCACAGATATCGACGGAAGGCCATTTCTGGAACGATACCTATCTCCGATCCTTGTACCATCCGTCTTCCTCCAATTCTGCGCTCGGTATGCCTCGTGACTTAACAACGCGTCTGTATACAACGTCCCCAGATAGTCGCAAGAATCAATATGGCCACAGCAGTGGTTGTCAATTTACATCTTACACCTGCATTCTGCATTCATCAACAATCATCCCGTTAAAAATCAAAGAACAAAGGGGCGCACTCACAAAAAACTCTGCACCGACCTCAATACCACCATTCCACTTCTTTCTTTCCTGACCTGCAGCAGCACTTCAACGTGGTACACCGAGTCATACCTAAACGATCCTGCGACAAGCACCGTGTCCTTCACCCGCCGCGCACGATGTTCCTCCACCACCTTCCTCTCCCTAGCGTCCATCGCAGGACAACTGGCCTTCATCATACGACATCGCTGGCGGAGATAGTCGTCGATGGGCATCACATCCGTCACCGCCAACGAGCAAGCCCCAAACGGGCGGCTCACAATCGCAATCAAGTCGCTCTCGTGCGCAGTCGGATGGAGGGCGTCGGCTATGTTCTGTGCAAAGCCTACCTCACGCAGGAACCGATCCAGGATGACGGTAGTCGCAAAAGACCGCGTTCGTTGCGCGTACTTCACACCTTGACTTTCGCGGGCTGTGAAAAAGGGAAAAATGGACTCTCGTGTTAGATAGGTGTAACGGAATCAGATCGAGCCGAGAGCGTACCATAGCGACTATGACGCATTATTCCACACTCGTGTCGGTGTCGTACGGCCCAGTCAGCTTTCTGGCATGATTCACCACAATAAACGACACTACGACACCCTGAGCATTCTTTGGTGGTCACGCCTCCAGTCGACCGCAGCTGAGGGTGCTAATGAACAACCATTGTAAGCGAGGAACGGAAAAACTATCCAAGCGAGAAGGGAATCATTAATCATTACTTACGATATGACTGTCGCAAGACACAACCTTCGACGTCTTCCCTGCCGCAATATCGCTAAGCAGAAGACTCCTATTTCCTATCGTACCCAGAAAGTCCTTCCAAAAGTCAGGAAAGTTTACCTTTGTCCTCCCCACTTCCATCAACTGGTCCCAGGTAGTTCGAGGCGTTCGAGAAGCAAGCCCCTCCAAATCCCGAACCACGCGGGGATCCAACATGAAATCGGCGAGAGCGTCTATAATAGAGAAGACCGACTCCCGAATAGGCCCAACCTCTTCCTCTCCATGTCCTCGATTCAAAATGACCTCAAAGAAAACAGGCATAACACCCGAATTGAGCAACTCTGAAATACCTCCCGCCGGATCCGCGTACTGCTGATACGAGAGCTGCATCGTGATCGTGAGCATTCCGGTGAAGCTGCGGAGATCCGTGGACATCAGAGAGCGGACGCAGAGGAGTGCTTGAACGAGGTGGTGAACGAATCCGTCCGTTCGTAATCGCCGATGCAGGACTGGGGTCTCCGCCATCTTGGATCCAACGACGACGAGCTCCCTGACGTGGTCCACGAGCACCGCCGACGTCGCATTACTAATGCCTTGTCCGTCTGGCACGTTCCGAGCGAAGAGAACGGGGACCTGCTTCACCCTGTCGACATACGCCTTGCAGAACGCTGTGCAGGACTTTGTTGATGCTGTAATGTGGTGTATGAGCGCCGTCCACTGCTCGTCGCCGTTCCGCGCGTAGAGCATCAGCAACCGGAGGATCGAACACGAATGCGAACTTGAAGGCTGTTCGCCGAAGGAGTGGTAGGGCTGGCTGGTATCCCTTCTTCTGGCGGTCCAGAGGAGGAGAGTGAGCCGGAGAGCGCGGGGGTTGTCAAGAACGCCGTCGTCCTCCGCCGAGTCCAGGAGATCCGCGAGGTAGGCGATAGACCGAGAGACTAGGTCGATCGCTCTCGTGCAAACGGCCGGATTCGTATCGCGGAGGATACGCGCCGTGTAGACCGACATTAGGAAAAGGATGTCGTCCTGCCGCGGGAGGACCTTCTCCGCTGACCTCGCCCGGAGGCTGGCACTCCTATTCCAGCTCGCAGCGCACCTCACGAAACACGAGAGTAAGAGGCCCTTGAATTCCACATCTCGTTCCGTAGCAGCAGCGTGTCTGTCGCCTCGCTTAAGCGATTTGGTGCGGTCGAAGTGAGGAAGGAGAATATCGAGGTAGGACGGCGAGTAGTCTACTGCTGAGGTGAAATGCAGGAGGTCCCGGATTGCTTGCTGAGAGCCGAGCTTTGCCTGCTCCATAAGCTTCGCAGTAGAGAAGTCAGTCATTGCTCGATATAGGATTTGTATTGAACTCGTGTGGAAGTATACGTACTATCGCCAGTGTTTGGGCCCGCATTGTCGACGTATGTACTTGAGTGTCCGTGACCGTTGGCTGACCTTTAGCTCTAGTCTCAAAAGACTTGACGATCTTTCTTGGCCACTTGTAAGCTGTGTGTATGCCTTTGTTATTTCTTGAAGGCTTCGCCTTTGACCAAGTGCGAGCGTTCCAATCCCCGAGGGGTCGCGATTCCCAAACGATGTCAGTTTGGGGTTCGCTCAAAGTTTTGGCCTTGGGGTGTGGGAGATGCTCCTCTTAAGCACTGTGAATTACCCGTTTTCCTCTCGCGAATGCTTTGGAGTACTCGCGCCGGGCGACTTCCAGAGAAGCACAGCACTATCATGGCGTGGTAGTGGGAGTTTCCTTCATAGGATTCTCCCCGCAATCCGAGTGGACTGTCTCTGGCACTAGCGTCCAGATGATGGTAGACAGTCTCAACGGGCATTAGGCCATAATCTCTACAGTGTACATACCTCTCCTCGAGCCCGCCGGCGGTAAGGGTGAGACCATCCATTGGCGATGAAATAAAACTCCCCTTGGAAGAAGAGACAGGGAGCAGCAGGATTACATACTTGTAAGAATAGACGACAAAAGTTATACCTCTCCTTGTAAGTATGACTACTTAATAACATCCTGGTTCCTGGCTGGGAGACCAGGTTTGTAGCATGAAATAGATCATAGAAGTTAGCGCCTAGAGGGTACCCGAAGCTGCGGAGATTCCGTGCGTAACTCAGCCCCTTTATTCATCAGTATCAGACACCCAGCTCAGTGACACGTCTAGAATCTGATATTACCACCCCGTTCTCTTCACTTGACTTCATTCGGGTTCCCTGGAACTGTTGGGCGCTAAGTTCGCCCATGGGACCAAACGCATGACACCCTCGGCCCGCAAGAGGATCAATTTTTGATTCCCACGTAAATTTCCAAGGGGTCAGACGAGGTCAGACGACACGACCGTTTCCAAACGCGTCTTGTGTTCCTTCTTCCAAATCCCACAACGCATGTTTTTGTTTACCCTATCGATAGGCTCCTATCACACCGGGATATGACAAAACTACGGACTGCGGAGCGCAGGGCGTCAATCATTATCGCCATTGGCCGATCTCGGGGTTAGGGTCTATATAAAGAGCTCGTATCGGGTGGGAAGAGTTCTCTTTGACGAGAGCCATCACCCAGGATCTACTCAACTGTTAGCGCCAGCAAAGGTTGATCATGGGCGATGTCGCTGCCGCTGCACCTTCCCCCACAGAAGTGGATGAATCTACGACGTCGACGCCCACGTCTGGTACCCGGCAGGATACGAAGATCATCGCGACGAGGGCGTACCAGCAGGAGATGCTCGACGAGAGCTTGAGGAGGAATATCATCATCGCGCTTGATACAGGTTCGGGCAAGACGCATATTGCGGTGTTGAGGATTAAGCATGAATTGGAGAGGGAGAACCGCAAGGTAATGTGTTTTCCTTCCGTCTCTTTAGCACGTTCGTTAACGAAGGACGCAGATCTGCTGGTTCCTCGCGCCCACGGTGGCACTGTGCCAGCAACAACAAAGCGTTATCAAAACGTACATCCCAGGTCCCGTCGGCCTCATCTCGGGCGCGCACCAGCCCGACCAATGGAAGAACGCCGCACTCTGGAAATCCGTCCTCGAAACCCACCGCGTTATCGTGTCTACGCCCCAGGTCTTCCTCGACGCCCTGCGGCACGGGTATATCAACATGGGTCTGCAGATTGGGTTGCTGGTGTTCGACGAGGCGCACCACGCGGCTGATAAACACCCGTACAATCTCATTATGAAGGATTTTTACTTCAAGCTCCCCGCTAGGTCCCCTATGCATGACGCGGATTTCCCGTGTCGTCCGATGGTGCTCGGTCTAACCGCGAGCCCCATCTTTGGTTCTGGGGACGTAAACAAAGCATTCCGGTGCGTTCTTCCTTTATTCTCTCGCCTTTTACTAATCCTTCTACGTCTAAAAGCCTCATCGAAGCGCATCTAGACGCTATGATCTGCACACCGCGGTACAACCGCAAGGAACTCGCGCAGCACGTCCACCGTCCAATCTTCAAACACGCGCCGTACATGTCGTGTCCGACTCAATCATTCTCGACCAACCTCGCCACTCTCTCCTCCGTGCTCGAAGGACTAGACATCCAAAATGACCCCAACGTCCTCTCCCTCCGCTCCCAACTCTCCAAAACCCCGCCCGACTCACCCGAATGGCGTCGGCTCGACCAAAGGCTGTCCAAGACTATAACCAAACAAGACTCCTTCACGCATAAAGGATTAGCCGACTTCCACCGCGCCGCAAGCGACATCTGCTTCTCCATCGGCGCCTGGGCGGCGGACTGGTATGTGTGGACCGTCGTCCAGAAAGCCAAACACGCCGCCAACCCCTACAACAACATCATGTCCACCTGGCGGTCCTCCGAAAAGGCGTACCTCCTCCAGATCCTCACCTCCCTCGTCCTGAGCCCGCCATCGTACTACGAGGACGACATCCTCAGCGAGTGCACGGATAAAGTACGGGTTTTGGTCGAGTGTTTGTTGGAGGAGAAGGAGGAGGTGGAAGGCTTGAATGAGAGTTTTAGCGGGATTGTGTTTGTGCAGAGGCGGGATGCTGTGCTGGCCCTCGCTGAACTTTTGAAGCACCACCCGTTCACGAAGGATTCGTTTACCGTCGGTGTGTTGTTGGGTACATCCGATAGCGCGCACCGGCATTCGTTGATGGATGTTACACGGCATATCACCAAGCAATCGCAGGATTCCACTCTTTCGTCGTTCCGTCTAGGCATCCACAACCTCATCCTCGCGACCTCCGTCGCCGAGGAAGGGTTAGACATCCCAGCGTGCGGGTCGGTCATCCGGTGGGACCCACCCCCCAACATGGCGAGTTGGATACAGAGTCGTGGACGGGCACGGAGGAAGAGGAGTACGTTTACGCTGATGTATGATGTTGAGGAGGATAGGGCGCAGGCGAATGTCGCCAAGTGGAGGGAGGTGGAGGAGAGGATGGTTGAGATGTATAGTCGGAATTCGGGAGGGAGGGAGGGAGATGCGGGTGTGGATGTGGAGGATTGGGAAGGGGAGGAACCGGATGATTTTGATGCTGTGTTGAGTGTTGAGAGTACTGGGTGCGTGTTTGTCGTTCGTCGTTCGTCGTTCGTTGATTTTTGTTTGTTTTTCGGGGCCTCGTTTGGGGTTTCTGGTGTCGTGCCAGTTCTTTGTCCCGCGTTCTTTCGGTTTGGGGTTTGGGCATGGTTTTTGGGTTGCGTCGCGCTCTCGTGTCGCGTTTCGTCGCCCTCGTTTCACTCTGAAGCACACTCCCTACCTACCTTCCATCTCTCGTTCTTTTTCGCCTCTCTCTCATTCGTCGTTCATTTTGTTTCTTCTTCCACCTTCTCGCGATCTTATTGTTTACGTCTCATTCGCGTCCCTCGTTCTTAGCTTCTTAGCTAACACCCTCCTCTTCTAACAGCGCCTACCTAACACCCCACTCGGCGGTCTCCCACCTCGCCCATTTCTGCGCTGTCATCTCCCGCTCGGGGTCGAACGAGAACCGGCCGATATACGATATCGATCCGCCTGATTACGTGCCTGGGCTACACCTCACCGCTCCATCTGCGGCTGGATCCCAGTCCACGGGCTTTGCTTCTTCCATGGGTACGTGTGTTTCTTTGATGGGTGCTTATTTCTTCGACCTCGATGCTCACGTTTGCTATGATCGCTCTCGTCCGGTCAACGACTACGTCTACGCACCCTCCGCCATCGACGACTACGTCTACGAACCTCCAATCAACGTCCCACTGAAAATGAACACCCGCGTCTACGCATGTGTATCCACCAGCTCACGCGCACCAACCCTACGCGGGTCCCTGGACGTCAACCGTCACCCTCCCCCGCTCGCTCCCTCTCCCCACGCGCTCTTTTACCACCGCGAAACCCTACGCCACTAAGTTGGCTGCCCATCGGCACGCTGCGTTCCTAGCTTACTCGTACCTCCATGAAGTGGGACTCCTGAACGAGCATTTGTTGCCGCTGTACGAGGATGGGCGGTGGAGTGAGGAGGAGGAGGAGGAGGTCAGGAGGATGTTGGAGGATGTTGAGAAGAGGGTTGGGTTGGTGAGTGGAGGGAGTGGGGGTGTGCAGGTTGATCCGTGGGTTGAAGAACGGGGTTATGAAGGTCGAGGTGGGGGTAGACTTGGGCGCAGTGTGGGTGTACTCGATGTCGAGGTTGACGGTGGCGCCCCGACTCTAGACGCACGGACTAAATCGAGTGCCGCTGACGACGACGACGATACCGATGCCAGGATGACCATCGAACAACAACCCGCCTCCAACGACTCCGCCTCCGCCTCCGCCTCCAACGACGACAACGAAGTAGAAGAACTCGAAGTATGGTACACCTCCGTCCTACAATTCAGCCACGCCCCGCCTTTGTACATGTTCACCCGCGTCCGGGTGCCGGAGGTAGACTTTGAGGAGGGGCCGGTGTTGTATAGGCCTGGGAGGGAGGAGGTTAGAGTTGGGGTGTATCGCGTCGACGGGAGTAATGAGGGGGTGCCGGAGAGGGCTGTGGTGAGGAGGACGAGGACGAGGACGAGGGAGGGTGCGGAGATGGAGGAGGCGAAGGGTGGGGAGGAGGCGAAGGAGAAGGGCAAAGAGAGGAAGGAGGAGGCGGAGAAGAACAAGGCGCCGGTTGTCACGTCGCCTTGGTCCACCGCCGGACTCGTCTCTTCGACTGCAGCTTCCTTGCCCAAATCGCGCTCGACGTCATCTGTTTCGTCGTCTTCGTCGTGGTATACGGCTGCCTCCAACACCGACGATTCGTCTGGATGGGACACGGTGTCAGTGGACCCAGCTGCGTCTCATGCGGGTATTTCGGCCGGGTCGTCTTCGTGGGATACGCCTACTGCGTCGAAGGTTGACCCGACGTGGTGGTCGGACTCTGCAGCCGCGCCTGGCGCCGATCCTTCTTGGTTCACTGCGACCAACTCTACCCCATCCACTGTCAACGATAATGGCGATCATACTTCGTCCTCGGCCAATCCTATGTTCTCTTCCACGCGCGATCTTACCTCTACTTTTACTGCCAACCAAACCCGAGATACCAGTTCCACTGCCCATGAAGACCAAATACCCCGCGAAGAAAGCCTAAAAGCCCACGAAGGAAACCTAAAAGCCCATGAAGACTTGATAGCCCACGCGAAATCCTACACCCGGATGCTCTTCTGGTGTTTGAACGGTTCGAGGATGGAGTGGTCCAATACTGACTTTGCGTACCTCTTCTTACCGGTTGGGTTCGGGAAGTTTGTGGGGGTTTGGGAGGAGAGGCGGGGGTGGGGGTTGGGTGCTTCGGCGGCGGCGTCGGCGGGCATGGAGGAGGGGTTTAATGCAGACGCAGGTGGAGGAGGAGCAGGGGCAGGGGCAGGAGGACGGTATTCTCAAAGCCAAGGAAGCGCGTCGAACAGCGTCTTTATACCCGAATCAGCATACCCATCCTTTAGACCGGAATCAGCATATACGTCGCCCGCCCTATCCTTCCTTCATCGTTATGGACCTGTGGATGATATCACGATCGTGAAGAAGAGTCTGCACTATGGTCGACCGTATAGTTTTGTGCGGTGGCAGTGGGAGAGGGTGGGCGAGGAGGAGGAGGAGAGGATTCGGGAATTCTATAGGGGGAAGAGTAAACGGAAGGTGGATGGTGGGGGTAGAAGGGAGGTGGATGGGGAAGAGGATGAGGAGGTGGAAGTGGTGTACCCGTTGTTGGTTGTGAAACCGTTCCCGCCTAGGACGAATTTCTTGGTTCCTGTTTCGGAGGGGAAGGCTAAGCGGAAGGGATCCAAGGACGACATGAACGAAAGAGGGAAAGACGACGTGAGCGAGGGAGGGAAAGACGACGCGAACGAGAGAGGGAAAGACGACGACAACCACAACGAGAAGGGGAAGGAGAAGGGGAAGGAACCACCCAAAGAACTCTACCTCCTCCCGCAACACACAAGTATCGCGCTCTTTTCGCCCGACGAGGTCGAGTATGCCGTGCTTCTTCCGTCTGTGTTGAGGTTCCTTGGGGTGAGGTTGACCGTGATGGGGTTGAGGGATGGGTTGTTTGGTTCTGCGTCTGCGCTCGACTCTCTTGCGCCTTCTTTGTCGTCGGATTCGTCGATCTCGTCGGGTTCGGACGTCTCGACTGCGATACATGCTTCGTCTTCCGGTGGTTTTACGTCTTCTACCTCTACACCTTCGAACTCTACATCTTCGAATTTGGCGTCTACCTCCACCTCCACGCCCACAACGCTCACCCAAATCCCACTCGACGTCCTCACAGTAGCGCTCACAGCCCCCGTCGCGGGTGAACGACACAACTACCAGCGCCTCGAGACGCTCGGTGATACCGTCCTCAAGTTCCTCGCTGGGATTCAGATTTTTGCGGAGTATCCTATGTGGCATGAGGTACGTCGGCGTCGTACGTTCATAGGGCGGTTTTATTTTTATTCTTGTTTCTCTGAGTCGTGATGTGCAATCGTGATGTTCACATCTACGAACACTATTACACTACGAACACTGCTGCCTTGTAGCCTCCTTCCTCTCTCTCTCTCTCCTTCTCCGTTTATGTCGACGCTAACTGCCGCATATACTTCTAGGGCTATTTGACGAAAAGGAAGGATCACGCTGTGGCGAATGTGAGGCTAGCGAAGGAGTGTGTGAAGAGAGGTGTGGTTAGGTGGATTATTCGCGGTGAGCGTTATTACTACTTCTATCTTCGATGATGTTTGAGTTTCGCATGGGCACGGGTGTTCTGGTTGGTCTCGTCGTCTCGTCGATGCATCTCATGTCGGGTGTTGGCTGGGATTTGAGATGATGTTGGCTTTGATTCGAGTTTGGGATGTTTGGTTGGGTTTCGAGGCTGCGGTGTGGATAGGTTGCTCATGGGTTTGCGTTTGGTCCTAGATCGCTTGCTGGGGAAGAAGTGGAAGCCTAGGTACATCACGAAGGCCGATCCTAGCCGTGGTGAACCGATGGATGTCGATCCGATTCCTGACGTCGTTAAACGTGATAAGCCGAAGGACACTGGTGCGAAGGAGATTGGTGCGAAGGAGACGTCCGTGTCCGATGCGGAGATGAAGGTTGACAAGGGAGAGGAGTCGAATGCGGAAGCCAAGATCGACGACGACGGGAAGGGATTAAAGGCCGAGACGAAGGTTCAAGGCGAGAAGAAGAAAAAGAAGAAAAACAAACAGGCGAACAAGCAGCTCTCTACCAAGGGTGCGTACATCTCCCGTTCGCAACCATTTACCTTGCTAACATGACATCCCAGTCCTCGCCGACGTGATCGAGTCGCTCATCGGCGCCGCCTACATCAGCGGTGGCTTCCCCCTCGGCTACGAATGCGCCAAATTCTTCGACTTGGGCTTGAAATGGGCTCCCCTCCCCACTCGGGTCGACCAGATCCTCTCACGTGTCCAACCCGAGGACGACATCCCCATCCCACCCCAGCTCGCCGACGTCGAGCACATGCTCGGCTACACCTTCAAACGCAAGATCCTCCTGATCGAAGCTCTAACGCACGCGAGCTATCGCGAGCATATCAACACCATCTCCTACGAACGCATGGAGTTCATTGGGGACTCGATTTTGGATATGGTTGTGACCGATATGCTCTATCGAGCGCCCAGGGAGTATAGTCCTGGCCATATCCATCTACGCCGCTCGGCGGTCGTGAACGGGCATTTCCTGGCGTACATCTGTCTTGGGATGTGGAGGGAGCTGGAGGGCGTGATGCCTCAACCGAGTGCCAGTTCGAACGCGGGTAAGGACGACTGGAACCCGTATCTCAATCCTCCGACGTTCGAAGAGGGAACGACGGCGCATAGGATCCATTTATCCCAGTGTCTCTTACATTCCAGCCAGCAGGTGCTGGACGACCTGCGCAACACGGTTGAGCGATACGAGCTGAGGAGGGAGGAGATTGCTGATGCGCTGGAGCATGGCTCGATTTTCCCGTGGTCGTCTCTCACCCGTCTGCAAGCGCCCAAGTTCCTGAGCGATATCGTCGAATCGACCATCGGCGCTGCGTTTATCGATTCCGGGTTCTCGATCCCCGTCGTCACGTCCATCATCAGACGAATCGGTATCCTACCGGTCCTCGAACGCATCATTCGGGACGACGTCGACGTCTTGCACCCTGTCTCAAGGTTGTCGATGTGGGCAGCGCAGAATGAGAGGAAGGTGGAGTACAAGTACGAGAAGAAGAGGGGAGACGTGGCATGTACCGTTGTTGTGGATGGGGTGGAAGAGGTGAGGGAGGTGGAGAAGTATAGGGGTGTGTCGAGTGAGGTTGAGGTCAGGTTTGCGGCTGCTGAGAGGGCGATTAAGGAGTTCAAGTTGAGGGTTGGGGGAGGGAGGGGGAAGACGAAGGCCAAGGCCAGTGCGAATGAGGGAGACGTGGACGTGGAGATGAAAGATGGAGAAAAGAAGGAGGAGATGGTGGTTGATAGGAAGGGGAAAGGAAGGGCGATTAAGTAGGATACCCTAATTCTCACATCTAGGATGGACATGTCAGGTTTGAAAGTCGCACTGAAATAGAGTCGAAGTTATGCATTCGTAACCACTGAGAACAGTGCAGGCGATACAGAATCATTATCGAACAATCACACCGTAATAACCCGAAGAAGCGCCTCAAGCCATACTCCAAGACTGTCAACTACGCAAAATGATGAGCCGAGTATTACTTAGAGCAAGCCCAACAGGACGACGAGTAGGGTGAATCCGAGACCATGGAGGAGGACACCAACAGCCTTCAAGCTTTGGAAGAGTGTAAGTTCAGGCATGCCTCTATATGAGAAAGGCAGCTGGGACTCACAGAACAGCGACGAGCTTGAGAACGCCAGCGAGGACGAGCTGCAAGCCGAGGAGGAGCTTGAAGAGGGCGAGGTCGAGACCGAACTTGGGGACGAGCGGGTAGAGGTGGGGTTTCTTGGTCTTCAAGTTGTCAAGGGAAGTGGCGACGTCCTAATCCCAATAAACCGCTGGTGAGTGCTCAGGTTATGTTGCACAGGGTGGACGACTTACAGTGTACACTGTGGCGACTTCCTCAGCGACTTCTTCTTCAGTGCCCCCGCTGCTTGGGTCGACTTTGCCCTGGAGACCTTGGAGGGACACGGTACCAGTGTCGAAGGCACCAGCGAGCTGCTCAAGGAGAGGAGAAACGTTCTCCTCGGTGGCGTCGTCGCTGTTAACCAGGGCATCTATCGTCGGTCGGGTATTTAGTGTCCCATTCCGGGCCCTGTGAAAGCAAAATGGGCTTACCGAGCTGGGGGAGGATGCTGCCGGTGGTAGACTTAAGGGTGCCGATGACAGCCAAGACGTCGGAGACGTCCTCGCGCTTCTGGACAGTTTCAGCAGGTCGGGCGACGGCGGAGATGGCGCCGACAGCGAAGACGGAAAGGAGAACACGAGTAAAGAACATGATGTAGATCGAAGTAGGTTTGAAAGAACTCTGAGTCTGGTGTTTGTTTGCTGCAATAGACTGCTGCTGCTGCTTTACCTAGCATGAACGTTACGCTCTTTTATACCAAAGCCCATTGTTTCACCAATTGATTGAGAAATAGCGTTCGACAGAGTTCGAGAGACTGAACGTTCGCCGTTCTCGAGCACGCAAGGCGGACATGACGTCTGGAGTGACGTCCTGAAACTGCTTCTCATCCTACCTCTTCGTCGATCTGACTCTTTCAAAGTCACCATCCTGTGTTCCTTTGGTGCCATTCGGATAGATAGCTCCAACGCTCGGGAAAAACACTCCAGCAGTTCGCGTAAGTGAGGTCAAACTTGGTTGTGTGGGGTGACCTGGGAGCTCACGGCTGCGACAATCATTTCCTCCAAGGGCGGTGGACAGTGTTGATCATTGAACTTTGCACCCAAGTCCGCAACGGAAGGGTTTTCGCCAAGCACATGCACTTGTCGAAGGTGTTGAGACAGGGACAGAAATGCGAATAGCTAAAGTGCCATTGCGGATGTAAGACCCACAATTACCTATCATATATCACACCTTCTGGGAACCTCAGCAAAACACAGCCAAATGACCTGATCGCAGCGTAGAACTTGATGGTTGCATGTAGGGCTATCGCCTCGCCCCGGACAATTGTGGAGTCGGTAAGACTAGTCGAGAAGGCGCGAACTTCAGGAAGTACGGCACGTGGCATACCTTATTTCCACTTATTATACCTTCTTGAAAGCGAAAGGCGCGATTTGCCTAGGCGCTCAGCCTGAGTGAATAAACCCGATAGACTGGCCATAATAGTCTCCGCGAAATGGGAATGCTTCAGAGATCCACGCATGGCCTGTTGTGTGACGAAGATCTACACCTCGGGAAAATTGCTGTTAAAACGGCTGTCCGTGGATAGGCGGGCCTCGAGAGGCATCCTGGTGGAACTTGACATGAGAAGGGGAGGGTGTGCACTCACCTTGGAAACATCGTTGGGTTTACAGCGGGATATTCAGCCCAGGTAACGCTCTTCGAGCATATCATCTTGCTCCGCAAGTGACATAAGTGCTGGTCACCGGTGCAGTAAATCGATGGAGGACTAGGTGATGGGACTTGGAAGTGTGGGGAAATGGCGTGATACATTGACGAGATATGAGCTGGGATGACAGCACCGAAGCCAATTCGAAGTTCAGAAGGGAGGCAGGGCAACTCCATTGAATTATTTCCCTGATCAAGATATTCCGTGAAGGTACCGCAGGAAGGCCGACGAGCCGCTTAGCAGCCGACTGTACTTGTCGACCTGCGTCATTTCGTTATTGGGACTGTTTCTGCGCCCACAGGGACACTGGCCTTGAATGCAGCTCGTACACAGATGGCCTATTTGTACGGTACAAGCGACTAGTGAGAACTGACAAGGTACGTGAGTAGAAGCAGTTAGCAAAGGCTCCCACAGGTGTTGTATGCCAGTTGAAGTGAGCTGTACCTCCGTGCCCCAGGGATCGCAGTGTCGGGACGGTACACTTCCACATCTAGCCATCAGGACCTTTGAATCCATTCCTCTAGAAATGAGGGACATCAAACACATACGGTACACATCCTCCGAAGCCCTCCAACCTACGCCCTCAATCCCTCCGCGTCTGGTTCAAAATCAACAAATGAGCCAAAAGGCTTGCCGAAGACCCATCACTCTCCAACACACCCCTCTCCTCATAATCCTTTAACACATCCTCCATAAACCTCCTCGCTCCCGAAAAATGTGCAACCCGAGCGCAAGATGTGTAGATTTCCAGGTACCTCGAGTTCGGAAGCGGGAGGTTTGCTGGGTCGCTGGATTGGAAGGTGAGGGTAGGAGGCTGGCCGATGAGGAAGATTGGATCGGAGGCTTCGAGCTTATACGTGTTGGGAGGCTGAGTCGCTGGGTCGTCCTGCGTATGAACGCCGAAGGAGGGCAGGTAAGTGTTGTTGCGGAATAAGTTGAGTAGAGTTGATCAAGTACTCACCAAGGGCGCTATCCAGATTCTACTTTCCTGGAATGTAAGACAGGTATCCAGCCGAAGCGTCACCGCGTTGTCGAGTCGATGGGCACCCAGACCGCTTGGATCGGAATACATCTCGTCGACGACGTCAGCGTAGCCAAAGTTTCTGAGTATGCGCGTCCAGCCTTCATTCAAATTTACATCCAGGGGTGGGTTCTTCGATTTTCCGTTATCACCTGGGTGCCGCTTGAATCACAACGTCACGAGTTCTTGTTCAACTAGAGTCAACTAAGACGAGGACGGAGTCGACTCACCTGGTCCGAATTCCCATTTTCGCTATCCGGCTCCAGGATAGGAAGGAAATGAAAACACCGCGTAATCGAAGCGGGGCTCCTCTTCTCTGTCACTTTCTGGGCTAACTGGGGCAAAGCCTCGCATGAGGGCCCGTCGTAGTACCCGGTCATTACGCATCGATAGCCATCCCGAATTAGGGCCTGGTAATCGAAAATGTAGGTGGGAAGTTACATAGGAAGTAACGACGCACGTATTTCTTAGCTGTAACATGATCCAGTGGAGGATCCCTACGCACATCCCTATCCATATCTTCTCGGATGTCGAAGGCGGGTCGGTTGAAGGGCGGAGAGTCGGGGGAAGGTATAGGCGTACGACAGCTTCTCGATTGGACTTCTCGTTGGTTGAATTTCCACAGACATCCCAAAAGAATGAGAATTTTTGGTTAGTTTTCATTCCGAACCGCCCTTCCTAGTTGACGGATGCATAATGAGAAAAGGAACTTACAAACACCAATAAAACAAACATAATAGAACCTTCCAAGGTCCTCCAACCGCTCCTTCCTTCCCTCGCATTCAATAATTTCGTCTGCGACATGCTCCCTCGCACGCTCGTTCGGAGCGTAGAGCAACAGATACCCAAGAAGCCTGCAACACACCAGAGAAAATTCCTGCGCCTGCCCTCTGCCAGTGGATACCGCTGGGCCAACTAGCGGATGACCATCCGAGGCCAGTTCGGGTGCGTTCAACTCCAACTCCAAGCTCCCCTCAAGTCCACAAATGGCATCATAAGCTCGTCGAACTTTGGGATTCGATTGGATGGGGGAAGGTAAGGTAGTGAGAGGGGGTAGTTTCGCCATGGTTTCAGGTATTGGGGTGTTGAGTACGGAAAGGCAGCGGGGAAAACGCGTCGAGTCGAGCAGACCAGAGCTAAACCAGGCTGCTCTGAAGTGTGAACCGAAACACGAAGATCGGCGTTGACGCTGAGAGGAGAGACCAAGGACGGAGGACAATGGCATTGGAAAATAACACCGTCATACACCGGCATACAACTTTGATCGACTCGGGGGTGATGGATTCGGAAGCTAACACGGACATACAAACATTCTCAATTCAAGCTCGACTGGCAGAGTCGCAAAGTTCGGGCTTGCCTATTCTCAATATTCGCGATACGGTTCCTCAGAGTTCGTGATGCCCTCGGGTAATCCCAGTGTCCAGGTATCCCATACATCTGATATAATTTAGTAATTTGAGATTGGATGACATTGTGGGTCACGCAGAACTCTTCGTCCTCTTGGACGCAAACTCGATATCGCTCATCTCAATCCCAGCATCACCCATCGTTGCCCCGGTACCCATTGTACCCATCGTATCCGCCTCCGTGCCCCCGCTCCCAATCCCACTCGTCTTGCCTCTCCTCCTTCCCTTCCACTCCTCTTTCTCACCTCCATAACCCCGGTCCCAAAATCTCATACTACCAAATCTCAACCTATTCCCCTCCCTCACCGTCGTCGACCCTCCCCCACTCCCATTGGTGTTCCCACCAAAATCGAGGGTCGTGCTGCTGCCGGCTTGGACGTCTTTGCGGCCTTGTTCGCGCAGGTGGAGGATGGCGCGGTTGGCGAGGATGGCGTGGATTGTGCGTTGGGGGCTGGATTTTCGGATGCGGGTGTGTGTGTGTGTGTCAGTTTTGTGGAAGTTTGTGAGTCGTGAGTGGAGGGGAAGGGGAAGGAGAGGATGAAGATGAGGATGAGGGAAGGGGACGTACATGAGGAACATCGCGTCACAGTTAAACTATGTACCGGCCGTCATCCCAAAAGCGTACCCATTGCAGGTTATCGATTGCCAGACGCAATTGAGCCATAGCAAGAAGCAGAGTAAACCGAGAACAATATAAGATACCAACCCAACCGGGACAGAACCCTGATAAAAACGCACCGGCACAGTAGCAGAAATAACGATATTGACGAGCGAGGTGATCGCCAACCCGAGGAAGTAGATGAGGCCGTCCCGGTAGAAGATGCTCAGGAGCGAGCTCTTGGTGGAGCGGTGTTCTCTGATCATGATGTAGAGTGTTAAGGAGATGATGACTGTCGAGTTTAGGGTGGGCGTTGGGCGTTGGGTGGTAGGAATTGGGAGCAATAGGTCGGATAGGGAAGTCAAGGTCGGGGATGTACGCGAAAACGAATAGGGACACGGTCGATTAATATAAGTATATATGTAGCCTCAGAACCACGCAGATTCAAAGGAGGACTGCGACGCACGAGTGTGACTGCCCAACCCTACGCTATACAACGCGATCTCCTTCCATCGTGCGGACCCTTGTGCGACCGGGAGGCAGGGCATTACCGAGGGTATGGGCGAGGGCTCGTCTGTAGGTGTGGTTGATTAATCATAAGTAAATTCGAAGGGATGTGGTAGGGGTGAGAAGGAGAGTAGGTGAGAGGTGGTAGCAGGTGAGAGTTGGTAGTCGGTGAAAGGTGGTAGAGAGAGTATCGGTGAGAAATGATAGAGAGACTCGGTATGGTGTAACGAAAAGAAAGGATGAGCTACGCACATTCCACGTCCCGTATGAACACGCATACCGCTACGAACGGTGCGAAATGCAGGATCTGTTAAAGCACAACGCAGTTATATGATATTCTGCTTTTACGGGGCATAGAGAGATAGAGAGAGAGATACAGGGATGGAGACAGATATCGAGATCGAGATCGAGCCCAAAGAGAACAGAGAGTAAGAGTCCATCAAACATAATACCCTCGAAGTTAAAAACGAAGATCTAGGGACGTACGAAGAATTGAAACCCCAACCACCCGCCCATCCACCTGTTCCGGCCTGAGAGGGCGAAGAGGCGGAGGAACATGATTGCTGCGTGCCGTTGATCGTGATGCACAATGTATCGTTCGTTGGGTTGGTAGGCATTGTTGGTTTTTCGATATAAGCTCCATAACCCTCGGGGGTTGGTAGTCATGCACATACCTTCCGAGAGGAGGAACCCGAAGAAGGCGAAGGCTAGTAAGTCGTCTCAGCCGGTTTCGATCGAGGGAGGAAGGTCGAGGGAGGAAGGTCGAGGACAAGGGCGGGGACAAGGACGAAAGAGGAAGAGGAGCAGGAGAGCAGGAGCAGGAAGACGTACTGGTGGAAGAGATGAATCCCATCCTACACACCTACATCCATCACCCCGCGAAGGTATATCATCGATCCCATGTCAACAGGAGAACTCTGTCAAGGAGGAGTTCCATTTGGGAATGAGGGCGTACGTACGGAAGGTGAAGACCCATGATCCACTACATTAACCAAGGTTAACGCCGTATTCATTCGATGGTTTGAGCATTTCAGTCGAGAATAACATTTCGATTGAGAATAGCATTTCAATTTTAATTGAGGATGCGTACCGAAATGCCGGAATATGATATCCAACACCCAGTATCGGTTCAAGAGGAACAGGATCTTGGCGAAGCTCCATTCGGAGGGCCAGATTAGGGAGACCTGGGGTAGGATTCGGGTAGTCAATCAGAGTCATAGAGTCAATGAGAAATGGAGACTCTGAGTGGTAGTACAGTCGCAGCGGACTGAGGAGAGGTGAGAGACATGCCGCGGCGTACCTCGAGCGGAAGCGTGTGCAGGTAGTCTGCGAGGAAAACTGTGGCTGCTACGGCTGTCAGTGTGGTTTATTCGTGTTCGTCGGTTTATTCGTGTTCGTCCGTGGACGGATGGCCGCGGCGGGTGTTGTGTTATCGTTCAAAAGATTTCGTTATCGTTATCGTTACCGTTTCAGGCGTTTTGGTATATGTTTCGGTTATGTATCGTCGTTGTCGTTATTCAGTTTTTGTCGTCGTCGGTGCCATCATATCGAAAGGACGTTGGAAATCGTTAACCGGGAGTACTCGAGACTCTCGGATAAAATTGTAAACGTACGAGTGAAGTACTAGTATCGTAAAAATAGAAATGAGTGCCGGGGATGCAGAGGAAAACCAAAGGAGCAACTCCAAGGAAATAGGGACGTACGTGCTCCGTTATCTCGCATCGCGCGACTTGGAAGAGGTTGTCGGGTGTTAAGACGTCCATCCCCAGCAGTCTCCCTTCTGTCGTGTGAGGTTACTATTAGAGGAGGGAGGTTACATCAGCCAGGAAGCAGAACGTTCCGAGCCTCGTCCGTTCTTTATATACTTTACTTATTGCACACTGACATGTCTTCTGTGCGATCTTTATGCCTTCTGTGCGATCTTTATGCCTTCTGTGCGATCTTTATGCCTTCTGTGCGATCTTTATGCCTTCTGTGAGATCTTTATGCCTTCTGTGAGATCTATATACCTTCTGTGAGATCTTTACGTCTTCTCCACCATCCTTATACTGGTGTCTGTACAGCCTCTTCACGAGACAATAAGGTACACGGAGCTTCTATTCGCACCCGTATGTTCGAGTACATCAGCGTAACCTTAAAAGCTTGACATGTGCGCCCGAGTTGCAGGGTGACCGACCGTCATGTGCCTAGTGGTTTCCCTCTGTCCGATGTCGATCTGTCTACGTCAGGTTGGAAACTTGTCAGTGACGAGAGGGACGATCATCGGGCCACGGCGTGCAAGAGGGTTGAGTGGAGGGAAGTGGTAAGTGGCACATAGGTGAGTGATAGGTATCTGAGGCACATAAGTAAAATACTTCCTTCCAAAAGACTTAATGAAGAATAAAGCGGGGATATCTTCTTGTCACACGACCCAAACCCAAACTGTAACGAATCAGCTGAGAGCCTGCCGGTGGACAGCGAAGAACCCAAGAGCGAGATTGATGACACTGACTTGTGTGATATGTATCATAGAGGGACTTTCTCGATATCACTTCGACGAGAAGCCAGAAGAACTTGGGGAGAATCAACGCTGCATAAGTAGCGCTTCGAGGGCTCTTGATAGATAGATTGTTGTCAATGTTATATGGATAGATCTCGAGACCGTGGTTGTTCGAGAGCGGTGGGGCCTGGAGCTCCGGAGTTTGGCATCCATCTCTATCGCAGGTTCGCAATCTCGACATCACGGCAGTGCTGGTATAGTAGTAGACGGGCGACGATCCTCTCGTCCTCCGAATCTCAATCGCAAGTCCTATCTCACGGCAAGTCACTATGCTCCGTGCTGGCTCCGGAGTCCCGACTCTCGTCTGGGGATTGGGGACAACAACTCATTAATCATGATGCACCCAAAACTCGCACTGTGCAGGGTTCGAACTTTGAACCCAAGCTCCGGTTCAGAGACCCTGAACTTGGCGATCAACGCCTTGGGCCTATGACGTAACCCCCAACCATCAATGGGTTGGAACGCGTGGCTGGACGCGAGGCTCAGGCCACCCCCTATATAATGCAGAACGTGCCCGGACCTTGCCCTTTCTCTCTTTCTCTCTCTTTCTTCCTTTCTATTTTTGCTTTCTCTCTCGAGATTGATCTGAGATCGTGATTCGATTAGATACAGCGACGAACACGATTCGAACGACGACGGTGAGTAGTACTAGTGTTGGGTGGATGTTGGGTAGGATTAGGAGGCTAATGCGAAGGATCTAGAAACCCGAGTAAACGAATACACTCTACGAGGAACGACGATTAGAAGAAGAGTAGAATACAGGCAAGATGCCAGTATCTGAAGCCATCCTTACGCAAATCCTGGCTCGATTGGAGTCGATGCAGGTGTCGCAGCAGGCCATGCAGGCAAAGGTGCGTCCCCAAAGCCTTTGATCCTTATCCATCCGTTCAATCCATCCATCCATCCATCTACATATTTACCTATCCATCTATGTATCTATCGATTCCTATCGCTCATCTCCACCTTCCATACCGTCCATCCACTCCTTCCGGCGATGGCGACGTGACGCTGATGCATGACATGCTATGCTTCGCAGCTTGACAGCCTCGCAGCCAGCCAAGCCTCCATTACGCCTCTCGAGCCAAAGTCGCCTGCGCGCAGCACCCCAGGGCTGCCTTCCACCGCCGATGCCAAGAACGAGGAGAAGAAAACTGGGTTGCAGGAGGCGACTGTCGGTGCAGCCGTCACCTCCACCACGCCCGCTCGCGACGCCCTCGCACAGATGACGGATAAGGAGAGGGAGAAGCTGCTCTATCCAGGTCGAGTTAACCTCACCAGTGCGTCCTTCTTTCCCTCCCTTTCTCTCGCAGGATGCTGATAAGCTTGATGATAGCGTACCCCGACCAACACGGTATCGCCCCGCACCCGCTCCAATGGGGCGCCGCCGACCCGACGACGCGCGGACCGGTGATCTGCTCGCGCCTCCCCTCGTCCATCAAGCAGCGCAACGCCCTCGGCGCGCATGCCGGGTCCTATTCCATCTACCGCGCCCTGAGTATCGCGATGGGCGCTCTCAACCCCTCGCACAAACCCGACTACTCGCAGACCGAGCCGCCTATCAACATCCCGCCTCAACCCTCCTGGTCCGACCCGTCCAAGATCGTCTCCTTTGATCCCTGGGGCCATCTCGTGCCGCAGGTGTTCAGGAAGGAGATGGACGAGTTGGGGTTGGACGTCCGACCTTCCATCGCGATTACGAAGGCGCATTTGAAGATGAGCGAGCTGGATGAGGCGGCGCGCAGGGGCGAGATGGTTATTGATGGGAATATCGTGTTGAAGAGCCGACCTGTGCGGAATGAGGATGGGAGTGAGAATCTTTCTGTGGATCCGGGTGTGGAGGTGAATGTGGGCAAGGCGGCTATTGACCCTGTTTGGTATTTGCCTGGTGTGGCGGAGAGGTTTGGGATGTGCGTACTTTTCTCTTTTTTGGTGGGGAGGGTGCTGATGATGGTCTGTTGGTTGTAGTTCCGAGACCCTGCTTCGACGTGCGCTCTTTGAGGATACGGGAGGAATGTACCCCGAGCTTATCACGAGACCCGACATCAAGGTCTTCCTACCGCCTATTGGTGGATGTACTGTTTACATCTGTGCGTCGTCTCTCGCTCCTCTTATCTGTCACGTCTGACGAGTCTTTTCAGTTGGAAACCCCGCGTATATGTACGACGAGACGAAGGAGCTTACTCTGCGTGTTCATGACGAATGTGAGTATCGTATCGTATCTCTCCGTTATTGGCATCGAACCACACCTTTCTTTTGATGCTATGGATCTTATCTTATCGCTCTTCCTCTCTCCCTGTCGTTGTTTATCTGTCCTAACGTTATCCCCTTCTCTCCCTCGCTTTTCCTCTTTCTATCTTACTTCTCCTCCACAAACGACTAACTCTCCTACTTCCCCCTCACAGGCAACGGCTCAGACGTCTTCGGCTCCGACATCTGCACATGCAAACCCTACCTCGTGTATGCGATTGAGGAGTGTATCCGAGGTGCGCAAAAGGGCGGTGTGGGTGTTGTTGCGTACTTTAGGAAGGAGGGGAGGGCGTTGGGTGAGGTTACCAAGTGCGTACTACTGCTTTTCCTTTTCCCTCGCGACATTATACTAAACAACGCATCACATCTTTCCCAGATATCTAGTCTACAACCTCCGCAAACGCGGTGGCGACAGCGCCGACAAGTACTTCAAGTCTACGGAGATGATCGCTGGTGTGAAGGATATGCGGTTCCAAGCGCTCATGCCTGATGTTTTGCACTGGTTGGGGATCAGGAAGGTGGATCGGATGGTTAGTATGAGTGATATGAAGTATGATGCGATTGTGAAGAGTGGGATTCCTATTTTGACGAGGTATGATATACCTGGTGCGTATTGTTTTCGTCGTATGTGTTGGGGCGCGGGATGGCTGACGGTGGTTTTCTTTTTTTCCTTTGCTTTGCTTCGTCTCCCTACTACTTCGCCTCGGTACGGGCACCCTCGTCTCGTCTCACCTCACCTTTTTCCTTCTGTCCTACCGGGCATTTTCCCAACATACGACGTGGATACGATGCACGCACTTGTACATAGACCACCTCATCCCGCCCGACTCGCGCGTCGAGATCGATGCGAAGATTGCTGCGGGTTACTTCTCGAGTGGGAAGCAGGTGACGGAGGCGGATTTGGCGAAGACGGTGGGTAGGACTTGGGAGGAGATGGAGCATTAAGGGAGGGGGAGGGGGTCGGGAGATGGAGCGTTGGTTTCTTTCTTTGTGGGATGGGGGATGGAGCGTTAATTGTTTCTTTCGGAGGTCGGGAGTTGGGGTTTTAGTTCTTTCTTGAATTCGGATTTGCATTTTGCATTTATACGTTTGTACGTTCGTGCTTTGTGTACCGCTGGTTATAATCGTAATGGTTTTGAGCTTTTGAGCGTGGCTTTTTTTCAGCCTGAGCGGGGGTGCCAGGGGGGATGGTGTCTAGACTGGGGAAAAGGAACTGGCGAGATATAGTTTCGGATATGGTATACCGTAGTCTCCCGTCGTCGGATTAAACGATACTCAGTGCGGTGTGATAGCTACAGGGTGGAAGGCTACAGAAAGTTATTTAATACAGACTCTACTCGTCCTCCTCCATCGCAGCCCTGAAAGGGCCGTTGTGTCCCTGCATTCTGGGATGAACACAAACAAGGATGAACGAACACAAACAGGGATGAACACAAACAGGGATGAACAGAACGCAAACAGGTCCAGTCCTAATCGTAAACAAAAAGTTGAAGATTCCAACGATATTCCTCCTCGTTTATGCCTGCGTAGGGTCCCATTCAATAGCGAACCCGAACGTTTACCCGAGGGTTAAAACCCACCCACCTTCATTCAACAACCACCTCCCTAATCCTTTCCTCCCTCTCTCCCTCCCTAAGATCAGGCCCACATCTCCCTCGGCACTCCCTAAGATCAGGCCCACATCTCCCTCGGCATCGTATGGCCGGCCACCCCTTCAATCTTGACAATCTGCGATACCCCTTCAATCTTGACAATCTGCGATACCCCTTCAATCTTGACAATCTGCGATACCCCTTCAATCTTGACAATCTGCGATACCACCCATGAACTTCTGACATCTCCCCGAGTCATCATCATCGTCTTCAAAATTCTCGGGAGGCCCGTAACACCATCATCGTCTTCAAAATTCTCTGGATACCCGTAACACCATCATCGTCTTCAAAATTCTCTGGATACCCGTAACACCAGATTTTTCCGAATCACGTTCCTGGGGTATTCGTGTGGTACTGCATGAGGCCTGAGGAGGGACAAGGCAGCGATTGCATCCGTTTCTTCGGGTGGGTAGTTGGGTGTCACTTTGTGTGCCCACCGGTAGAAGACGTCGCGGCTGAGCACGTAGCCCGCGTAGACTCTGGTGCACCGGAAGGAGCCTGGAGGTGGTTGTTGGATACCAGCGGAGCTACACGTTGCTGACATGGCGTATTTGGACGCTGGAGAGGGTGCAGCTGCATCCAGGGCTATTCAGGGCTATCCAGGCGCCTACATGCTTCGGAGTAATCCGGATGCGACACCCACGAGACGGCGTCTTCATACACGCTGTCGACCAACTCAACCAATATATCCAAGTAGTACATAGTGACTTTTGCTGCTAGAAATTTTCGACGATGGATGTTGGTTCAATCATCAATCATATTCTAAGTTGTAGCGGTAATGTGCAATGAACTGTCACGGTATAAAAGGCGAATAGAGCATCCTAATAGTATAGTTTCCAATGTCCCATTTCCATCCTTCCTAAAACGCGAATTCAAACCTCGACTCAAGTCATCCTTTCAAACTGAGTCCGTGGGTGTACGCAAAAGTTCACCTCCCTCTGGATCAGACTCTGGTCTTCTTCGAGCCTCGACCCTTCTTCACACCTCTCGCTGGAATGCGAATGGTAAGCTTTTCCTTGTCGTCATCCTTCCTATCTTCGTCCTGACCTCCATTGGGAGGCACACCAGAACTCTCAGTTGTATTCTCTTTCTCTCCAGCCTGAGCGGTAGACTCATCCAAGGTATCCTTATCCGACTTTCTAGCCCTCTTCTTCGCCTTCCTAGTACCAGCGCCCTTCGCAGTAGCACCATCCTTGGACTTCGACTTGGCATTTCCGCCGCTCTTTCCGGAATCATCGTCTTTACGACGCTCCTCCTCCTCCTCCTCCGAGCCCGCAGCGCGCTTCCTCTTCTGACCTCTGGTCTGTTTGGGCTTGGGAGCCATCGCGGGTGCGGCTTTGATAGTACTAACCACAGCGGAGACTGCTTCTACCACGTCTTCGGTCGAGGGCCCAGGAGCAGCTTGGGAAGGAACCTTCTTGTTTCGCGAGGAGCGACGGGGAGCTGGCTTCGTGTCGTCGATGACGTCCTTATTGGTGGCCTCGGCGATGGTGGTAGCGGCGACGGTGGTGGTACGCTGCTCGCTGGTATCGGGGCTGGTAGCAGTGGTCGGAACGGGAGCCTGAATGGACGAATCCTCGTTCTGAGCTTCGACTTTATTCGCCAACCGGGCCGATCGACGAGTAATCGGGACAGTTTCCTTCTCCTTCTCCAAGTTCTTCTTCTTCCCATTGGACTTGAAGTTGGGCCCCGCGTTGTCTGAGTGGGATACCTGTGCATTGGCTGCGACGGCTTTCTCAGAAGTTCCAGCGTCAAGATCTGTCGCTGATAATGAAGGAATGAGATTTTGTGATTGGGCCACAGTGGCAGGCCGGATTTTCGTACCTTGGTTTGGCTCAGTAACAGACGCCTTCGAGTGCTCCGAGTCAATCTTTTGCGCCTCAGATCCACCGAAAACCGAGTTCGAGTCGTTCTCCGCGTTGGGTGCCTCGGGTTCCTTCGACTCATTGACCGCAGCGGGCTGCGATGGTCCAGCCTCTGCAGTATCTGTGGTGGCATTAGCGTTAGCGCGCTGTGTATCGGGTAAGGCACTCGGAGAGGCTTGTATCGTACCTTTGTCAACTCCGCAGGCAATCTGTGGCTCTTCAACACCAGATGGCTGGCTCAACTCGCGCTCCTCTTCGTTCGACTGCTCATTTCCTTTCACTCCCTCATCTCTACTCTTATCCTCATCCTTATCCTTATCCTTAGTCCGGTCATTCTCGTTCTCACTCTGAGACTTCACAACTCTTCGGTGACCCTGCTGTTCTCTCCTAAGACCCGCTTTAGCCCACAATTCCCTCGCGCGACCAAGTTTGAGACGGGGTGGACCGCTCCATCCCGCGAGCCTGGCAAATCGAAGGTTAAGAGACCTAGCCGGAGTAGGGGGACTAGTATAGCTTGAAGAGCTAGAGGATCCTGCGCTGGACATGGTCACCGTTGACATTGGGGTGGTAGTACAAGTTCCAAGACGTTAGTAGTTGCAGGAGCTGGTGGTTGTATTGAAGGTCCAAGCAGAAGCCAGTGGTTGTAAAGGTTTACGAAGGAGCCAGTGGTTGTCGTATAGGTTCAAGAAGGAGCCAATGGTTGTTGTAAAGGTTCAAGAAGAAGCCACGGCCGTCGTGGTCACCCTTTGTTTTGTCCTTTGAGCGACAAACAATCCACGCTGGTTGGTTAAACGCCCAGAAAGGTGAACAAAGCGCGCGTTTTTGATCGCTCGGACGTGCCGCTGTGGCATTTGATCACGTGGGGTGATGCGGACGCGTCTCGGGACTTGGAAGTTGGCAAGCCCAGTGAGTGCCAGGCTCCAGTGATGGCCAATGGCAAGAAAAAAATCAGGAGAATGAAGATGAATAATCGAAAATTGGGTATTAAAATTATCGTATAATTCAAATACACATTACTAGTACCCTCCTCAATCTCACTCTAGAGTCCCGAGGGCCACCCTTGAACACTACCTCCGATTCAGCCACTGAGAGACGATCGTCGATACCGCGCACCCTCCTTCGCTGAACACCTGAACACTTCCTCGAGGACCCTTCCAAGCTTGACTGGTGTCTCAAAATAGTGTTGAGGCTAGATGTGGGATCTCTCATTTTGTCTGGCTTGAATCGGAACCCTCTAGACAGGGAGCTCTGCTCAGGCCCCAGAAGGGGTGATCGATTCTCAAAGGCTCGTTTATGCAAATGCTCGGGGGATCGTACCTCAGGCCTCAGTCCATTGAGAGCCTGGGGGTCAGGGGTCGGTTCGTCCTATAAGGAACGTGGGAAAGCATTACATACGTAGTCCAAACGAATCCGAAATCGACCACATTTGCCGGGTTGCTTTTCAACCCACCCCTCGCTCCTGGTAACACTTAACACTCTCACCATTGCGAGTGATGAGCGACCCAGGTGATAGAGTCATACAACCTGCTCGCTGAGAAGTGCTATGGCCTCGCTGGTATCTGGTTCGATGCATACTGTATGGTCACCAGTGACCAGATCCTAGCTGGAGAGACAGAGCCTTTTCCTGGCTATCACCTACTCCCTGCGATCTCCAGTGAAATCTTCCAGTTTCTTCCAAGATCTCTATCTCGTCGCGTCTTCTCGTATCACATCATCCCTCCTGCTGAATCGAGTCACTCTGCTCACCTGACTTGGCTTCCCAGTCTTCTACCTTCTTCGTGGCCTAGTGGATACCGCTCCTTGGGGTTCTTCAATTCAGTTCAAGTTGTCCAGCTGGAGGATCTGTCATCCACAATGTAATAGCCACACTCGGCGTCCATTGGTTATGTGGCTCTGTTGAAGATCGAAACAACGTGGCAAGGTGATGAATGGCTGGTGGAACTGGGAAGGCCCTTTCCTGAATGGCGCTCCTTGGTTAAGCCTTCGAAGCTGCCCTTCTTACTATATTTCTTATAGATGATACCTCTCGCAACGTGACTGGAGATGGTCAATATAGTCGCTTTCGATGAAGTTACCCGTCTTTCGTGAAGCACAACTCCAACTGGCAACCACTACTGGTGTACAAAGCGCTCCCTGAGTGTCTCCTCACTATTGCCTCTCTCAAGAACTATTCTTCCTTCACTTATCGCGGACCAATTTCGGTTCAAAATGGCTATGTATAGCCCTCATGTTCTTCCCGACCATATAAAAAGGGTTCCAACGAAGTTACATTCAAGTCGAAGCTCGAAGCCCTTCCCTCACTTCGAAGTTCCGTGCGTCTCTCGAATATCAAGAAGCCAAATACTGGCCACCAATATCGTCAAAGGTTCTGCGATGATGGGCTGGACGAGAGTTATTTCAGCTTTGATCTCGCTGGCTCTGCCGGCGAGTGCTTTCATTCGACTACCATGCTCGAATCTGGTTACACAGCGCTTTGATCCGTATGTCCTTCGCTCTGTCTCTTTCTGTTATGCGTCTGATGGATCGATATAGGTTGGTTACACCAGGGGAAGTCTCACCTCACGTCCACCAGATCGTCGGAGGAGTGCGTACTCGCATCGAACTACCATCGCTGAAGCACTGACTTTCGGTGGACCCCCCAACCTCTAGAATGCGTAAGTCCACCATCGCTCGCCAGCGACTTAACAGAACGCTGACTCCTATCATCTGCGCAGATTCAACTTGTCAATGGACCCAAGCATCGACTATGGCGAGACCGCCACTTGTACCACCTGTCGATTCAAAGAAGACAAATCCAACTACTGGACTGCAGTCTTGTACTTTAGGCATCCGAATGGGAGCTTCATCCGCGTTCCGCAGATGGCGAACCATAACACTGGTCCGGGGCTTCAAGCAGGTGGTATGACGGTGTACTACTTCCAGCCAAGACCCCCGACCAAGAATTTGAACATCGTTCCGTTCGCAAAGGCGCGTCGCTACTGTGGCTTCTGGCTAACCTTGGCTTTGTCAGTTAAACTAAAGACGACGATATTGCAGGGCTTCCGGATGATCACTGGCAACCCGATGCGCCGCCGCGATGACACCGACCCGAACGATACCCAATCCAAATCCATCACGTTCAGGTGCTTCCACGGCGCTGATCCTGGACCGTTTGGTACCCCAGGAACTGGTCCAGACGACTCCGTAGAGTTCCCGAGGAAACCTTGCTCAGGCGGTATTCGGTCGAATATCTTTTACCCTCAGTGAGTGTCGAGTAGCTCGTCACCTATTGTCCAGAAGCTGATCAGGTGATTGGGGATGTAGGTGCTGGGACGGTGTCAACTTGGATCCTCCCGATCATGCGGTTGGTTTTTTGCTCCGTCCAACGCTGTCTAGTATGCCGCTCTGACCTCGACTGACCCTCACCTGTAGAGCCACGTCGCCCATCCTGCTGGCGGCTTCTTCGGCACTGATTGCCCAGACACACACCCAGTACGACTTCCACTCCTCTTCGTCGAGATTGTATGGGATACCAGACCTTTCAATGCGCCGGAGCTCTGGCCCAAAGATGGAAGTCAGCCCTTCGTATTCAGCATGGGTGATCCGTGAGTGCATGAGCCTTTGCCTGGTTGTAATGACAGGAGACTGAATTTGCGAATCCTAGAACCGGCTACGGACAACACGCCGATTATGTCTTTGGATGGGAAGGCGACTCCCTCAAGCGTGCCATGGACGTTTGCACCTCCGCCGATGGTATTCCCGCCAACTGCCCTGTCCTGACGATCCAGAGCACGCACGAGATGAACACTTGCAGACAGGCCAACAGGGTTCCTGAAATCGTCGAGGATCAATGTACGATTTCTCTCCTCTACTACTTCACCTTTACTTCCAGGCGCGTGACTGACCATTCGAAATTTCCAGACCTCGATAAACTCCCGGGTTGCAACCCGATCCAAGCAGGGCCTGAGCCCGCCACCATGGTTCCTCCGTCAGAGTGTGATGCGCCGTCTACGACAGTTAACATTCCAGAGCCGACGGAATCTCAAAAGGCGATTGATCCTCCTTGGACTGTGTGCCATACCGGCCCTGAGACTCACTCTTTGGCTCCTATGTGTGATCCCACTCCTACCGCGACTGGAGTTGAAGGGGTTGAGGCTGTTGTACTTGTTACACCTGCGCCTTGAGTGAACTATAGCTGTACGGCAGCTTCTTCTTCTCGAATTATGTCAATAGTCTACTCCAATTTTTAAACACCCAATGAAGAGAAAGGACTGCGTTTCCAATCCTATGCCCCCCTTCGAAGGAAGATAGGGGCATGGGAACCTCTTAGTCATCCGTTCGAACCATTCCGAGATCAGAGCGTGGCTCTGGTTCATACCTGTCCTTGACCATGTCGCAGCCGATCTATACTTCCGGTCGAACTGCGTTTCCTCGACGTCGCTGCCGCCTCGAATATTGAGGGCGTGGACCGTACCGTCCCGCAGTTCGACGCTCCTGTATCTCGATCCTCTTCGTTGATTATCATCTTCCAACCGCGAGCGAGCGCAACTTCTCTTCGAGGAAAGTTACGTTGTGTGGTTTCTTGCTGGCTTTCTCTTGCTCTGCTCTCGTGGCTGGACGTGTTTAGTAACTCTTTCAAACCCGTCATTCGACTGTGATCGGAAAACTGCATTATTGTTCAATCGTTCGACTTCCTGGGATGGGCTCTCTCCTTCGATGGGCTCGAGGATACCTGAGGCTTATTGGCTGAAACGGCACCACTCAGGAGATCTTCGAAGCAACGTGGCAGGATGGTTCTCTTCTTGGTTCCTGTTAAACCTTCGCCGCGCACAGCCCCCCTCAAGCGCATGTCGTCTACTTCACATGTCGTTTACTACTCGTTAATTGCAGGACCTTCTTCTCTCCGACGCTCTGGCGCCTTGCTAGTACTTACTGTTGGGAAGTCATCCAAAACACCTGCGTCGTTCTTTCCAACTCTCCGCCTTCACGTAACCTCTGTACCAAGTGTGGATCAGGACCACATGTTTCTTTCGTTTCTCCCAGTCAAAAACCGTTCTTCCCCAGCTTCGTACGGGCGAACCTCGCAACAAGTTTGGGTAGTCTCGCTTCGAGAACCAACATGCTATCTAATACTATGCTTGTTCTCTTGGGCGGTATTAAAGACTCGCTTGTCTCAGTCGGTTTCTCGAGCGAACTTCGTCTTAGTAGCAAACAAGATGGGGTGGACTACTACTACTTTGCTTTCTGCTTTGGTTTCGCTGGCGTTGCCGGCTCAGGCCTTTATTCGACTTCCGTGCTCGAACTTGGTGACCCAGCGTTTCGACCCGTGCGTGCATACCTGCTACTACTGCTGCTTTTTTCTTTGCTCCCCACTGTGAAGCTAATCGGTGTAATAGGTTGGTCACACCGGGAGAGGTTTCGCCTCACGTTCATCAAATCGTCGGAGGGGTAAGTAACTGTTTCCCTCCAGAGTTTCATCCAATTTCTTTTACAATTTCTCTCAACCACCCTGTAGAATGCGTAAGTAGTCTAAACCGGCAGATGATAGGAGAATAATTTACTGACGCCGTTCCTAGCTTCAACTTGTCCATGGACCCCAGCGTCGACTACGGCGAGACTGCGACGTGCACCACCTGTCGCTTCAAGGAGGACAAGTCCAACTACTGGACTGCGGTCCTTTACTTCAAGCATCCCAATGGGAGCTTCATTCGGGTATTTTCCATCCCTATAACGCCTCAAACTCCTTACTAAAGGTGAATATTGAATTCAGGTCCCCCAAATGGCGAACCACAATACTGGTCCTGGTCTCCAAGCTGGTGGAATGACAGTGTACTACTTCCAGCCTATCCCACCCAGTAAGAACCTGGAGATTGTTCCGTTCGCAAAGGTTCGTCTATTCCTGCACACCATCCACCATCTTGAGAGCATCGTTATAGTTTACTCATTCCATGACTCCAGGGGTTCCGAATGATTACTGGAAACCCGATGCGCCGTCGAGACGATATCCCGGATGAGGACACTGCAGCTCGAGCGATTACCTTTAGGTGCTTCCATGGGGACGATCCTGGTCCTTTCGGAACTCCTGGACGTGGTCCTGACGATTCGATCGAGTTCCCGAGGAAGCCTTGTTCTGGTGGTATCCGTTCGAACATCTTCTATCCTCAGTACGTCCCAGATTTCTACTCGGAGGTATAGATACAGAAATGAATTTCCTCGCTCACAGATGCTGGGACGGCGTTCATCTCGATACCCCCGACCATTCGGTGAGTTGTTGACCTGTTGATAAGAGTTTGACGGCAGACTGAACATGGCTTATGTGTTGTGCAGAGCCACGTCGCGCATCCTCCGGGCGGATTCTTCGGTACCGACTGCCCCGACTCTCACCCCGTGAGGCTGCCCCTTCTCTTCGTGGAGATCGTATGGGACACTCGTCCATTCAACGATCCGGAGCTCTGGCCCAAGGATGGTGGCCAACCCTTCGTCTTCAGCATGGGTGACCCGTATGTGTTTTTTTATCATTTCGCCATGAGGAGCGTTCTAACGGCTTCGAAGCACCGGTTATGGACAGCACGCTGACTACATCTTCGGTTGGGAGGGTGATTCCTTGAAACGTGCGATGGATGTCTGCACCTCTGGCGATGGTATCCCCGCCAACTGCCCAGTCTTGACTGTTCAAAGCACGCACGACATGAATACTTGTCAGCAAGCCAACAGAGTTCCTGAAGTCGTCGAAGACCAATGTACGTCTCTCCCGTCTTTACTAATACTCTCATCCTGCCATACTTATCCTCATTATTTCTTTTCCGAAGACCTCGACAAGCTCCCTGGATGCAACCCGATCCAGGAGGGACCTGAGCCCGCCACCCTTATCCCTCCCTCGGAGTGCGATGCGCCGTTCACGACTGTGAATGTTCCGGACCCCACGGGTTCGCAGAAGGCGATTGTCCCACCTTGGACGGTGTGTCACCCTGGTCCTGAGACCCATCCTTTGGCTCCCCTTTGCGAAGAAACTCCCGCTCCGACTGCGGTCGAGGTTGTTGAGGCTATCGTTACCCCTGCTCCTTGAGTACATGAGTCCCTTCTGTGTGTAAGCAACGTTTTAAATCTATGGATTGACCTTTTTAAGTTGTCGAATACGAAGAGCAAGCTACAAGTTATTTAAAGAGTACAATGTTACATGCCTACCAAGTGGTGGTAGTTCCTTCGACTTGCTCCCTCCAGTCGTCACGGAAATAGTTCGAGTCGCGGGGTCGAGAAGGGCGACTCAGTAAGGTGTAGCTAATGCCGTGAACATCACCCTGCAGTCCACAGGAGTCTTCGCCCGAGGTCTCCCCTTCTCCATCGGCGTTACACGCCGCCTTCGCTATACCCCGTAGGGCCTCCATCATGGAACGATCCTTCATCCATGCGGTGGGGTGGTACCCCCTCCCAGTCACCTCTAGCTCAGGAGCCGGCTCGACAGTCAGGCTGGTAAGTTTGGGAGGTAACGCCGATAAGGAAGGGAGTGGCGTCTGTGAAGATGTGATCGCAGAAGAGAGCGGTGATGTCGAGAAGCGGAGGTCGTCCCATGGGTCGCTATCCCGAGATTCGGCGGGGGAACCGTCCCTCGAGCCAGAGGCCGTCATAGCCTCCTGCAGCTCCATCGCGAACGTGACGGCCATAGACAGGCCCGACACTTTCAGATGCGTGAGATTGGGACACGACTTTGATAGGCCTCCAAACTGGAGTAGTCCGTGTGGGTTACGGTTGCCGTGGAGGTGGAGATGGGTGAGGCGGGGGAAGTTGGGTTGGGACGGTGTCGTGGATGTGGGGAAGGGGTAGAATCCGCTGATGGTCAAGTTGCGGAGCTCGGGGAAGCGCGTCCTCCATATCCGAGAGAGAAGCGCCGGGCTTTGGGCGAGATTTTGGGAAGCGTCGAGGGTGAGCGTGTGCAATGACGGTGCGCATAGCGTCACCAGACGGATTATGGCATTTTGGAGTTTGGCATTCGGTTGTGGAGATTTTGGTTGAGGGTAGGAGAGGAAAAAGTGTCGAATGTTGCGTCTGCTGCTGGGCGCCAGGGTGTCTAGCTTTTGAAGTAGGGAAAAAGTGGTTTCTTCATTTTGGAGAGAGATGGTGTGGTAGAGGTAAGGCGCAGAAATGTCGTGGAAGTAGCGAGAAACTAGGCTTAGTGAACGAATAGTTGGACCATGGTCGGTCAGGCAAGCCAAGTAGGCGATATAGGAATGAAGCTCGGGCGGGCAGTAGTCCATCGTAGATTCCTCTGACGGTGGGGTGTCGGCTCGAGAAGTTTGGTCGGAAACGGGGAAGGGTCGTGCGGGGAGATGGTGCAAAGCTCGCTGGTCGCTGCTAGATGACCGTTCTTTAGCAATACGACGCATATTACTTTTTGCTAAATCTTATCCAGGCACCACTAATTAAGTTTCCCTGAGGCAATACTGAGCATCGATGGCGACATATCGCGACATTTCGACATCACGTGAGACACGCGACGCGACGCGTGACGTCCCCACCGCGGGTTTTTGCGAATCGGAGCCTGAAAACGGCATGTGGCCGGATCAGACTAGGATGGTTTATTTCTGGCCCGCTTCAAGCAGGTGCTCCTCGAAGTCGTCGATGACAAACGCCGGTGCCATAACTTTCCCGATATCTATCGGACTCTGGATCATAGTGCCCAAGGCCTCCTGAAGTGGGTATCGCTGCGAATGGGTTTAGAACTGACCCATAAGATCGACTTGGGTCCTAATCATCTGGTTGGTGGTCGCTTCGACGATTCCACCACAGCATCGTTTTATATGTATCACAACATTGTTGCGTTTGCCCGGAAATACCGTACCGATCTGGGAAGTGGTGATTGCAAGTTAGACCGAAAGGAGCACCGGACTAGTTTATAATCCCTTTCGGCACGCGACCGAAATATCCTCCTCATTTTCACTTCACTTCCCTTCACCCACCACCCCTGTTCGTCCAGACACGTATACCCCTTCCCATACACGAGTCGATTGGTATGTCTTCACGCCCTTCGACGCCTTTTCACGTCGTTTTTCGCGGTTTTGGGAGGTTGATCAAATATGGCAGGATCGACTGATGGCTTCAGCATCCTTGGCTTCCAAGAAGGGCGACGACCAGCAAAGACAGACACACCAGAGAGCGCAACTCGAGGAAGTAGAACATAACGATGGACGACCTTCTTTTGTGCTCAATTTGACGGAGGTGAAGCTGTTGGGTATTGCAGGAGTGCGCATGTCTTGGCCAATCGCTTTGATCTCATTTTTCGCTGACGGTTCTCGCCCGCATTCAAGGTCGGGTTCTTCCTAGATGGTGCGCATATTTTCGATTCAACTACTTTGTACCATGGGCTGACGATACCGAATACGACCAGCCTATGATCTCTTCATTATCAATGTATGAGGACACCATTTTTTCGACTTTGTGGTGCTCACGTCCGTGACGTCGTCCCAGCCTGTGGCCACAATGCTCCAATACCGGCTGTACAACGGCGAACACCTGCCATCAGGACTAGAAGGATTCGTCAAGGCGGGCGCAAACATAGGAAGCGTCATCGGCCAATTCGCCTTCGGTACGCCCCCTCGTCACCCATTCGGTTCGGAGATGAATCATTGACCATGTCTATCGCCCCATCTACAAGGTTATGCTGCCGATGCCCTTGGGCGAAAGAAAGTTTGTCAGTCACTTTTGAACTCTGCCCGATGTCGTTTCGATAAGCTTACCTCTCGGCAGATGGCAAGGAGCTTATGCTCATAATCTTCGCGACCATCATGACCTTGACGACCCCAACTGGCCAACTGTCACCAGAATCCTGTCTGATCTACCTTGGAGTGTTCCGCATCTTGTTGGGCATCGGCGTTGGAGGAGACTATCCTATGTCGGCGAGCATCACCTCGGATCGTGCAAACCTGAGGAAAAGGGGTACGATGCTGACCTACATCTTCTCGATGCAAGGTTGGGGCAGCTTCGTGGGCAGCCTGGCTACCATCATCGTCCTGGCGATCTACAGGAATACGATCGAGGGTGAGGGAAAACTGTCAAAAGTTGATGGAGGTGAGTTCTTGTCGATTTTCGGTTTGGGTTTGTTGCTCGGCACGTCGTATTGACTCTTTCGACATCTCCCTAGTTTGGCGTATCGTCGTCGGCATCTCGCTCATCCCCGCCTTCGCAACGCTGTACCAACGATTGACGCTCCCCGAATCAACGCGATACGAGGAATCCCAACGCCTACAGCGTGAACACCCCGACGACGAGATCGCGAAACTCAAGGAGCTACAGAAGAGGGCGGAAGAATCCGATCTTTCCGTCATCCCTCTCGACGAGAAGACGAATAAGACCGACGCGGAGAAAGGAAGTCGGGAAGGTAGCTCAGATGAATCCATGACGGCGGATCGTGTCGAAGAGGTCTCCGATAGCCTCGAACCCGAGCAAGTCGCCAAGAAGAAGGCTCATTTCAAAGGTGGGTCTGATGATTCCCGTTGACCTCCTCAGCGTGATTGGCTTGAACTTGAGACGCTGATTTTCGATTCAGATTTCTACCTTCATTTCCGAAAGTGGAAGAACATGAAGATGCTGATCGGGACGTCCGTCACTTGGTTCCTGCTGGATATCGCGTATGTGTTTAATCCCCACCCCCTGCCTCGAGTCGCGTACACGACCTTTTTCTGATTGGTATCTCAGGTTCTACGGAATCAACCTCAACCAAAACGTTGTTCTTCAGCAGATCGGGTTCGACGGTTCCACTGGAACGCCATGGAACAAGATGTTCAAGGTTTCTACCGGTAACATGATCATCACGGCACTCGGTTTCGTACCAGGTACGCTTGACTTCTTCGAAATTCGAATCTCGAATTCGCGTCTTCATCGCGTCTGACACCTTCCTTCCAGGTTATTACGCTACCGTTCTGACCATCGAGACGCTGGGTCGGAAATGGATCCAGATACAGGGGTTCCTGATGTCTGCCCTCTTCTGTAAGTCGAGTCAGCTTTCTTTGTATCTCCCCAAGAAACGAAGCCTGACGCCAAGTGGTTGATAGTGGCTATCTTGGCTGGTCTATTCGAAAAGCTGTCAAAAGTCCAGTTCATTGTTTGCTTCGCGTTCTTGCAGTTCTTCTTCAACTTTGGAGCCAACTCGTACGTCTTTTTCTGTCGTGTCGATGTTCGTGAATTTAATCTGGTCTGTCCTGTTGTTTCTTCTAGGACGACATATGTGAGTGTTCATTTCTCTCGTGCCCTCTTGTTTGTTGGTCCTGACTCGGCAACCAGTGTTACCCCGCGGAGGTCTTCCCCACTCGATACCGTGCTTTCGCCCACGGCATTTCAGCAGCGTCTGGGAAGGCTGGTGCGATCATCTCCGCTCTCGCATTCAACACCCTCAGTAAGAAGATTGGAACACCCGCCGTGCTGTGGAGTGCGTACTGCTCGAGTTTTCCTACCCCCCTCGTCTCTCTTGATGACTGATGCCATCCTGTAACAGTCTTCTTTGGATGCTGTATCGTAGGTGCAGCGTTCACCCTTCTCTTACCGGAGGTCAAGGGACGCGACCCTGACCTCGTCTTGGCGGAAGAGATTGCAGAGGAAAGAAGGAAGAGGACGAACTGATGAATGGCGTGGACGGTCGACGAAGTGTAAGACTGTAGCGATTGCAAAGACGTATCGACGACATCCTTCTTGCGGACATTTGATGGACATGGACTTGTATGAACGTTTAACGATTACTCAGGTGTATTGCTATCGCAGAGTAGCGGAGCGTAGATAGACGACAAACAGTTGGAAGTGGTAGGCTAACAGGTAGTACGAAAATAGAGGCACATCAAGGTCCTCCCTGTCTCCTCCGTTCGTCCAGCACTGTGCTCAGCTGTTTAATACGAATAGACTATGTACTCGGACCCTCGGGCCGCTCAGCGTCAATCACGCCCAGCCACTGTCTTCGCAAGAGACTGTGACCCGCCAACGCGATTGATTCCGACGTCCTCATTTCTGTCTTCCACCACATAAACGGCACCTATGCCCAAAAGATTCGAAAAGCCTCTCCATTGCAAACTGGTAGTTGTTGGATATGGAGGCGTTGGTAAAGTAAGCACACATTACTGGCTTCCTAGGCTCACATTGGTAGGGCTTGACGTCCGCTTCTGATACAGAGTTCACTCCTACACGCATGGGCCACTGGAAATTTCCCAGAGGTACTTCCCTGTAGCAAGATTCCATCGTGCATTTTTGCGATCGGCGTTGACCCAGGGTTTGGATTGGTAGCCGTACCCACCGATTGGGGTTCTGGAGGACCAAACTGTCTCTCTACGTCTCCCTGTGGACGCTGTTCCACTCTCGAAGAAGGTGATGGGCATCAGGAGGGTCACAGAGACGACCATGAGCACAACGCGGAAGCTAAAGCACACGATATCCGCCTTTGCGGATTGGTCACGAGGGAGTCGCGTTTCGACAGGAACACCCCATATAGCCCCCTGTTCCTCCAGCTCGGGTCGATCCGAAAGACCATATTCAAAGAACCATTGTCAAAGCTCTACATCGATCCATGAGGAAAACATGGCCACAGTCGAGATGAAGATATGCGACACGTCATGGACAGACTCCCGCCTTCGCCCACTCATATACATGAACGCAGACGTGGTTCTGATCTGCTTTTCTGTAGACCGGCGGTACTCGTTGCAATTTATCGCCAACGATGTAAGTACCTTGTCTACGTAGACGACTAGGCCAAAGGAGTCCATTGTCGAACTGACCATCCTCTGATTGCTCTCATGCCAGCTCGCTGAAGAGGTTCGACGCTGCTGCGGGCCGGGAATTCCTGTCATCCTTGTAGGATGCAAGACTGACGCGAGGGACAACCCATACAGAAGGGAGGATAATAGGAACGAAGGATGGGGGAGGATGATTACTACTGAGGAGGTACGAAGACAACTTCGTCGACTTTGCCTAGCTGCGTCACCATTATTGACTCTTCATCGTCTTCCAATATACACCCTACAGGGCGAAGGAGCAGCACAACGGATATCCGCTGCCCATTACTTTGAAATCTCAGCCAAGCTTGGACAGGGGCTCGAGGAGTTGTTCAAGTGTGCGGCGAAGGAGGGCGTTAGGTATCATTTGGCTTCGTTGTCTAAGCGAAAGAAATGAACCTGTTTGAAGCGTCAGGTTGGAAGTTATACGAGCTCACAGCCAAGAATATATCAAGTCCTCCAATACAAAGCGACAGTTACTCCCGCTCCCAGAGGTCACGGTCAAGTCACGGTCGAACGGCCTTGGGAGGCGTTGATGGCGATTGGCAGCGGACACAGCCATGGCAAACAGCCGCCGAAATTATTTATTAGGACGTCCATTCAAAGAGTTACTGTCATCCTACCATCACCAGTGACTATCGGTACGAAATTTAAGCCCCAGCGTGTCAGGCAGCAAAACCCTGCTACTATGCTTGGCAGAAAACCCGAGTCAACCGAACCACTCGCGTGCAGAGTTGTCGTCGTCGGATTTGAAGGTGTTGGAAAGGCGAGTCTCGATCGCATCATAACCTTTCTCCATCCTACCACCCCAGCAATTTCCAGTACTTATCCCCTTCATGATCGTCCAGAGCTCGCTGATACTCGCATGGACGAATGAGAATTCCGAAGAGGTATGTATCGAGCCAAACGTCCCACCTATCCCCTATTCCGGTCTGACTGATTGACAATTCATCTTTTGGATTTGGATTTGGTGGCGTATGGATGTGTGTAGGAGCCCGAGCTCCCCATTGGGCGCATAGCACAACCGCAACTTGTAACTGTACGCCTACCCGCGGATTCCATCCCACCGGAGGCGCCGACATGGAACCTGGGCCAGAGAATTGTAGGCGCGGCGAAGAAACTGAATTTGAATGCCTTACTTACAGCATCTCCTTTCGCGCAAACGTCAAGTCGGTCGCGTAGGACTCGAGGAGCGCCCCTCCTACCCACCCCCACTCCCGAGTCCGGTGCACTGGCAGGCTCGAATCCAAATCCGAATGACAAACCGTCAGAACGGAATGTCATTTCGAGTAGGCCTACTCCAAGCACTCCCCACGTACACGAAGGTCACAACAACACGGTCACAGTCGAGATGGAAATATTAGACACCGACTCAGACTGCATCCGCAGGATATGCTACCCAAGCGCAGACGTCGTCCTCCTCTGTGTTCGCGTGGACCACAAAGCCTCCCTCGATGCTTCCGTCGACTGGGTGAGTGCCCTTGAATTCTTTCCTTATTCGAGTCAGTCAACTGACATGCGAGTCACTCGGTGATACCAGTTCCAAGACGAGATTCGACAATTCTGCAGACCGGGTACACCCATAATTGTCGTATTGTGCCAGATCGATCTGCGCGATAATCCAAACCCAAGGTCTTTGGGAGCGAAGGATTCAATGCGGAATGCGATGATCACCTCTGAGGAGGTAAGTACAACGTCCATTACCACGCGACCCCCCTCTTTGGCTAGCCGAGCGCAGTTTCGTGACTTGAGAGTAGAGTCTTGATTATACTATCCCCGTTCCACCCCTTCCGATTCAGTGAAGACGAAATGAGAGATCTCACATCTAACTTCCATTTTTCAGGGTGACGCAGCGGCTCAACAGCTTTCCGCGCGACACTACTTTGAAACTTCGGTCAAGCTTAGAAGGGGCATCGAGGAAGTATTCAGGTGTGCAGCGAAGGAGGGTGCACGGTACCGTCGCTCAGTGGCGACTCGGAGGTAGCTATTGCGTCCAACAGTGGTCCTCCAGACTCTAGCCTGAGAGTGAGAATGAGAGGGGGTGCTTAGGGCAATAGCAATGATGTTTTTGTACTATACGATAACCTCAATACCCCAAATTCATACTCCATCCCACTCTCTCAACGCGGCCTGTCCCCAGACGCGTCCGCATCAGCCCACGTGATCAAATGCCACAGCGGCACAGCGGCACGACGCGCTCTCGAACCAGCGATCAAAAACGCGCGCCTCATGTTCACCTTTCCGGGCGTTTAACCACTCGGCGTCGATTGTTTGTCGATCTCAAAGGAAAACACGGGTGACCAAGGCAGTTGTGGCTTCTTCTTGAACCTTTACGACCACTGGCTTCTTGAACCTGTACAACCACAACCATGTCCAACGAAGGATCTTCCCCCTCAAGCTATAGTTACACTACTGCTCGTAACCTTGCCAGGATCGCCAGATGGTGCGGTCCACCCCGTCTCAAGCTTGGTCGCGCAAAGGAACTCTGGGCCAAGGCAAGTATTAGGGGAGCGCAGGATGCTCCTCCACGTCTCGCGCGAATCAAGAAGAGTCTGCGCAGAGTTGTAAAATCGAGTGAGGATGAGAATGAGAATGAGAAGGATAAGGATGAGGATGAGGGAGTGAAAGGAAATGATTCGGACGAAGAGGAGCGTGAGTTGAACCAACCAGCTGGTGTCGGTGAGCCAGAACTTGCCTCCGGGGCTGAGAAAGGTACGATACAAGTTGCTCGTTTCTCACTCAAGCCACAGTGCGCTAATGCCACTACAGATACAGAGGCTGGGCCGTCGCAGCACGTCACGGTCAGTGAAGCAAACGCGCCAGAAATGCCCAGTGAGGAGGAGGAGAACTTGACTGTCAGCGGATCCGAGACGCAGGAGAGCGAGCGTGAAGCATCTACACAACCTGACCAAGGTACGAGAACCCACCACTCGCGTCCCACCCCGAACCACAGTCTCACTCCTCTACCACGAACAGATATAGACGCTGGAACTTCCGAAGAAACCGTCGCCGTCACTCCAAAGAAATCCGACAACGCAGCGCCTAACTTCAAGTCCAATGGGAAGAAGAACTTGGAGAAGGAGAAGGAAACCGTCAGCGGATCAGCTCCTCAAGGCCAACTTACTGTGCCGGCTACACGTCGATCGGCCCGGTTGGCGACTAAAGAAGTTCACAAAGAGGATTCGTCTACTCAGCATCTCGCTACTACTGCCGATAACGATAAGAGCGAGCAGCCTGCCACCACTGCCACAACTGTCGGCGAGGCCACCAACACCGACGTCATCGACAAAAGAAAGTCGGCTCCCCGTCGCTCTGCGCGAATCAAGAAAGTCCCTGCTCAAGCTGCGTCAACTCCAGCTCACAACCCCGGACCCTCGACCAAAGACGTGGTAGAAGCAGTGTCCGCGGTTGTCAGTACCATCAAAGGTCCCGCGCCAACTCCCAAATCTAAACAGACCAGAGGGCAGAAGAGGAAGCGCACTGCTACCTCGGAGGAGGAGGAGGAGGAGGGTCTTAAGAACGATGAGACTGGAAGGAGCGATGGAAATGCAAAGTCGAAGTCTAACGCTGGTACTGGTACTGCGAAGGGTGCTGGTACTAGGAAGGCGAAGAGGGCTAGGAAATCGGGTAAGGATGAGGAGGAAACTACCACTCGGGCTGGAGAGAAAGAGAATACAACTGAGAGTGCTCCTGCGAACTTGGCTCAGAACGAAGTGAAGGATGGAGAGAAGAAGATTACCATTCGCGTGCCAGTGAAAGCTGTGAAGAGGACTCGAGGCTCGAAGAAGACCAAAGCCTAAGGCCTGATTCAGAGGCCAGGTGAACTTGGCGTGATACCCGCGGCTTTGTGAATGATGAGATTCGAGGATGGATTCAGGTATTCGGAAGGAATGGAACATTTGGAATATTGGGATCATTTACATAGTGGATAGGTGTGCCTACTATAGTGTTGCGACGATCTAGTCTTTTGAGACAATTTATTGCACATTACTACTGTAACAAATGAAACGTTGGAATATACAGTCATCGAAACGCTAGCAGCATGCTTAGTAAAGATCCCTGCCGTTGTAACTTGAAGCTGGTAGTTGTCCCTTCCAAAATACACACTGGTATTGAGTGCTTGGATATTCAGTTTGTCGCTTCGTCGGAGTCGTTGGACGGCAGTTTAAGTACAGCCTGCGTAAGGACACGAGGTGGTCGGAACGATCACCGCAAGAGACTCTAATTGCACATCTCCGAGTCTCGAGGGGTCGGTTCCGGCGGAGTCTACATAAACGTTCTTTCGTCCGTGACGCATCCTTATCCTCATCTTCTCCTTCCTGTGGATACAGACTTGTATTCTTTCCCTTCTGTTCTTTCACAAACTCCTAACCTCAGGCTCGTAGGTAGGCATTACCGTACTGCCACCTATCGGGCACGGCTCTGTTTGGTCGGATGCCTCGTCAGCGCAAGCTGAGACTCGAAGATCCCTTACGGTGCAAACTCGTCATCGTTGGGTGTGGAGGAGTTGGGAAGGTGCGTCCGTGCAGTGCGAGCAATCGGATCCCCTATCTCCAATGGAATCCAATCTCCAAACACGCATTGGCAGAACATTGAACGCTTATTTTCCGTTTGGTGTTACTAGACGTCGCTGTTGTGTACCTACGCGAGGGGAGAGTTTCCGGAGGTACGTCCTACCTCATACGCCTTTTTACTGGTACATACCATTAATCGATTCTTTTCTTGACCCTTTGTTTTGCATTGGATATTACAGCCTTATGTCGCAGCTAGCTTTGACGGCTACGTCGCGGATGTCGAGCTTCCTTTGGATTCTATACCGGGTCTTAATTTGGAGGTTTGGGAGAGGAAGCCTGGGTGGTTGAGACGGGTTAAAGAGTGTTTTTCCTCGACTTTCAGGAGGGTGGGTTCCAACTTGTACTACTCAGTGGGTGATGGTTGAATTTTTGACGGTTTCTCCGAGTCACCACAGATTCAGAGTCTGAACGAGGAAGGTGGTTTGAATGACCTGGGTCTGAACGTCCTGAACGTCGAGATGGCGCTATGGGACACAGCTGGAAGCGACGACTACGACCGGCTCCGGCCTCTATCCTACCTCGACGCGCATGTGTTTTTGGTTTGTTTTAGTGTGGGTGAGAGAGGGAGCTTGGGGTATGTTGAGGATAAAGTGAGTTTTTATTTTTCAATGGCGCTACGGAGTACCAGGGTGGTTTGGGACTGGAGTTCCAACTACACCCGCTGTGTGGCTGGCGAGTCGTCGATACTTGGGCACTTGGCTGGCCGCTTTTTACCCCAATGTTACCTCACCTCACCTCTTGACGTTTCTGACGACCGTCCACGAACGACGCACTTGAACGCAATGCACTTGAACGTTTCTGATGATCGTCCTAAGTGGGTAGGAGAGATCCGTCATTTTTGTGGTCGGGATGTGCCGATTATACTCGTGGCGTGTAAGAGTGATTTGAGGGAAGACCCCGGGCGGAGGGAAGAGACGAGGAGGGGCGGGGAGAGGGTTGTTAGTACTTCAGAGGTACGCTCATTTTCTGCTTTCCATCCTGCCCCTCGTTTATTACCCTCACCTTCACATTCACATTCACCCTCGTCCTCGTCCTCACCCTCATGGTTACCTTCGTACCCTCACTCCCACATTCATGGTACCGTTTCATCGAAACACTAACACTCAACCAAATGTCTTTGTGTTTGGTCCTTGGCCTCGTTTGGTAGGGTGAAGCAACGGCCCAACGAATCAACGCCCTGCACTACTTTGAAGTCTCGGCAAAACGGGATGGGGTGGAAGGGATTGGGGAGGTGTTTGTGACTGCTGCGAAGGAAGCTGTACGATTCCGGTTGAAGTTGGTTGAGGAGGAGAGGAGGGGGAGGAGGGAAGGGTTGAATAGGGTGTCTGGCGGGGGATAAAGGTATGGGGATGGGTGGGATGTCGAGAGATAGAGAGGGGTACGAGGATCGCGGGCGTCATAACGAGATAACTTAGTGATGACGGGGTCGTCGGGTTGGTCGGTGAAGAGAGCGTTGTTGGATAGTCAAATTCGTAGCGCCCAGTCTATAAATAGATAATTGAAAGGCGACTTGCGCCGCACGAAACCTTTCATAAGGACACCTGGAATTGTCCTTCATGAACCACTGGCATGTGCAGCCATTGAGGCTAACCAAACTCGTTCGATCATGACGCCCAAGTATACAAGTCAAGTGCACCTTGTCCATGTATGAATATTTCTGTCGTTACAAAAGGCCACGCGGATTTGGTTCCGCAGACCAAGGTAGTAGATCTCCTCGGGGCGCTAAAGTGAGGCATCAATAGCACCGGTAGTGCTGTTCACCGCATCGATAAGACCCTAGAGACGAATTCGTCATGCCATGTGTGCAGGAGGTTCAAAAACACACGGATTCACATTAACAAAGTTCTTCTATGACGAATAACATGGATGTATCGCCTTGATGCCGACACACCATGGGCATTTGCCTCCGCCCCCGCAAGGCGGTACGGCGGCATTCCTTTTCGAGGAAGAAGGCGGTGTGGTGATGACGTCTGGCGCGGGGAGGGCGGTCGCACGCACAGGCCTTTGAGTTTTGTGATGGATTATGTAAGCGGAATGAGGGGGCAGTCGCACAGCATTTAGACTCCGCCTTAAAAGGGGGTTTGGCATGTGGTATGATTCGTTTGTTGGACAACGAACAAACCCGTCGTCGCTCAGTTTGATTCTCTTTTTTATCCTTCGTCTCTTCTTCCACTCTTCGTCTTACCACCAACAACACATTAAACAATGTCTGAGATTCGAAGGAAATTGGTCATCGTAGGAGATGGTGCTTGTGGAAAGGTATGCTTGCCTTAAATTTCGCCTCGACCAGCGGCCACACAACCACCTCATGCCCCTCCTCGCCCCTCTCTTTCGCGAGACGGATGCTAACCGCCCTGCGTTTCATGACAGACATGCTTGTTGATCGTATTCTCCAAAGGCACTTTTCCAGAGGTCAGTAACCGCCCCCGCCCCACCGCCCCGCAGCACCCACCCCAGCAACGCCGTGTGTTTACAGCAGTAGCGCTCAGCACGGGGGGCGCCGGCCAGCGATCACGATAAGGACTCTAAATACTGACTCTTGATATTGTCTAGGTGTATGTGCCCACTGTGTTCGAGAACTACGTCGCCGATGTCGAGGTGGATGGGAAACACGTTGAACTGGCGTTGTGGGATACGGCCGGCCAGGAAGACTACGACCGCCTCCGCCCGCTCAGCTACCCCGACTCGCACGTCATCCTTATCTGTTTCGCCGTCGACTCCCCCGACTCGCTTGATAACGTCCAGGAGAAGGTACCGTCCACCGCCCCCTTTCCGCATATGGCCTCCTTGCTGACTGTCCCTTTCTTCTCTTGCTCTCTCTCCTCCCTTCCTGTTGTGATTTTGCTGTTGATGTGCGGTGTGCGCTTATTTGTGCTGGTCTGGATGGATGGATGTGGTGGATGATGATTGGTCGATGGGTCGATTGTGGGGTATTTTGCTGGGGGAGTGCAGTGGATCTCAGAGGTGATGCATTTCTGCGCGGGGTTGCCGATAATCTTGGTTGGATGCAAGAAGGATCTCAGACGCGACCCTCGTGTGATTGAAGAGTTGAGAAAGACGAGCCAGCGACCGGTCTCGCCCGAGGAGGTGCGTCCACTTTCTTCTCTTTCCTCGATACTGATACTAATCTGGAATTGTCTCAGGGTATGGCGGTTGCACAGAAGATTGGAGCACGACACTACCTCGAATGCTCAGCCAAGACTGGCGAAGGCGTCCGCGAAGTCTTCCAGTACGCAACCCGAGCAGCTCTCCTCAGCAAGCCTGGAAAGAGAAAGCACAGCCACTGCATTGTCCTCTAATGTCATCACTGTCGTCGTCGTCCCCCTCCATCCATCCTCGTCGTCCCCCTTCCCGTCATTTGGAATATGAACAATCGTAATCGTCGTGCGTTGCGCCCGTCTTGATGTAGATGATCATGATCGGTTTTGGTGAGGGGAGGGGAGGGAGGGCAGAGAATTGTTGGATGGATTTTCTGCGTGGTTTTGGCTCCAACGGACCTCTGCCTCTCTCTTGTTCTTGCGTGCACCCCCCTTCCCCCGCCGACTGTTCTGGTTTCCGTTCCCTTTTTTTTTACCCACTATATGTATCTCGTCTCCTTGCGGGCTCACAATTAGCTTTGTTTCCCTCTCCCTCTGTCTCTCTGCCTCTCAGATAATGTTGTTGTGTGTTGATGATTGATGATTGTGATGATTGATTTGTCGTGGAGTCGTGTCTCTCTGCCTGCCTTTCCCCTTTCCTTTCCTGTCCTCTCCCCGCTTCTGTTTCTTCTTTAAGCGTTCGTTGTCCTCGACCCCCGCCATCGTTTACGACTTTTCGCTATAGGATGCGACGTTGGCGTTATATATATATATCCCGTCCCATATGCCCCATTTTTTGACTGTTGCGTCTCTCTGGTTGGGTGGGTTGTTGGGTGGGTCCGGAGGCCTGAGGAATCGTCCCTTGGCCGGGCTTTGAAGGCGTATTCTCTTGTGGATGTTGAAGGGTCGTGGATGGTAGAGAGTCTGTGGCTTGTTGTGACACGCCGTTTCAAGGACGTTCTTCGTGTCTGTTTGATGCTCTCCGTGCCTGGTTGAGGTCCTTCACGCGCGCCTGGTTGACGGTTGTGCTCCCGTCTCATTTAGCTCTTGCATTCGTTATGGTTTTTGAGTGAATGGGTTTCCAGCGCGAGCGTTGTGTGCGTTCGAACTTCGTGGATGGATTCAAATTGGGAATTGATGCGGATACATTTGGAATGTGGATGGGAGTCTATGATCGTCCAATGTGGACTGGGAGCACCGTGTGCGGTTCGTTTGTGGATACCGATGAGGTTGGGAAATGGGAGCTCGGCGGGCTCGGGTTCGGGTTCGCCCTTCGAGGGGGAGGGGCGCGTGTATGATGAGACTACCAGAGGGATGCATATATGATGAGTCGGAACTTGGACCTTGGAGAGGGAACAGAACCCACCATATTGGGTGAGAGTCAGCGACCAACCCGTTGAGAAACTTGAATGCTGAGCCTTGTCTACACCCGAAGTAATACCTGCATATCCTAGTACCCCGACGAAGACTGGTATAAAACACCGCTGACGTACCAAGACTAGTATAGAGCAATGTCGACGTCCAAGGCTGCCTTAGCGGTCGCATATATAGTCTTACTCCATCCCCGGTCTCGACGATTCATTGTTGGAGGTGGAGGGTTGACACCTAATACCTATGGATGAGATGAAGGTATGTAAGACCTACGAAGAGGAGACGAGCGTGAATTCAATCACTCTCACACTCCCGGCGTGGATACTTCAAGTTGACCTCGAAGGCTCGCTTTTCAACTCATCAGCCGTTGTCCGGCCCACGAGTTTACAACGGCAGGGATCTTCAAGTGTTGCTGCTACCGTTTCGACGTCGGATGTGCTTCAATATTTCATTTTTGATAGTAGTCATGTATATACATGTATGCAATGAATTGGACGAAAGGCTAGATAGATCGCAGCGCTATAGTAGCTAATCCTATCCACTATCTATAATGTAGATGATCCTAGTATAATTTCCAATGTTCCATTTCCTTCCGAAAATCCTAATTCAACCTCGAGTCTAGTCATCCTTTCAAAGAGGTGCTGGTATCACTCCAAGTTCACCTAGCCTTTGAATCAGGCTCTGGTCTTCTTCGAGCCTCGGGTCTTCTTCACAGCTTTCACTGGCTTCACGCGAATGGTAAGCTTCTTCTTCTCTTCACCGTCCTTCCAATTTTCGTCCTCACCTCCATTCTGAGGCAGCGCCAAGTTGGTAGGCACATCATCATGAGCGCTCTCAGTCGTATTCTCTTTCTCTTTCTCGCCAGCCTGAGTGGTAGTTCCCTCCTCATCCTTATCCGACTTCCTAGCCCTCTTCGTCTTCCTAGTACTAGTCCCCTTCGCAGTACCAATACCATCCTTCAACTTCTTCTTTGCATTTCCATCGCTCCTTCCAGACTCATCACTCTTACAGTCCTCCTCCTGCTCCGATGCTCCAGCACGCTTCCTCTTCTGACCTCTGGTCGGTTTGGACTTGGGCGCCGGGGCGGGACCTTTGATGGTACTGACAACCGCGGATACCGCTTCTACCACGTCCTTGGTGGAGGGCCCAGCGTTGGAAGCCGGAGTGGACGAGGTCTGAGCAGGAACCTTCTTGATACGCGAAGAGCGGCGGGGAGCTGGCTTCGTTTCGTCGATGACGTCCGTATTGGTGACTTGCTCCGAGTCGACGGTTGTGGTGCTGGTAGGCTGGTCGCTGGTATCGGCGTTGGTAGTTGTAGTTGCAGCTGGAGTAGACGAATCCTCGTTTTGAACTTCTTTAGTCGCCAACCGGGCCGATCGACGAGTAGCGGGGACAGCAAAGCCTTGAGTCGAGTCCTGAACTGATTCGGTGAGGGTTTCCTTCTCGTTCTTCTTGCCGTTAGATTTAGCCGCCGCGCCGCCAGATGGCTTTGGGTTGGTCGCTAGTACGCGTTCGGACGTTCGAGCGTCTAGATCTGTCGGCGGTGAAGGAATGAGATTGTGATTTTGGGTGGAATACGAGTGAATGTTTTTCGTACCTTGGATTGGTTGAGTAGACGCTTCCGAATGCTCTAACTCCTGCGCGTCGGATTCCTTGACAACCGAGTTCTCGTTCTCCCCGTTGGGTACTTTGAGTGCCGCCTTTGCTTTGGCCGCGGTGGGCTGCGAGGGACCAGTCTCGATATCTGTGGTGGCATTAGCGCACTGTAGCTTGTGTGGGGCACGAGAGACTTGTGTCGCACCTTGCTCAGGCCCGGACGGAAGTTCTGGCTCACCGACACCAGATAGTTCGTTCAACTCACCCTCCTCTTCGCTCAAGTCTTTTCCTTTCACTCCCTCATCCTCAACCTTCTCATTCTCATTCTCATTCTCATTCTCATTCTCACTCGACTTTCAACTCTGCGCAAACTTTTCTTGATTCGCGCGAGGCGCGGAGGAACGTCCAGTGCTCCTCTAATAATTGCCTTGGCCCATAGTTCCCTTGCGCGACCAAGCTTGAGACGAGATGGACCGCTCCATCCGGCAATCCTGGAAAGGTTAAGAGCAGTAGCCTGAGTGCGACTATTGTCTGAGGAGGAACTGGAAGATCCTTCGTTGGACATGGCTGTGGTTGTGCCTTCGTTGGAAATGGTTGCGGTTGGTTTTTCCTTTGAGATCGACAAACAATCCACGCTGGGTGGTTAAACGCCCAGAAAGGTGAACATGAGGCGCGCGTTTTTGATCGCTCGGTCGTGCCGGAGTGCCGGTGTGGCATTTGATCACGTGGGGTGATGCGGACGCGTCTGAGGAGTTAACGGGTGCAAGGGACGAATTCAAGACGAGAGATCGCGATGGAGTACGAAATCAGTGCCAGAGGGATTATCCGCAAGCTGACTCCAGACTGTAGAGGGCCACGCTGAGTGGCAAGTAAGCGACGATACCGCGCACCCTCCTTCGCTGCACACCTGAGTTCCTCGATGCTTACCCTAAGCTTGACTGAGGTTTTAAAGTAGCACTGTGCTGATAGCAATTCATCCTTGCGTTTAGGTTATCGCGCAGCTCGGTCTGGCATACTATGTACGTACATAAGTATTCTCCAGGGACTCAAATGACAAACGGATATCTCAAGTCCGAAGTAAAATGCTTAAAGTACTCATTGCTCAGTGATGTAATGGATACGTACCTTACTCTCAAAGAATCAAAAGCGAAATGAAGCAGGCCTGACCGGTGACCGCGCGTTGGTATATTCGGACGTTCAATGGCCGCCCATGATGGGCGGAATGTCGTAATCAGCGAGTCCCCTGCGGCGATAGCGATAACACGTATAATTATAAAGTACTTACACACTACTTACAGATAAACCTACCCTATCCTGCACGGCCCTGATCAGACTGAGAAGTCCTCCTCTAGCCTATCTCTGTCCAGAAAAGCGGGACTTTACCTGGTAGGGTCCCAACACCAACAGCAAGCTCGAGTTGAAAATCAACTTCAATACCGATGGGTAAATTCAAAATCGTGGTGATAGGCAACGGGGGAGTAGGCAAGACGTCTCTGATCTGCCGGTGGATGGGGGTCGACATATTCCCCGAGGTCAGTGACTACCGTGTTCAAGTTCACCTTCTCACCTCGCTGATCACGTATTCACGCTCTACTTGATCATGCAATGTATTGCGCCTCGATCTGGATTCTGGGAATTGGTATGGATTGACAATGATACTACTCTACACTCAGTTGTACATCCCGAGTGTCCTGGAACCAGTGACCGTCCCCGTCCCACTCCCCTTGGACACAATGCAAGTCTCTGGAAGCTCCAACGCCACCACGACCAAGCTCCAAGCCGAATTGGAGATATGGGACACACCTGGCCAAGACGACTGGAATCAGTCCTGGCCTCAAGCCTTCAGAAACGCCCACTGCGTTGTGATCTGCTTTTCAGTCGGGTGGGAGGTTTCGTTGGAATGTGTCGAGGAGAAGGTAAGATACATACTACTAAACTCTCGAACCTCTCTCGGGACGAGTCTTCCTGCGAGTCTCCGTTAGCTTATCGGGAGGGTCCTCATAATACACACCTGTCACTCGCAGTGGATCGGAACCATCAATCACTTTGGCCTTACCGACATTCCTATACTTTTGGTGGGATGCCAGAGAGATCTACGTTCAAACCAGAACGAGCGTGAAGCGATGAAGAATTCAGGGGAGAGGTTTGTAAGGCCCGAACAGGTCAGTCCACCATAGGCCTCCCCCGCTCCAGGGGTGTAGTCCTGTAGAACCGTATGGTCGGATTGATTTTCTTTGTCTTCGATCTTCCAGGCGACTGGAGTGGCCCAACGAATAAACGCAATGTCGTATCTCGAATGCTCAGCCAAAACGTGGGAAGGAGTTCGGGAAGTGCTCGATGAGATTGCGTTGACTGTTTGGGTTGGGGCGTCGCGGGAGAAGGCGAGAGCTGCTAAGGAGGAAGACAGAGATGGTGTTGTTCGTAGTCGAGTGAGAAGATGGAGCGAAGGAGCGAAGAAGTTATTCAAAGGCTGAGCCCTTGTGTATAGTATTACGAACCAACGCCTGCTTCTACTCGTAGGCGCCTGTCGATATATGCCGGTCTTTATACAGAACAGTCGAGGGAGGCACACACCTGATTCCCTTGACTTACGGTGCTTCAATAATCCCACGCCGCGCGTTTTACCTGGTAAATCCATAGCATTGTCAACTTCCCAGGCTGCTTCTTTACCACATACAATCTGGTACTCTACTGCGGCGCAATCTACCGACGCTCAAACATTCAGTGACACTCCCCAATCTTCTGCAAGTCGTAGTATTGCAATGCCACCAGCTCAGCCTCAATCGTCTGAACGTCGAAGCAGTGAAGGTCAAAGCATGCGCAGAGCAGACCTGCTAGTACCGTACAAACTCGTCGCAGTAGGATGCAGAGGTGTGGGGAAGGTCATTCGCATCGTGGTTTACTCAGACTTGGATATCGGATTCTGACCTTCGACTCAACTGGGTCGCCTTAGACTTCGCTTTTACTAACCTGCATTGAAGGCACATTTCCCAAGGTATGCGCAGACGTCGGGTTAATATCAATTTTAATTCTAACAGACGGTTTTCCGACCTTCCCCGAGTAGGATTACATCCCAAGAACGCTTGAGCCGCAAAAGGTTGTTGTGCAAGTCCCACTCGACTCCGACAGGGATCCTGATTCTCCTTCAACAATCGGAGTATCGGTCGCCCTCTGGGACACCTTGGGCAACAAAGACGCGGATATGGACAGAGTACGCCCGCTCTCGTAACCCCACACGGACGTCTTCTTGGTTTGTTTTGGGATAGACGACAGAAGGTCTTTTGATGCGGTCATCGATCAGGTGAGCTTCATCGAACGTACTTACTCCAAGTCGAAACAAGGACCTCCGCTTAGAGTGGAGTCGCGCTCTGCTCGCTCGACACTGACCAGATGGTAACTGTGTCAGTCGCTGACCACCAACCATGGTAGTGGGTCCCGGAGATTCGACATCCCTGTGGCCAAGACGTCCCAATCATACTTGTAGCATGTAAGAGCGACCTACGCGATAACCCATTGGTCAAGGAGAAGCTGCGAAACGACAATAAAAGGATGGTTAGTACTGAAGAGGTGTGTACCACTCCACCTACTTGTATCGTCGTTCCCTACGTTGCCTCGAAGTTCACTACTTCCCCACATACCAGGTTGAAGGCATGGCGCAACGAATCTCCGCTCCTCATTATTTTGAAACATCGTCCATTTGGGGAGGACACGAGGACTTATTCACCTGCGCAGTGCGAGAGGGTGCATTATCTCGAGTAAAGGTAACCCGGGAGACGAAAATAGGAAAACGGTGGACAGAGAGACTGGGGTTGAGGAAGATCGGCTTGAACCCAAAAAAGAAGACGTAACATAGTTTGTGAATGTCCCAACGAAGCCAAATGCAATCCCGAATTTGACTTCAACCCCTGTCGGTATCGTCGTACTCGCCTCAGCTTCATGTCTACCCCAACAACTTATCCTTCCCCTTCGCAATTACCTCCCTGAACCACGCGCTCCCACTCCTTTTCTGCTTAACCTGCATTTCAGAATCCACTCGATACGTCAGGGCTGCTCGAGCTATCGCTTGTAGTACCTCCCGTGTTCCATCGCCGGTGAAAGCTGAGCATTCAGCGTAGGCCGTTGCACGGATCCGTGTCGACGTCTCGCGTGCCTACAGAATGACAGAGTAAAGCAGAGATGTCGTAGAAGTTGGACAGAGCGCACCTTTTCGATAGAGACCACCTTGGTATCCTCCCTATCTTGACGTAGATCCTTTTTACATCCCACGAGTACAATCGGTGCGTGCACTCTATATTGCTTCGCCGTTTCCAACCACTAAGTCAAAAGTTGATCGCTCTCCCCAAAGTGCTGGCATCATAAGATCCTTTAAAACTCACCGAAGTCTCAGCACTCCCTAACCCTCCATCCACGCGCCCAACAGCGACATCCTTCAACAGAACAGAGAAACAAAGGACCACGCAGTGCGCGTCTCGAAACTCAGGGGGCTGCGCATCAAAGATCTCTTTCCCATCGGTATCCCAGAGGTCGAGTTCGACTGTCAGTGGGCTGCGGGGGCCAGCGCCCGGGAGATTCATCGATGGCTCGAACGTCGAGGATTGGATCTCATCCTGAGGTGAGGTGGATACAGTCCCAGGTGCAGTTGCAGACGAAGGGTCGCCGTGAATTTTCTGCTTGAGCTTTTCAATATCGACGAGGTTACTGTCTAGGGTATCCATGTCCAATACCACGAGAGCCGATGCGTGCTTCAATACCTTTTTGCTCGAAGGCCTGGCCTATTTCCTTCGGTCAACACGGACTGTGCCTGGGGGACTGAAGAGCTGAATGGCAGACGAACCTGCTCGGGCAGCACCCCGGTCGTGAGCACACTGATCAACGAAGACTTGCCAACTCCTTCATCGCCGAGGAAGACTACTTTGCGCCTCACGGTTGCGCCCGAATCCATTGGATGAGACGAGAGAACCTGGATGAAGGCCACAGGAATGGTAGTGACTGCCTGCCCTACACTTGACTCCTCCCTGAAGTTCCGGGAAGCTGTGCGTGGAAAGTCTTGAGGCTCTCGCTGACGTTGGTTGGTCGTTGGGGTGCCTGGCCATGGCGAGACAGGAAGAATATTGAAACCCCTGAAGTGAATACAAAAGGTGACGTAGCAATCATTCGGATTCATTTCCATTGGTGGAGGTGCGCGTAGTGCGTACCTTAGATTTGGCACGGGACGGCGAATACTAGGACGGTTGGGGCTGTGAAGATAAGGTCAAAATCCTTTTTGGGGCTATCTAACCAAGCTGGGAAACCGGGGACCCACAATTTACAAAGTACAACATGGGCGGACTGAGGTGAATTGGAACTTGGCGGTTGCCACAACTCATATATCGCCGAAGTAGCAGACAGCGAGCCTTGCTGAGTGTGAACGTGAGGAACGCGAGATACGCATGCTCCCGCCTTAACTCCTCCCTCGTCGCCTGATAGGTATACGCCTCCCAGTAGCTCCAGCTCTTCTCGCTGACTTTGAAGTCGAGACAGAGACATCCTGCCGTTGATGGCATCACTGATTGGGAGTGTTTGAATCAGCCGAATGCTCGCCGCACCTGAAGTTTGCAGTCGAAATATGCCCGGAAGAGCGACCAAGGAGCAACGATTGAATACAAAGGCCGCTGTAACAGACTTTGAGGTCTGTTCCGGCATCTTCCTCGCTTACAGCAGTCACCAAAGTCACTGGGCGGTCGTCTTTGCCTTCGAGCCAGTGAGCTCATCTCAGAAGATACAAAGGATTCTTCCCGTGATTACAATGCACATCCATCTCGTCTCTCCGGAGTATCTGCATCTGTGAACAAAAGCATTATCTATTGGATAGAACAGTCCTTCTTGTTCTTCTTCGGCGGTTGGAGCGACACCTTGGCCGCATATTGGAACAGCTCTCTGACTCCCTTCGCGCCCTTCGCTGAACACTGAAGATACTTCACAGCGCCGATGGCTTCCGCAGCTTCTTTCCCCTGAAGATGGTGCCAAGGTCAGTAAAACTATTCTTTAAAGAACGTCTTTACTTGCCTGATCTGACGAGACGTGCACCGTTGCAGGCCCGCCCGCCCCGTCTCTCAAGTCGTTCTTGCACCCTACCAAGACCACGGGTACCTCGGGGCAGTGATGTCGAACCTCGGGCATCCACTATCCATATGAATCTTCCAGGTGAGCCCGCTGTCCACTACATTTAAAATTCACATTCCAGAGCCGCTTACCTTCGACTGAGCATTGGCCAATGAATTAGGGGAGTCGATGGCGAAGCACAGTAGGATGACGTGGGCTTTGGGATAGATCAGCGGGCGTAGACGATCATAATCTCCATTTCCTGGCGTGTCCCAGAGGCCCAACTCCACACCGGCTCCGTCGACCTCCAACTCCATAATATAGTTGTCGTACATCGTCGGGACTGATTTCTGCGCCGCGGGCGTCTCAGTAGCTCGTCTCTTTGAGCATCCAGTAAGTAAAACTCCGTACCGTCGGGAATTTGCCTTTGGCGTATACGGCTAGTAAACACGTCTACAAATCCTCATCAGTTTAAAATTCCTCGTCCTCAGCGACGGACGTACTTTCCCGACGCCACAGTCGCCCACGACGACCAGCTTTCTCCCAATCAAATCGGCCATACCAAAGTCGGTGATCTTGTCTTCGGACGACAGTCCCAGTGGTACAAGGGATTTGCAGAGGGTGAGAGTCGATATCACTGTTCGTTCTTATGCTTCAATCTAGCCTTGATATAGGATCCCGTTCACCCTAGTGCTCAAGCGCCTTCCCTATAGAAACACAAAACAAAAGCAATGTGTTGTGGAGTATGAGCCGAAAGAAGGATAGTGGGTTGCGACGATCCCAGAACAGGAACTGATACCGCGTTCGAAGGATGACCCGGTTAGTAGGTCAAAGATGGGATGGAGCCCAGGATCAAGGGGGAACCAGGAAGGGAAGAATGAGAGGTGGAAGAATAGGAAAGAGAATGAGAACACGAGAGCAAAGGGGAACGAATAACGATACGATGGAATTTTAAGTTAGGTCATGATCACGACGAATTGACCGGAGGTTACGCCCTTTCTGAATAAATGCCATCTTGCCCGGGCGCAAACTTTTCATCTCATTCCTTTCTCCTCATGGGTGTAATGAATGCGTGGGTGTGGAGGGACACTCGCTCCGGCACCTTTCGTTCTGCGGACTTCCGGAGAAATGGTGGCTGTTTGTGTTGTGTGAGGCCAAAGCGGTGGAACCTTCTTACCTATCACAAGTGGGAGGAAGGGAGAACGAGAAAAATTTGAAGATTGGCATGCAGAAACCTCGAGCGGCCGTCCGCGGCAAGAACTCGAGGGAGGAGGTATCAATCATACGAACGCATGCGCATATGTATGTGTGGGGTCTTGTCAGGGCCAACGTGCCCCCCTCGCGAATACACGAATGTGTTTCAGAATTTTCGGGGCATGGGGAAGGAAAGGCTATGATTTGGAAAATTGTTGCCATTCTGAAACGGATGAAACGAGGGATGATTGCGATCGAGTGGGCGATTTGATCAAAGAAGAACACGGCGGGGATAGTGACTTGCCTCGGGTCTCCGAGTCGGTATCGTACAATTGGTACAGCAGGCAACCAAGGACCTGTCGAACGGTAGCAAGGAGGCATTGGAGGACTTCACCCCCCTGAAAATGGTGTTGTAGAATACAAAGTTGCGCTTTTTTGGAAGAAACTCAAACTTGGTCTGGAAGCGTCGCGCGGTTATCAATTCAATTCCGGCTGATATCAGGTCGGTCACCACGGTAGAGATGTCCTGATGAACGGCACGGGGAGCTGTTTCATGTACCTAGCTACCGGCCAATCAGTCTGACGACTTCCCTACCTCAAATCTCGGTATGCGTATAAAGGTCAGTCTCCGCGGTGCAAGTGCCTTGAAAGCCCTTCAGTACCCAGTACTTACTACTCTCCAGGAGTCCAATGTTAAGGCAACATTGTCGCTCCCGCCGCCCTAAGTTCCGTCTTCCTCCTAGCGCGGGACTAGAATAAGCAAAAGGAATAAATGCCTTCACGGTTCCGGCCCATAGCCCATTGAATCATGTTCTAAAGGTAGAACTGAATCACCATGTTAGCCCGATAGAGCAATGCTCGGCGGAAGTCCTATCAATCGAGGAATATTCCTACCTCTTTGAAGAACGGCGAAGGGCGCTACAACAATTAATTCATGTATGTAATAGATGAATGCACTCGCTGCGAGCAGCCGAGACATAATTCGTTTCATGACCGACCTTGATATCGATTTCAACAGGTTCCGAATTCCCGATAGTAGACCTTCTGACGCCCCAATGAAAAGAGAGGAACACCAAGCAGAGAAGGTATGATGGCTTCTCGCGGGGACCAGGTCCAGGCCATGCTCTCTCCACCTGAGCAGTACCAAGACCTGACAACGTTGGAGATAGTATATCAGGCGAGCAAGATCTCACTTCACTAGAGGTAATACCATGCTAACCGTCCAGCGAAGCTGATACTCAGAACAAACCAGGTAGCACGGCTATTCAACAACAAGGATTTCCAGGTCTGCTACTGCTCTCTGTTCATCACGGGTACCAATCGAATGATAGACTGATGTTTGGTGATATCAGTACAAGAAAATCATTCTTCCAAAAAAGAAACGAACCTATTCCAGGCGAATTCCCCCCAAGCTGACATACTCGTTGTTGGGCCCACGACTTCCCATGACCCACAGTTGGACGTCATTCACATCATAGACGCCCACAGTCACTGGGAGAGCGCTCGAACCACGTCTGCTTCTCCCGGGGTTCAATTCAGCACTTTCAATTTGACTATTTATAGACCCTTCTGCTTTGTTCTGCGATTGTCCTGGTCCCATCTGTTCACTTCGGCTCGTCGCTACATGCACAGATCAGGATCAGGCCTCGTCCATCGACACCCAACACTCACCGATCAGGTTACAAGCGTTCGAGCTAAGGATATCGTCATAAGAAAATGGAATTCTGCGGTGGGGTTTCCGATGGCTTGTATTGAGTATGGTACAGTGCAATTTGAGCGGTCGTCGCTCAGTGATGTATCCCGCTTTCTTGAACTCTTGATGGATGAAATCTGTCAACAGTCAAACCGAATCGACGTTAGTGCTCAGGTGGACAAGCGGATGATCAAAGGCCTCCCTGCGTACCTGATACCTTCCATAATCGCTGCTTCCAATGATACTTTTCATCAGTCGAGCCTGTAGGAAAGGATGTCCGCGATGGCCCGGGACGATCTCCATCGTCGATCCCCGTCATGTCCGGTCCAAGATAGAGAACGTTCGCCCCTGTCATAGCGCCAGGCGGGAACACATCAAGGAGTTCCAGTGGGACCTTCAGCCTACTGCCTCCGCCATTCTCTGACAGTAATTCGGAGATACGGGGCTTTAGCGAGCGGAGCAGATCAAGTGCTGTCTCTACGGTTCTCGCAGGTTGAGTTTCTTGTGGTTCGCCCTATAGTGAGATATCAGTGGGTGAAGTTGGTGCGAAGAGAGACGGGCCTACAGAGCCAGGAGAATCACCGGTCTCAAGAGCCATGACTCCAAGAGTCAAATGTAGGCGGCGAGGATCAATGACGATCGTGTTGTCCAATCCTGTGATGGGCGGAGCATGCTCAAGAAGAGCGGATTGGAAGTTGGCGACTCGAGTCCGCAAAGTCGAATGGTGTTGCTAGGCGGGTCTCAACAGGTGCGATATACAAGGAAACGGGTTCATCGTACCAGAGGGAGAGCGAGAACTACATCGATCCATCGCGTCAGCGGGACTGGGCAATGGGAAGCAGAAACGAATTCTGAAGCGCACAGTGTGTTGGCCTGGGCATATTTCTTTCCGAACCAGATCCGCCTCCACCCCTTCCTCTTCCTCGTCCGCGACCTCTCCAGCCCCAATGACCACGGTTTACGGTAGTCGCTGAACTATTCGGAGGTGCGTCGGCAGTGTCCAATGAGGCAGAAAGGCCTGGTCCACCTCTCCCTCTACCACGACCTCGATGACCTCCCCGTTCCGTTTGTGACTGCAACGATCGGCCCCTGATCGACACCTCGACCGAAGCAAGCGAAGTCGTAGCGGACATGGTCACAAGATAATTGCGGAAATCGCTTCCCCTGTCAGATGAACCTAGTAAGGGCAAGTTCTTCTGTCCCGTCAAGGGTTTTCAGTTCACCTCGTCTGGTATAACGCCTTTGGGTACCTTGCTACTGACATCAGCATTTTCTTCATGAAAGAGGGCTGAACATGTGGTACAGATCCCCAGACGCCTCCGGATGGCGGATTGAACGAATGAAGTAAATAAATTCTGTTGTCAAGTCGTAGCATTATACAGAGGTTACTGTCAGCTTATCAAAGCATCTCAAGTGCTCACTTACCTTGGAGAAAGACAAAAAGTCTTGCAGTCGCTAGTCGTGATCAAAGAGCGGTGCAAAGACAGGGGACCGCCACGACTGAGCTGCATCAGGGGAAATCGAATCGGAGTTTGAACTCGCCAATTTCTGTCGCTAAACTTCCCCGTTTTCAGTCCGGTCGTTTGCTCATCTGTCCTTTCTGTCCTGAACGTTGAAGTCGATCGTGTCTCGACACCCTTTCGGTCGGTCGTTATAGTTCTCAAGATATTAGCAAGGACTGCGATCATCTCTTCGGCGACTGGAAGGTACCAGCAAGAGCACAAGGTGTGAATGGCGGTGCGCCTCTGCTGATAGTAGCCTTAATTAAGAGGCTAAGTAAGTCCAGGAGTGGCTCTTTGGATACAGCCATCTTCCAGCGGTGAATTCGATTATAGAAACTTACAGCAACAGATCGAACAGGGTGAAAAGGTCATTGGACATGCGCGGGCGTCGGATGGTCGACATGAGATAATCATCTAGAAGGTATGAACCAGTGCAGCGGGCGCTCAATGCAGTCCCTAATATTAGCACAAAGGGTTGTGCAGTCTCGAAGAAGCAGACGTTTCTGCCTGTACGGTGGCGTACATGTTCTTCTTTATGTGGAGCTGCGTCTCTTTAACTAGGGCAAAGGGTCGCAATGGGTGGATGGCCGCTGTATCCTCATCAGAAGCTCCTCTCAAAATACACTGTACGGACCTCTCATCTCACAAATAGGTTGTATGGAAATGTAACGAAAGGTCTATTAAAGCAAAGAATGCAGGTCCTACATGAAGATGTGATCCCAACTGGGATCTTCAAGTCAAGGAAGAACAACGAACTCTCATCGCGACTACAATGTCGACAGGCCCCTCCCAAGCAGAGATCGACCTCTACGGAACTGTTGTGGCTAGATCTGTCTATGCCAATGTCACCCTCACCTTCATGGACGTCGGTACGCGTCTTCAAGAGCTACTTCTATAGCATGAAAAGGAGGGAATCTCAACACCCGAACCAATGCAGGTATACAACTTTTCATGTGCCTTTACGGACTCTCCACCTTCCTCGAGACGCCGAAATCCCTCAGGAAAGGTCGGGTGCCGTTCGTCGCAATAAGTTTCATTATATGGGCAACATCGTCTTTCACGGCGATCCTAGACTCATATGTTAACTTCCAGACACTCTTCGACGCGGGACCGACAGGGAGTGACTACGTGGTGCAGTGGAGGAGATATAACGCCAATTCAAACTGGTTCCAATACGCCATATCGACGTCGTTGCTCGTCTATATTGCCATTGGCGATTGTTTGATGGTAAGAACCTTCTGTGTCTTCGAGTGTTACTATTCACGATATTTCACCAGTTGTACAGATGTTTCGTCCTTTGGAGGGATCGACTGTGGGTGATGGTTCTCCCCGTCCTGACTTTCCTTGCCTCAGTCGGTAAGAGATCTTCACTCGGCGACTTGACAAATACTAAATGCACTGATAGCTCTGGGGATCTTGAACGTCTACCCTTGGTCGCGCTTCATCTCAAGGGTTCCAACGAGTGCCTGGACCCTTGTAAGCGTCGCCATGAACATCATGGTAACTGTCTTGATCGTCGTGCGCCTGACTCGCGCTCGAAGAGACATCGAGAGAGCGATGCCAGGTAATGATACCCGTGTCTACTCCGGGATAATCGCAATTGTGATCGAATCCGCCACCCCCGTGACAGTTTTCGGGATTCTGTTCTCATTGATGGTGCTACTTATGTATCGATGGGAGACGTTGTATCATCAGGTCACTGTTGCTTATGCGTTTGAGACTGTGTTCGCCATGCTCTATTACTCGTTCTGCGTGAGTCTTCGCTTCAATTGGCACGCCAGACAACGTTAATCACCCACCATCTAATAGGCACTCTCACCCCAAATGATCATCTTTCGAGTGACAACTGGAAGGTCCTGGACTACAACTTACGACCGGGAAAAGGCCGCAGCGGCATTTTCACGTCCACTGGAGTTCCGACATACAACGACAGACCATACTGGACTCTACTTGCACGGCGAGCAAACGTCTGGACCTAACGAAGGCCAATTGGAAGTTTAAACTTCGATACATAACTAGTATTTACATAGAGCCCGGATGTCGCTTCTGATGTGCAATTTCGAGAAGTGGCCCATGCGGAATGTACAGAAGGATCGGAAAGACGCAAAAGGAGAAAATCCAAAAAGCACTTAAACGCTCCTCTCAGACTGTGTCTCCTTCTGCAGTACTGGGTCAGCTTGGAGTACGGCGGAATTCATTAGAGGAAGACATACGGTCAGACCCTTCTCATCGATGGACTCTTCCTTGTCGGTCTCACCACGAAGAGACTCGTCCGTCAGCAGCACGCTCACTGCGGAAATGAAGTACACTATGAATGGCGTGGTCAGTTTCTGTGCCAGCGCTGGCTAACATCTGGAACGTACGAGGGCCGGTCATCAAGCAAGGGATGATGCTGAAAAAGTCGCTTAGATATTCTGAATTCGCTGAGCCGACAGCTTGTACTTACAATCGATAGGTTCCATTTTGAGTGTAGTACTAAAAGACACGCGTCAACGCGAGCGATCAGGCCAGTATAGGAAGACGTACCAGAGAAACGCTCAAAATAGCGCACAAAGTAGTTGCGGCAGCGCGGTTCAAGGCGAAGATAATGATCTTCTCAAAGAATGTGAACACGCTAAAACAAACGTAAGGACTTAGGGACAATCGAAACGAAGCGAGCGACGACACTCACCGTGCAGAAACCTGGCTATATTTCAGATAGATCGCGCATAGAGTGAGTGTGATGACGACATCACATGCAGCGGTTGCAGCGCCCTGAACAGCTGTAATGGGCTTTTATACGTCGCATCTGTTCAGCTCCTCTGAGGCATTCACAGAGTTCCAGCGCAGCACACACCTTGTTGAGGCTCGCACGGGAACCGAGCTCTTGGAAGTCCTTGCTGATGACCCTAGGAAACAGAATCAACGATCGAAAATGAGACTACGAGCAGAGAGGTTTGGCACTTACTGGAGGTGGACTTGGACTAGCGACGAGGAGAAATCATTTGACGCTCAGCGCCTGATACTGTAACCAAAAATCACGATACGTACTGCATCCAGCAACTAAGAGGAAACGTTATCAGGATAATCGATCAGTCGATTCAAGACATTACTCACTGAACTGCAACAAGGCAAGAGCGAGCTGGAACATGGAACAGGCTTTCAGCAGGCGTCCCGAAAAGACCCGAGAAATGAACGTACAACCGGTACTGTGGCCCATCGAAGGGGTGACTTGAGGTGATGCGTAACTGTGAGATAAACGTCACGCCGACTGGGTTGAATCGCAGCACTCGCTGTGACGTACGGGTGAAGATTCGAACAGTGAAGAAACTATCCAGGGGCGTTGTCAACTTCAGACCATTGGGCGATAGCTTGTGCACTTACATTTGAGCGAGGAAAGTCGTGATGTACTGGGCGTGCCATTAATACAGTTCGCAGGATGTAATCTCGGCGAACTCACGACGCAGAGGTAGCGACCGGGAATAGAGCTTGAGATTCCTGTGAGTTTAACAGCAAATACATGTTCCAATGAAAATACCCACAAGACGATATCACCAAACAAGCTCGTATTATCGTACTCGTCGATAAAGTCATGATAACTCTGATAACCAGTGAAGCAGATTTGAATCGTGGCAGCGATCCTATAGGAATAAGGAACATCCTGTCAGTCTTCCGACGGAGCTTCGATATCTGGACTGAGCTCACGTTATCAGCCCAATGAAGACCCGATAATAAAGGGGATCCCGTTCAGCCTTCGTCCGGAAGTAATGGAGGGTCATGAGCTGTGGATTGCGTGTTAGATCGCCAATGTCTGAGAGAATTAGTCCCAGCGGTACTCACAGCTCCAACACCCCAGAGACTAACGAGTTTCGACATCAGTGAAACGTCGACGTAATCGATACCTCGAAGAATACTCACGCAGAGGTGATGACCAAAGCAATGAGCTGAGGTCCATACAACCTTCCATAGTTAGGAACAAATGCAACTGACATCTTTCAGTTCTTGGGGCGTGACAAGTCGTAACGGGAGTGGGGAGAGGGAAGGGGGAGGGGAAGAATCCGTCCTTCTGTCGAATAACGAGAAGCTTCTCCCGTCTATATACCTGCTCTATTGAATGGATTAGGTTAATCGGAACCTGTTAATTACCTGACTCCATCGATTGTGTGTACCAGTGCGTTCCTAGAATTCAATGCTTCTGACGGGAACAAAAAGACTTCTCTTGTACATGTGCACACAGTTCCTTTCCGCTGACAACGAACCTAAACGACGAAGGTTCATCTCAGGATCGAGCTGGGGATACCCCTTCCGAGACGTGGGTCTAAGCATCGACGGTTCAAGACACTCATAGAGCAGGTTTCGCGGCTTCTGCCAGTGGGAACTTCCGTCCAGGTTTAGTTTAGAGTTGCGGGTATCTGGTCCCGATGTAGGCGGACAAGAAGAAGATGGGTCCACCGAGTGTACACGCGACAAAGCATTTGAAGAACTTCTAACGGCATAGAGCGTAAGAGGGACCCACAAGAATGCAACGTGACGATGTAGGCCAATCCAGGTGAGCGCCGACTCGCACCACACGCCGAAACGAGCACTTGGGACAATGGCCCTTAGTAGATTGGGACCTATAATGGAGAGCGTGTATGGCATCCTGGAGGACACCTGAAAGGCAGAGCGCCATAGAATACAGCCCAGAACACAGAACTTGCCGAGTTGAGAATCCGCGTACAGACCGAATACCGCTCCGATTCCGGAGAGCGTCGTCGCCTGAGTGAAGGTAGACCAATATTCCTGAGATGTTAAAGCCCATGCAGTAAGAGCGTTGTCCCTCGTTGTATGGCGGTCAACGAAGTGGTGGAAGTTCGGTGGAGGGAAGAAAAATGCCAACCCCGACCGAGGACCAGAGATGGAGTGTTTGTTATCGCCGTTGATGACAAATTGATTGAGAATGATTGCCGATCCGCGGCATGTTCGAACTTCGCGTCCACAGTTGAAACACAAGTAACGCAATCGCTAACGGCCTGCGATTGAATGGGCATTGCGGATGACACCGCTCAATTCAATTCTTCTGGGTCATCTACCCAGCCCCAGACGGCTACGAGGGATACTCAGGAGAGGACGTACGGCGCCCGCTTTGTAGGCTAGTGACCCTCCACCTCTTCAATAGAACTTGTGAAGGAATAATGAACGTGACTGGCAGTCAGCAATTCGAAGCACATGGCCAACTTCAGCAGAACAGTCACCTCGGGGTGGGCGTGAGCCTTAGGTGAGCACTAGAAGTAGAGCCCCAATTCCTGGGCGACGTTTATGTAGTCCAACAACGTAAATCTCAAAGCCAGCCAACTTAGCCTGAAGGCTGACATGAGAAAGTTGACCACGGCTTCCGCTCGAAAGTCGGACCAAGTTACCTGTCAGTGAAGCTTTAAGCGTTTTTTCGGTCAGTAATGATGTCATTTAGTCCAAGATCATCGAAAAGGGGTGGGTAGGAAGGAAGGGGAAGGCTTGCGCGCACATGTACCAGCCTGTCCTCATTCGGTGGTCACTGACCTGTCAGTGAAGCTTTTAGTCTTTCCACCCACGTTCATCCTTGCCATGTGACGACGGTTTAGCTGGGAAATGGGGGGCTTATCAGAAAACTCTGAACTCCAGTACGATCACGCTCGCACGTCCCTCTACTTCGTTACTCTCACTGAGTCCCAAGCACGCCATTTAGTCAACGCTCTGAGGAACAAAAGTCACTGCTGACTTTCCACGGCGCCATGCTCATCAGTGGAGCAGATACTAACGAAGGTGGCAGCATAACTGGGAACGAAACACTCACCTTCAGGGTTCTTGTCGGACATGAGGGATTGTTTCAAACGTCACTCTCGACATCTGAGTTTAATGTGTTCTCTTCGCTTGAGACACTGAAGGTAGCTAACGCATGCGGACCGCATCATGATAACAGGAAGCAATGGGAACAACGTCGATCCAGGGCGGCCCGCGCGAAGATTGGCGGGAAGCTTCCTTTCGTCTTGGTAGCCCCCTCTCTCAACGAGGGGCAGGCAAATTCAATGGATCCGCGGTCATGCTATGTACAGTGCACACGGTTTTCGCGATAAACGTGGCCTTTTGGTTCCGCGAAACGACAGTCTTCGACTCCACATTTGTCCGGAGGGAGTTGATGGCATCAAATTCCCCCAAAACGTCCTTAATTAAATCCTGGTACCGATCACTTGCGAAGGTTATATGTATGTAGTTTGGCCTGTAGGACCTCGAGAACTGCACGGAAAGCTTAGAAGGACGCCGTACAGCTAGCTACAGATGGATATAGGTAACAGCATTAAATGAACACTACTATGTATACCCCCAATACTGCCACCAACTTATGAAAGAACAACTTCGTCAGCCAGAAACCCGGGAAAGCTGATGACGAATATGGGGGTTAAACGATTCTGACAACAGTCTTCTTTCCACAGCACCACTCCTCAGAACCCTACCATGGTCGTTGATTCGCTGTCAAAACACTCTAGGCCGCCGCTTTCTTTCGGTTCCATTGCTGTACCAAGCCTACAGCGAATACCTTGATCTTTCCCAACCGTTGGAGCTACCCTTTCGAAGACAACAAAGATGACTTTGAACTGGTCATTTCGTGTAGACACAACGAGCTGAGCAGTAGTATAGGACGTCACTTTGAACGTCATATCCAACTTGACGAGCTACGGCCGCCGCAAGGCGCAATACACAACGAGTAGATGAGAGAAGGTAGCGACCATTTGTTTGGAAAAAGCAAAGTCGAACTCCAGGTATAAAAGCAGGTTCGAAACGACTAGGTTGAAGCAGCAGCAGCAGCCTCTTGCAGCCAGCTACACCCAGTCTCTCAGCTTCAAGCCTTCCTCGATCTATTCGCGATGTTCTTCCCTCGTGCTTTGTTCTCCGTCTTCGCCGTTGGCGCCATCGCCGCCATCGCCGCCCCCTCGGCCGTCGTCGAGAAGCGCGAGGATATCTCTGATGTCCTCGCCATCGTCGGCACCTTGAAGGCCAGCACCGATAGCATCTTGCCTCAAATTGGTTAGTTTTCAGTTTGGTAACCTTGAATTGTGTGCTCACCGAGGTTGTTGTGGTATAGACAACTTGGTCAACAGCGACACTGCCACCGAGGCCAACCTCTCGCCTCTCCTCCAGGACCTCAGCGCCTCCATCAACAGCGGTGCGACCTCCCTCGAGGCCCTCCGTGGCAAAGTCGACTCCAGTTCTGGTGGTACCGAAGAGCAAGTCGCTGAGGAAGTCGCTGTTATCTACACTGTCCGTTCCTTCCTTTAATCTTCTCAACCATCATCTTTTTGACACAAGCCCTTTCGAACACCTGATTTCTAACAATACTCTGATAACAGGACGTCGCCCACTCCTTGGACAACTTGAAGAAGAAGAAGCCCCATCTCTACCCCCTTGTTCCCAAGTTCGGTCTTGACGCTGCCCTGCTCAAGCTTCTCCTCGGTTTGCAGCTCGTTCTCGCTGGTGTTATCAAGCTCCTCGCTGTTCTGTAAGTGTCTCTTCATGGTTGAGTTGCAAAAGATACGGTTGTCTGATTGTCGACGTCATTGGTGATAGCTTGAAGGCTGTTGGCGGCCTCTTGTCCGGCTTGGGCTTCACCCTCATCCTGCTCCTCCTCGGTTTGTTCTAAGTGACGCCTCGAGGTCGCTCATTCGGTCGTTCTTATCTGGTTGGCATTCTGTATAATGACCCTGGTGTTTCGTCCTGTATTGTGTGTTTGATATGATGATTTACGAATTGAACTTTTGTGCTTTTATTACCAAATCCAAAGGACTTCGCGACTCGTATCTTTAGCGCCCAAGCGCTTTTGTCACTCGGCCCAACCTGAAAGCAGACTGTGACGATTATTACATTTTACTTCAAATTAAAGTGCCGCTACACCGACCTAACCACCACACATCCGAGACGATGGTACCACACTCCTCCGGCTCGCTTCACCTTCTTGTCACCTAAAGCCAAAACCAATCCGCGCGTTAGAGTCTAGAAGTTCCACCATTATCATCACGACAAGGGGAAGAAGAAAAGAAACACGCACTCAATCTGAGCCAACCCAACCAAAAACCGACGTGCACTCGTATTTCCATCAAGACGTGCAGCGCAAGAGCCCCCAGACCTATGATACGGGAACCCTAAAAGCCACCATCGATTCAGAGATTCGAAAGCCTCCCAAGTTCTCCTTCAAGCTCCCGCACAGCAACACCTGCACCTGCTCGAAGGTCACTTGACGATCTCCCAATCCAATTGAAGGGATAATTCAGCGCATTCTCGGGGAACGCGGTATGTACTGTAGGACTGGTTACTGGATCCTTGATGTTCGACGACGAAAGCTTCTCGCTTCGCAGCATTCAAATTTTGGTCGTGAAAGTTGGTCTCCCCGGCCTGAAGGTAGATCGGTGCGACGAGGCGCCTGGGGACAGTGGAATCGGTTACTTAGCGTTGGGTGTCTTCCTCTCGGGCTGCTGCAAACGAGGCCCGTGAAGACATTTATGCAGTTAGTTACTTGTTATAGTGCAGTTCACCGCGGATCGGATGACAATTGGGAAACGGACCAAGGCGTGCTAGTAGGTTACCCTGACGCTCCGACTGGCATTCCGTGGAGCGGTATACCGTATACGACGCTTAAGCAACGAGAAGGGGTCTTGGGCTTGGGCAAGGGCGTCCTTCGGACCCTATCGAGTGCTCAAATGAGGCGCAACTCAGACCCATGCCAGTGTAGACTGATAGACGCGAGAGGGAGAATGACACGAGCGCGGTCCGTACATTGCAGCACATCACAGGAGATCGTGCCATGTATCCCTATAGTAGTACTCTGGCACATTTCACAGAAACCATGTACCCACCGAATCGAGGATCCGCCAGACGATCGTAGAGCTTATGCGGGAAGGCGGGACGCATACAGATAGTGTAGAATATGTTGGGAATCAGCTCGGCACTCGGTAATTGTGCCGGGCGCTTATTCATCGGACGGATTTAGGAGATTAATTATCTTCTTATTTCCTCGATAATTCTACATCTATATATCCGTAGACTACTCGATTGTGTATAAATAGTTCGTAGTTACTTACTCAATCGATATGGGCATTCACCCTCTCTCCAGTTTCTCAACAGAATACCGAAAGAGCAGGACTAGGCGGCGGATTCTGGGTGTAGTTGTTCCAGCACGGGTTTAAGCCTATCCCAACCAGCGTGGGTTTAAGCCTCTCCGAAAGGTGGTCGAGGAATACTTTTTCTTTCCTCCACCTCCCTCTCCATGTATGTAGTCACTTCCCTTCACACCCCCCTCATCCTTATTCGCCTCGCCTCTTCCTCCTTCTCTTAGCTCTAGTATGCCCCCTCGTCCCCCATCACAGCTTTCATACCCCCCAAAACGACCTCACCAGTGAGCCACCCCAACAGCCCTCAGAACTGTCGGCTCCACCCTCACCACCAACGACGAGAGAACGACGAGGCTCCCCGCTACGCCGGAGCCCATACCGAGTGACTGTGTGATGGCTAGGACTCGAGCGGACCAGACGAGGGAGAGGACGAAGGGCGTCAGAGTTGGTACACCCCGCTTTCCCGGAGGTTGGTCCACCCCGGCCCGCGTGTTACGAAGAGCGCGAGGCGGAGGAAGAGGGTTGTGAGTAGTTCGGAGGAGGCTGTCCAGTCTGGTTTACAAATTGAATACAAATTGAAATTAGGTTGTGAGATGGATGGGAAGAGGTGATCATGCCAATGGTGACGCAGATGTTGGATGGTAAGAACATACCTTCTTTCGAGTAGGGTAGGACGTTGGCCGAACTCGCTGAATCGTACAACTCGAGCCAGTACAATCTGCGTCCGTTTCACGTTGAACACTTGCTTGCCTCTCAACGACGAGCTAGAGGTGACTCACGTCACGTCAAATCAACAACCAGGCCACAAATACACACTCAGCAGCCGTACATAGGCGCGGTCTCCTCCTCCTGCTCCGCCAAGCTCGCTTTCAACAACCCAAACCCCGCCACACATGCCGTTACAAGTAACCTATACTAGTACCCCGTAATGGCAGGGTGTGTAGGCTTGATTAATAAATCCATGACCGCGTTCGTCTGATTGGTAGTTTGGAGAGGGAGGATGGAGGGAGAGGCGGTGGAGGAAGGACCAAAAGCCGTTTAGGACATCGAGTTCGAAGCACCTTTGCGAGCGTGGGGTAGCGTGTGATTCGAGGTTTGAGAAGACTAGGAATCTGGAATATGGGCGAGTGGGAAGAGAAGTATGAGAAAGAGGAGAAATTCTATCATTACAAGCGCTACTGTCTCTCCGCGGTACGCTGTGACAGCGCTGGCCATGCCCAATCCTAGGGTAGTCGAGAACTCCACGAGGCGGGAGGGCGTAACTTTCGGATGCCAAGCACAAGTTGGAACAAGGAGATTGAGATTAATATCGGTTAGGAGGCGTTGGGAGGTTGTCGAGCTCGAGAGTCGCCGCTTCTTGAAGAGTTGACGAGCCAGGGTCATCCGGAGTTGGAGGTGGAGAAAGTGTTCATTCTGTGTGTGTGTTTGTGAGGAAGAACGTTGGAGGGGTCTTGGATGGGTAAAGACCTGTCCCCATGGTTGTTGGCTGCAAAAACGACGGTCCACCGCAGCCAAGGGGTGACATCAGTCCAAGGGTCGAGCTAAATTACTTTTGATGGCTATCACAAGCGCGGTTCGAGTGGATTGGCGAGAGCAAGTTTGCCCTCGTGGCTGGCAAGAATATTCAACACTCGATTTGTCGTGTATCGATGCGATAGGAGGTGGTGGGGGCGCCAGAATGATAGCTCCGCTCCGTTTATCTTATCTATGACCGGATGCGGAAAGGTTATCACTCGATTTGACCATGCGCGAAGACAGTGAAGGGGAAAGGCTCACCAGGACGACGTGTTCACCAACGTACTCCCCTCCCGAACACCATTCGCCTAGCATGTTCCACGACGTGCTGGCTGGCAGTAAGCGCTTCCGACGGCGTCAATAATAAGAGCGTGGACGGAATTCCCATCAGCGTGTCTCGATGGCGAGCGCGACGTGTGACCCTAACCCCAGGTGGATTTACATAAGCCGGTGCCACGTCTAGAAAAGTTGTGAGGTGGCCGTCGTTGCTCATATCACAACTACCAACTTCTCCTCCTCCCCCCTTTCCTTTCCCTTTCTTTTTCATTTGGAGTCGTAGCCCGCCCACGGCGTTTCCGTCACCATGAGCGGCTGTGAGTGTTCCTCACTTGTTTCTTGTTATGGAGACGCGATAACTAATGACGTTGACCTGCTCCTCCTGGGTTGAATAGTCCGGTTTCTCAATCTAGTCAGGCCCTTCTTGCCCATTCTTCCAGAGGTTTCTTCTCCAGATCGCAAGGTACGCGCCTCGCCAGTCTCGCCCAACCCAAAGTTACTCACCCATCCACACAGGTTCCATTCAACCAAAAGGTGCTATGGACGGCCGTGACGCTGTTGATTTTCCTTGTCTGTTCGCAAGTGCCTCTGTATGGAATCATGTCGTCCGACTCGTCCGACCCGCTCTACTGGATGCGTGTCATCCTCGCCTCCAACCGCGGAACCCTCATGGAACTCGGTATCACACCAATCGTCACTAGTGGAATGATCATGCAGCTCCTCGCCGGTGCCAACCTCGTCGACGTCGATTTCGGTCTCAAGGACGACAGGGTCCTCTTCAGCGGTGCTCAGAAACGTGAGTTGCTCCTCCCTATGGATTGGATACGTGGAATTGGGCGCTAACGGACGAAAAATGCAGTGTTCGCGTTGATCATCGCGCTCGGCCAGGCCACCGTCTACGTGCTCACCGGTCTCTACGGTCCCCCCAAGGAACTCGGCGCCGGCGTCTGCCTCCTGCTCATCATCCAGCTCATCGTCGCCGCCCTCATCGTCATCCTCCTCGACGAGCTCCTCCAAAAAGGCTACGGTCTCGGCTCCGGCATCAACCTCTTCATCGCGACCAACATTTGCGAATCGATCGTCTGGAAGGCGTTCAGCCCCACCACCGTCAATATTGGACGTGGCGCCGAGTTTGAGGGTGCCCTCGTCGCGCTCTTCCACTTGTTGTTCACTTGGAACGATAAGGGCCGTGCGTTGCGTGAGGCGTTCTGGCGCGAGAGGTTGCCCAATGTTATGAACTTGTTCTCGACGGCTGTTATCTTTGCTATCGTCATCTACCTCCAGGGTACGTGCCTCGCGTTGAGTTGGGTTGACGAGCGCTCATGGTTTTGCTAGGCTTCCGCATTGAGATCCCCGTCAAGTCCAACAGGTTCCGTGGCCAGCGTGGCACCTACCCCGTCAAGCTCTTCTACACCAGCAACATGCCCATCATGCTCCAGAGCGCCCTGACCAGCAACGTCTTCATCGTCAGCCAAATGCTCGCCACGCGCTTCCCGAAGAACCTCTTGGTGCGCTTGTTGGGCGTCTGGGAGCCCATGGAGGATTCCCCTCAGCTGCGCGCGACGTCTGGTATCGCGTACTACATGTCCCCTCCGCACACGATCAAGGAGGCGATTCTGGACCCTATCCATACGGCTGTGTATATCTCGTTCATGCTTAGTGCTTGTGCGTTGTTCTCGAAGACGTGGATTGAGGTTTCGGGGAGTGGGCCTAGGGATGTTGCGAAGCAGTTGAAGGATCAGCAGATGGTTATGGCTGGGCATCGGGAGGGGTCTATGTATAAAGAGTTGAAGAGGGTTATTCCTACTGCTGCTGCGTTTGGTGGTGCTATTCTTGGTGCGTGCTTCGTTTCTTCTGTTGGTGTGGGGAGGAGGCTGATGGGAATACGGGAATTTGTAGGTCTCCTTTCTGTCGCTGCTGATTTGAGCGGTGCTATTGGCAGTGGAACGGGTATTTTGATGGCTGTTACTATTATTTATAGCTGTAAGTCCCTATCCCTTTTTCGTTTCGTGTGGTGACGAGTGCTGACACCTTTGGCGTGTAGACTGGGAGATTGGTATGCGCGAGAGTGGTGGACCTGAAGTTGCGGCGTTGTCTGAGCTCATGTAAAAAAAAGTGATGCATACGGGATAGTTTTTTTAATCAGATCATACCCTCTTCGCCCTCCCTTGCACTTTGTCTTCTCTTATCTTGACATGAGCGAGAGCATCCGAAGTGTACTTGGATGGATGATGGATGACGGTATGTAGATGGGTGATGGATGATGAATGGGAGGTGAGGTGCGTGCATGGTACCAGCAGGCTGTGTTGTGGTGAGACGGAGAAGGAGAGGAATTTCAATGAGTATGTAGTGCTTGTAGAAAGTACCTCTCGTTGGGATGCAATGTCGCTATCATGACCGAAGAACCAAATGCTTGCGATGCGTGGAACTGAATCCTGAATCCTGATGCATGGCTCGGATTTGGGGACTCGTAGCATTATTGAACGATTGAGGAGGATGCTTGAAGAAATGAAACCACGAGGTTTGGAACCAGTGATGCACCGTGTTTGACAAGACCACCTGGACCAAACAAATAGATAGCGCGCGACAGGCGCTCAGCGGACAGTCGACATTTATGTAGACGCTGGAGCATGCTGGAAGGATGAAATCCATCGGACATCGGTCCTGGGAGGAGATCTTTCGGGAAAGACATGGGCTTTTCGCAGCTGTATAAAGTCGATATCGTTTGGGCATGGGCGCGTCAGCCCCTGAGGTAATCTCGTAGACCAGCCTCGAGCTTCGGCCGCAGCCAGGCTGGGGCGTCTGATCTTAATGTGGATGTGCATCAGGGAGTGGCTAATTTACTTCGCCGCTTATGGCACTTCCCGCCGCTTTTTCTAGCTTCTGAAGGCCGTAGACCGAGAAAAGCGCCGAAAGCTCCTAGAAAACATTACTGTTTTGCACTTCCCAGTCAACCTGAGAACTTGAAACGCGCTATAGTAACATCTCCAGTGTAGATCAATTGATTTAACCCACCCAAGTGGCTGAAGGAGAGTGTGAAGTGAGGTATACCGCAAACATTTTTGATCTTTCCGACCGGAGGACCTAGGGTTTTAGCTTTCCGCTTTTATCACATTACGGCGCTCTACGGCGCCTTCAAATGTCCCGTGAAGTAAATACCTAGGTTACTGATGTGGTCCCCCGACGGCCGGTTCATCTGGTCTTAAAAGCTTAATGCGGTCCCCCGGCCGGGTTGACGGCGAGTTAAGCTTTTCTACGTCTCAGAATAACCGCCTTCGCTGTCACCACCACTGTGCACTTCGACGTGTGAACTATGTAGTAAGTAACACCATTCGATGGTTTCACTGCAACCTTGCCTTGCCCCTCTTCCCCTCTTCCCAACCTAACCTCTTTCAGTCGTTCTTTCATGTCAGCCACTATCACAGCCTTCATCCGTCATCCGCGAACGCAACCTCATTTCACCACCCGCGATTTCGGAACACAGGAAGCCTTTGCGATGGTGAGCTCCGCTTGAGGCTTGGACATTTTGAACCCTTGGTAGAAGAAGGACAAACTTTTAATTGCTCATGATGCACGGACCCCTCAGCTGCTCGAATGCGCCAAACAAGGGTCTATCCCGCTTATCGATCGACCTTCTCTTACGCAATCATGATTTTTCAAGTCGTCACCCCATTCCGGGAGATGACGAAAAGAATAGGATGGGATTGGAGATTCAAAATGATATTGCGTTGAAAAGAGTGTGATTGCCCCAAAAAGAGTGGGATGGGGGAATAAGAGTGGGATCCCAGCCGTCATCCCACTCTTTTCGTCGTGTTGTGACGCCAATCCCGCCCAGTCTCCGTGCCGCCCGTTGAAGGGCGGCCGTTAGAGTCAGGATTAGTTATCTGCGCGTAGCGCAGCTGTTAGGGTGAGGGTTGGTGGTTAGAGTTGGGTTTAGGGTTGGGTTTAGGGTTGGGTTTAAGGTTGGGTTGGGTAGTTAAAAGGTTGGGGAAGGGAATATTATGTTGCGCGCCTTCTTCCAGATAATATGACGTTGAAGATGCTGAAAATGGAGAGAGGCCACCCCTCCACCACCATCCCACTCTTTCGAAGGTGATCCCACTCTTTTTCACGACGTTTATTCCAATCTCCTAATCCCATCATATTCTTTTCGTATATACTCCCCCATTCCCCAGTCCAAGCTGCTGGATAGCGCTCGCGCTTTGGTGGTTCATCTCGCTGTTCCGGTGCCAGATTCGGTTGTTGAAAAACAGGGCAGGGACAGGGACAGGGACAGCGCCACGGCTGACAATGTCTATCGAGCGGTTTGTGCATTGGAGGCGCTATGCAACCTCGGAGACTCGCTTTCCAATGAACGGGAGCCTCAAACCCGCCTTATGGTGGAGCGAAGCACGGCGATGTTTGTCAAGAACCTTGATGGTATTCTTTCGTGGCTGCATTATCTTGTCATCGAGGATGAAGGCAGGCACGTAGAGGGACGTGTTACGGGGGCGCTCAAGTTCCTCTTCCTATGGAGCTCTCTTCACGAGCGGTTGGATTTTGTGCTACGCTCTTCATCCTCCCGTCATCGACCTCGCCGTCATCCTCTTCACCCTCCCAGAAAATATCCGCCATGGACAGCACAAGGCCATTCCTCTACTTGCTCCAATTTTTGGTCATCAACGAGACAAGCAGAAGTTTCGCTCCTCGACCAAATCGTCCCTCCTTCCTTCAGCCGCCGTCAACACATTCCTCTCTCCAACCTCCCCGACCCGGTCCAGTTTATGAATATACCTTCAAGGCAAACGACGACGACCCAAACAATCTAGTGCAGCATCTTGTGCTGCTTGAAACCATTCTCGACTTTATATCCCTCGATGCTCGGCTGAAAATGGCCACTTGCTCAACCCACCGATTCGTACCCACGGTTCTTTGCCCTCGTTCAAGGAGATGCGCAGGCTCGGAATCATCTCTAGCACCGACCCACCTGGCCCGCAGCATGCTGTTCACTCTCTTGTGGGTCAAGCGCCACCGCCTTCATGGTCCTCAGATCATGGTGCAGCTGTTAGGCATGGGCTTGTGGCGTCTTGTGCTGGAATTGTATTTGGAGGAGGAGCCACTGGAGGATCGACGAGTCAGAGTCATCATGGCGGAGTGCTTGGACGCGGTACTCTCCTTCTTGCCCTCTCGGCGGGTGAAAGCCGCTTTGGTCACCGCAGGGCGTGCAGTGCCCAAACAGCTCCACGATCGCTTAGACGATCCTGGATTCAGCGGGCATGAATTCTGGGATAGGTGCGTGAGCACCATCGGGATACACGAGTCGTTCGAGCGGCCTCCGGTCATGTGCTGCAATCTACGGGTTCGTCTCCCTTTTTTTCTTTAATCCTTATCGGTGTACATAATCAACGATCTGAACTTACCGACACTTGTTCTTTTTTAGCACCTTGATAAAACTCATGGCAGGACACCGGCACCCCTTCCCGAGCCAAAAGCCTGTTCTCGATGTTTGTGCGTTGTTTACTGCTCCACGGAATGTCAGACGGAGGACTGGCTAGCCATTCATCGTTTCGAATGTGACGTGTTCCGCTCGGAGCGTAAGGGTATGTGCTGTATGGAGCTCGGTTACAAGTGCCCATTGCTAATGTGATTCTCCGGGCTAACACAGAAGTCCAGGAAGAAGATCTATGGATCCGCCACGCAACCCGGTTCCACTTCCTCCGCGTCGCGCAAATCTACCTCCGGGAGAGCAACATTAACAAGGAAATGCTGCAAAGGGAGAAGATGTCCGAGTCATCAAGTGACATCCTGGTGAATCCGACAGTCCACACAGCGTTCTCAGAGAACGCGCTGATTCACCCTTTCAACGAAGTAGCTCCCGCCAGTCAAGTTCGTGGACGTCTGGAGAAGCTGAGGTTTTGGTCGGCGAAAAGGTTCGATGCTGTTGTCGCCGCGGTACGGGAAAGAGAGGGGCTTTCGATGGTCGCGTTTAGGTTCCAGTATGGGGCGCTTGCGCTGCACGTCTTGTGTTTGGCTGAACTTGATGGGAATACGAGTGTACATCGGTTTTCGGTTGGAACGGTTCAGATTGAGTGCGTACTCCTCCCTTTTTCGTTGTTGTTGCGGTTGTTTGGGAGCACTGGCACCTCTACCTTAATGGCTGAATCTGATCTTCATAGGTATAAAGACGAAGCGAGCCGGAGGGATGTTACCATCGTTGATGAGTGACCCGACTCCGAGGAGTAGTTGCACTGACACTGTACCTTGAAAAATGGCACTAGCATGGTTAAACTGCACTGTATCTTGAAATGGTAGCATGGTTTAAACTGTCTTCATCTCCTTTGCTATTGGGACGTCGCTCTCGGGCGCTAATGACTCAGATCCGGATTCCGTGTAGTCTTCTGGGTAAAGTAATACAGTCAGGGGGGGCAGCAGCAAGTTGCCAGTCCAAACACTTTCACGTAGTAGCCCAGTTGAGACAGACCAGCCCCCAGCGATAGTTGACGGTCGTGACTCGTCGGTAACTGGTTACTGGTACCTACGGGGACTATTGTCGATATTGAACGTAAACCCCCAAAAGGAAAAGCTTAAACCTAGCAATCCATCGATACCAGGTACCGAGAATCACCCGCCGTCACCCGTCGTCACCCCGGGCGGGCCAACCCTGCTATGTAGCCCTCGAGGCCCGACGTTCTGGTCAGTCACAGGTTTTCTTCACGTTTTAGTAGTAGACGCTGAGCGCTGAGGCCCACAATCAGACATTAATACACGAACGCAGTTCCAAGCTGCATCTCCTCAGGCTGACGAATCGCGACTCGCCTATATGGGATGGCTCAAATTCAAATCACTCGAAAGTTGGCATTTGATAGATCATAGTTACACAAGAACAGACTACATTGACGGTACATGGCACTGTGCATACAGTTCCGACTCGGAGTATCCTTCGAGACCTTTGGCAGATATGTATCGCATTCCGAGAGTAGGTCTAATCATCCAGAATTAGGTTGAAGACGAAGAGCTCCGTGGCAGGGTACTGAGGGGGAAGACTGTCCGTCGCAGTCAAGGGCTTGACTTCAACTTGCGACAACTCCTCGGCACGGTGAGGGACGACCCAGCCCTTCCTATCGCTGGTATTCTCGACCCTAGTATGCAGTAGTAGGTGGGTAGTAGCGGTGGTGGAGAGAGATAATGAGTGAGTATAAAGCCATCGAAATAATAGAAAAAACGAATTTGCCACGTACGTGTATACATTCTCTCCATGCTGGGGCTGAGACACGATGAACCAGGTCTTATGCTCCAACTCGCCCACGAGATCGGCGAAGAGCTTCCCCTCGTGGGGCGCAACAGGACTGCCCCTCGCCTTGAGGATGTACACCTCCTCGGTTTTCTCAACAACCCACTATGAAAATAAAAATAAAAAAAAGGTTATTAATCACGAAAGAAAAAGAGAGCGCCTATGATTAATAAGGGGAGAAAACAAAGGCACATACGAAGATTTCAGAGGTGTTGTTGCTATCCTGAGGCAAGACAACGATGCGCTTTGGGAACAACGAGCGGTCCTCTGTAAGTGGACGGCCGACGTGGAGGTCGTTCACCTTGGAGGTGATCACGTATGTTCCGGATGGGATAGTCATGGGGAAGGTTGGTGACTGTGGTTCTTGAAAGATGTGTAAAGTAAAGTGGTAGTACTGCCCAGGGGCTGATGAAGATTGGCACTACATCCCTGGGTGGCTTTTATACCTGATGGAAAACCCGAGGGCCGTGCACCGACGGTCGTCACATGATCTGAGAGAAGGATCCTTGGAAAGTCAGGAGGCGTAATCCAGTGGCCATACGCATTCAATTCCTCCAGTAATGTCGGGTCCAAAAAGCGCCGTTGGTAATATCACATAGCTTAATCGACAACTTAGGATAGAGCAGAAACCCAGTTATTAGGCCCGGCGCTTGAACCTCTCCGAGTTTCTTTCCGGTCTAAACAAGTCCTTCGACCTCTATTAACTCTGTCAGAGTGAGTTCAAGCGGGACGTCCTTCAATTGTGCACGTATACACACTGAATACCTCACTCCTGAAGTCGTGTTCGGTTCCATGCGATGCATAGGTCTACAGCAGTATGCTGTCGCTTTCATAGCTCACTGTTGCAACAAAACCGCTTCTTCCCACGCGCTACTCGACAGCCGCGTCGGATGAAGATACTCATACCAGTGAAGGACCGACTTGGAGGGGGGTGGGTATGTTAGTGGTCGAAGGCCTGCAGGGAGAAGAGCGGAAGCTAAACTCAGAAGCTCACCCGCCCATGTCCGAGTTAAATCGAGTCCTTCGATGTGAGGGGTCGTCGCCGTCAGAAGCTGGACATATAGGGGGCGGTGACACCAGCTATTATTGTGTCCTGCGAGGCGCTCGAGAGTCGAGGGTGCGCGCCAAATGGAACACAAAGTCACTTTCGCTGACCGCCCACTGGCAAGTCACGTCACCTGGATGGTAACGAAGGTGAAGATCTAAGAAGAGGTGAATACACCACTCATCGAGTCATTCAGTAATTCCCACCTCCGTGGAAGAAAGAGGACCAACTCGCGTCGTACATCAAAGAATCAAGAGTCCATTCATACAACTCACAAGCCTACTTGAATGACAACGAAGTCGCCTATTCTCCGGGCCCAAAGGGTATGTAGTCCTCGAGGGGGAAAAAGGTGGACTCCGATTCAAGGCGGATAGCGCGGATCAGGTTACCGCTCAACTTGAAGTTAAGACTTTGACAGGGTAAAGAATATATATCGGAATTTGACATATAAAAGTAGGTGCTTCAGGATCTCAGAGAAGTTCATTGAAATCACAAAACTTTTCTCCAACGCGTACTATTAAAAAAGAAAAATCGTACAAATTCGTAAATACATACATACATACATGTAACACGAGTCATCACAGAAAGGGTGCGAGTCGACTCCCATAAGCGAAGAGTAAGAGGAGGGGGCGGACAGCAGCCTGAGCGGGGAAGCCACAAACACACCCCTCGCACAACCCCCCGGTTCACGCAGGCAGGCTCACGCTCACGCTCAAAGCGAAGCAGCAACAGCAGCCAAAACACCCGCAACACCCATCACAAGCGAGTTGATACCAAACACTTGGCTTCCACCCTCCTCCTCATCGTCACCGCCGTCAGCACCGCCAGAGGGGGTAGCACCGTCACCGCTCTCGCTCGGGCTCGCACCGTGGCCGCCGGACGTCGAGTTGGTGCAGGCACCGAGATCTTCTGGGACCTCGGCGGTGCTTGAGAGGGTCAGGTCGGCGCACTACAACGTGTCCGTGTGCATGTACGAGGGGGAGTCGGAGTAGTCGAGTGTCCAGCGAGAGCGAGCGAAAGGAAGAAAGAGCGAGTGGGTCAGCGAATCACTCCCAACCACACACAAAAAAACCTAAACACATCGTACCTGGTAAAGCGCACCATCAGGTCCATCAAGCGTAACCTGAATAGTCACGTTCGCTCCATCCTCAACACCGGGGATACCAGCAGCACCAATATCCAAAGGAATACAGAAATTGCCAGGCTTGGCTTCGGGCGCCCAGTACTTGACGAACTGCTCCTCCCCGTCAGCGCGGAAGGCGTCAAAGCTGTTGGGGTTGTCGGCGGTCGAGATGGTCACGGCGGCTTTGGAATCGAAAGTGAAATTAAAATTGAGATTGGAATTGGGGTTGGAGCGAAGAGGGCATGCCAGTCAGCACAAGGGAAGGGAGTAAGATTTTGAACAAAAAACGCTACGTACAAACCCAGTCCTCGTGGCCCTGTCGGATACGGAATTGGCCACCGTTCAAGGGGAAGACAGTTCGGTTGGTCGTGACATCGGGGTATCCACCTATCATACATCACAAAAACATAAGCCTTTCGTTCTCAAACCAGCACCTCTAAAGAGAAAAGTGCAGCTCACCGCAGAAAGTCGGCTGGAGGTTGCCCACAAAGGGTCCTCGGGGCTCAGGATACAAAAGTCGGAAGTGGGCGTTGGCGCCAGTGGCGAGGACGGCGGCGATCGTAACAGCTTGGAACAACATCGTAAACGGGAGTAAGCAGTAGTAAGGGCGGTCGAGGGGGAGGTGTGTGAGTGTTCCGCAGTAAAGCAGGATGGATTAAAAATCCGAACTAGTTGCGATACTTTATACTCGCTGCCCACGCCGAGAACGCGGAGGGAAATAGCGTGGGAAATTAGGGTAAATTATTCGTCACTACCTAATCGTTCCAGTCGCAGGCGGGTTTGATTACACAAGTGACAAGACCCTGAGTTTATCGAAGACCCCAAGACCATTTCGAGATGTGAAAATGTGAACACTTGGCCGGCGCGAAGCAACTACGAGGGTTTTAGTCCCAGGAACATAGCCAAAAAGGACCTGAATGCAAGCCCGAAAGAGGTGAAAGTCGGACGTTACCCGGCCCTGATTGGAGCTGCGCCGCATGATAGATGTGTTCGAAAGTATTCATAGAACAGGAAGACGACCACTTGTATCGAGAAGAGCGTCGGCCAAAAGAGATAAGAGATACTGAGGACATCATGAAGATAGCGACTGAGAGCTGAAGCGGAGGCCCGAGATTGGATATTCCTCGATAAGAGAGCAGCGATAAAGGCCAACGGTCCTCCGGGAATTGGATGAGGGGGGTAGCCAAGAGTGTGCAGCCATGGAGACAAATGGCCAATGCCCCATACGATTGGTGGCTTCGTAAAACCATCATATCATTCAAACTGTCGGGGAAATATGGAACCCGAGGCCCTATCTCAGAATGGAGAGCCAGCAATTTGACGCTCGTGTTGCAGAAACCCAAAGCCAGAATCTTCGTCGTATTTCCCAGCACCCAAACCGACTGCGCGCATCGACCAGTCACCTTTCAGCACACGGACATTCCATCGACAGCCAATCGACCAGCCAGCAACCTCGAGGCACGACAAAACAGCGAGGAAACCGATGCCGCATCGCCGAGAGCTTCTAGAACACCTGATCGAACGTTCGTTCATGACACGAGAATGCCCCCGTAAGGACCAAAAGCGACGACGAGAGGTCAGATGAGACCCGACGAATCACGGCGTCCGGACGATGCTGACACGACGAGCAACAGTCAGCACCCGCCGGGCGATGGCGAGGAGGTTGAATCGGCGACGACGACGGAGTTGAAAGTTGAGAGTCCGACGGCGAGGACGAGGGCGATGGTGACGACGACGGCGAAGGGGGTGAGGAGGCGAAGATGTGTGGGTCTAGGGTAGATGAGGACGACAGATGTTGCCATGAGACGATGGATGCGCGAGTGGTACCGGCCCAAAGAAAGTGGAATCAGCGTTGACGGTGTCGAGCACGATGTCCAGCTGGAGCTCATCGTCGATGACGACGTCGAAGAGAGTCGTCCAACCCTAAGACAGTCCTAAAACCCATTCAGTGAGCCATCCCAAGCCAATACCTCACTTACGCACCCATTCAAAAGCGACCCACCCCATTCCCTTCACCTCGCACAATTGCCTCAACCGCCACTGTGCCCCGCGATGATGCCGACGAGCACACACCAAAGTCCCCCATCGCTCCCGCCAAGTCCCTTCCCCAACCTAATTCTCCGAGCAACATCGCGCTTTTCCCTGAGATTTTTTGCGGGTAATCGTCGGTCGTCCAGAGATTCAGAGAGAGGGAAAGTGGGGTGGAGAGGAAAGAAAGCCAAGGTCGGTCAATCATCCATCAAACGGTTTTTGTGGCCAGGGTCTTGATGCTGACATAACCCCGTCCGAGAAGGAATGGAGCAAGTTCCCTCCGGAAATTGTTGGCTCGAAAAATTGGCCGGTTGCGTATGCAACCCCCCTTTTATTGGCCTGGATTGCGCAATCTTCTATTGGCTGCGGTGTTGAGGTGTGGGACGAGGAGAGAGACCAGTGGACCTCCCCGGTCGGACAGTTTGGGTATTTGAACGGTCCTCGTTTCGAGATTATCGTTATCACTTGCACCGCAATATTGCCTCATCCTCTGAGAATCTACTATAAAGGCCGATAATCATCCAATTAGAATTGTGTAAAGCGACGTTTAGATCTCCAGTCTATCATGGTATGCTCGCGCATCTCCTCCTCGAATACCTCGCAAGTTCGTTCCCCTGTTGGCGGCGCATCCCCTGTACCCTAGTCACGGCCCGCAATCGCTCGTCCTCGATGTACTAAATTTACATCTTCAATTCACTTTAGTCGCCTTCAAAACCAGCGGCAAAACCCCTACACAACACAATGCGCACATAACTCATGATCAGAACATGGACTCTCTGAACCTCAAACCAGGAAGATCAAAGAACGCACCTCCGGTCGGCAATAAATACGGCTTCCTCCCCAACGTCAACAGCACACCATTGATGAACCCGTTATGCGCGGTAATAGCTTGGACTACACCACCGCACCGACAAAACGATCAATCAGCCACCAGCCTCCTTCCACCAATCGTAACAAAAGAAAACCACAATCGAAAAAACCGCAATCGGAGCTTGGGTACTCACAAACCTCAGTAGGATTCTCATCAAAAATCCTATCCAAAACCCTCGCAGCACGAACCCCAACCTCCTTCTTCGTCTCCCTCACATCCCTACTCCACAAACGATCCTCCTCTTCAAACCCTTCTTCAAACTTATACTTCGGGAACTGAGTCTGGATCCACGAACGGGTATTCCGTTTATCGCAAGTGTGGACGCCGTTTTCTTCTCTGCAGTCCTACAGCAGTACACACACATATACTTGGTTAGGATTACCCGAGTGGAACACGCGCGGAGGTACGTACCTCGACGATAAGAACTCGGCTCTCCTCTTTACCCTCCGAATCTTCCACAGGCACCAACCCATCAAACGTGATAAAACACGTCCTCAGAGCCCTCGAGAGCGGGCTACTGTAGATCTTACTGGGGAGACCCAACCCAGCGCCGACCTCCTTCTCCCACATCTTGCGTACGTCCTTGGCTTGTTCGATTCCGGTGGGGGTGAGGAGCGGGTCGGCTGGATGGAGTAGAGGTGGTAGACGGAGTGGGGATGGCAGAGACGGGGATCAGATGTTCAGGAGGTAGGTGTACAGGAGGGGTGGCCACGAGACGAGCGAGCGAGTGAGGGATGGAACGGAGATCGACGCCAACCGCGGATCAGTAGCCGATTTTGCACACGGAAGAAGAATGAAAAGAAACTCACGACCCCAAACGATGTCCCCGTCCCCATTAAGCTTCGACCAATGACTATCAAAGACACGACACGAGGGGTCGGCGGTCAGAATCTAAACTCCTCCGAACTCCTCGAACTCCTCGAACGGCAAGAGGACTCGCTCTATCTATAGTATAATAGATAGTAGACTCACTCATCCCAAGCTTCAGTCCCATACTTCGCCTCTGCAACATTATCTACCCCACCTCGGAGTTAGCATACAACATACATGCATAAGTAAAGAAACAGGATAAAATGGACGTACGAAACCCCTGCCCATGCCTAATACAAAACACAACCTTGTACTTCTCCCCCTCCTTCGCACTCTGATTCATCTCTTCCAACTTCTGGAACAGTTTAGTCCATCGATCTGGTGAATCGTCTACTAGACCGAATCTCTCAGGGACCTTTAAAAAACAACATCCAATTTGCAAGTCGACACGGATTGAAGAGAAAGGGAATCGAGAACCGATTGAGCGAGTGGTCAGTGATTAGGGAATGCGAAGCAATCGAGTGAATGAGTTGATTTAGGTGGAGGGGGACGCGCAGAAGAGAGCGAGTTTGTGTAATTCGATCCGATGGACAAGGACGATGATTTAAACGGCGGGCGGAGAGAAAAGTCACGAATATTTAGTATTCAGGCGCAAGGACGAGAGTTCCGAGTCAGGACGAACGAGATCGACGAGTCGGTCGTAAATATTCCCAGAAGAGAATTCAAAGCGCATGTGAACCAGAGAAGGTTTAAAGACGACATCGACGACGATTCAAATGTATAGTATAACCCGCGTCAGTCAGCTCTTCCACCCAACAACGAAACACAGAGGAAAGCACTCACAGCAACAAGCGGCTCCCCATCGAGGTCATGCGCAAAGATCTCCGGTACGATCTAGAGTTACAGTATTCCCCGAGCGTTAGCATCGACTCCCTCGTACATCGTACACACCACAAAACTCTTAAATTCCCATCACAAGCGCATTAGAATTCCTCGATATTCGACGGGTGCTCACCTCGTAAGTGTACCGTCCCATCGTCGTCCTTGTTGTTCTATCGATTGCGAGAGGTAGAGTGTACAAAGTTAGTAGTGAGGTGAGTGGTGAGTGGTGAGCGGTGCGGTTAGGGGGAAGAGAGAAGATCGGATTCGGTTGAGCCTTGCTCCGAGATCTTCGCTCGATCTCGGATCTGGGTCGCGGTGAAGGTCACGGCATCTTAATCTAATCTTATCTTATCTCTCAGAGGCCACAAGTTCGATCCTCGCCGATTACAATTGAACTTTGGACGATGTATTAGCTTTGTACTGTAGATACAGATACATCATACTTTTTCCTTTCATTCTTTCTTTCTATGTAGTACTCGTTAGAACGCTTGGGTGCACCTCTGTGCCATCCATTCAGAAACAGTCGAGTGTCCTCGGGGTCCAACATCAGGATTCAGGAACTCCGTCGTCATGACTAGCCAGCCAAACGCTTCTTGAAGCTTGAAGTTCAAGCCTCGCCCCTCTCGAATCGCTGTACATATTCGTATGTTACCGTGACTCTCAGGCTCGGACTCGTGCACAACGAACTCCATGCCGTTTTAGGTTTTGTTCATGTTTGGTCACGAATTCACAGCCTGGAAACTGGCACGCGAATCGCTTAGCGTCGGGATCGTGTACGATGGCATGACTTTTCAGGCCACGTTTGTGCTTGGTCGTGTATATACAGCCGGGAAACTCGCATGCGAATTGCTCAGCGTTGGGATCGTGCACGGGGGCGTGCTTTTCCAGGTCACATCTGTTCCTGGTCACGTATTCACAGCCGGGAAACTGGCATACGTGTACCTTGGCGTCGGGATCGTGTACGACGGCATGATTTTTCAGGGAACGTCTGGACGCGGTTGTGAAGTTGCAGGAGGGAAACTCGCAGAGGAAACGTGAAGCCGGGTCGTGCTTAAGCCGTTCGTGGGCCCTTTGTTGCGACAATTTCTTGAATGCTTTGTTGCATTTGGAGCAGGTGAATGGTCCCTTCCTAGACATGGTGGTGTTACCGTATAGCCTGGCGGGTAATGACTGGTCGAAGACGCGAAGTGGAAGGTAGGTTTCGACTTGGAGCTTGAGGACGAAACACGACACAGCACCTGACTTTTATATTGTTCGGAATGGGTGGTTAGACCTTCGGTATTGCCAGCACTCGGTAGGAATCACCAATTTCCAGCGGTCCAAGTCCAAGCGCTCTCATGGTCACTTTGATTTTGCAAGCGCCTACTTTCGGAGACCTCAGAGCAAGGCGAACCCAGTGATTCCTACTCTCTTCCCCCTAACCACATCCTCAGTACTCACCTCACTACCCACTTTGTGCACTGTTCTTCGGCGCATTCGACAGAACCAGGGCGACGGATGAGACGTTACATTGCTTACGAGGTGAGCGCCTGTCCAATAACGAGAGATTCTAATGCACATGTGATAGGAATTCCCTAGTTGGTGTGGGCGCTTCCAAAAGTTAAAGCAGCCATGAGAGCGCTTGGACTTGGGCCGCTGGATATCGATGGTCTCCGCAGATTACTGGCAATACTGAAGGTCAAACCACCCATTCGGAATGATATAAAAGCCAAGAGTGGTGCCGTTTCTTGTCCTCAAGCTCCAAGTCGATACCTACCTTCGATTTCGAGTCCAGTGCACGGCCTATACAGCAAGATCATGGCTCTGACTAGGAAGGGCCCCTTCATCTGCTCCACATGCAACAAAGAGTTCAAGAAATGGTCGAGACTAATGGCCCACGAACGGCGTGAGCACGACCCGAACGCCATCATCAAACATTTCCCCTGCCAGTTTCCCAACTGCAATTTCACAACCAAGCACAAAGGTTCCCTGAACAACCATGTCACCACCTTCCACAATCCCGACGCTGAGCAATTCGCATGCCAGTTTCCCGACTGTAAATTTGTAACCAAACTCGGAAAGGCTCGCCTGAAACAACATGCCCTCGTGCACGATCCCGACGCTGAGCAATTCCCATGCGAGTTTCCCGGCTGTCTTTACACAACCAAGTACAGGCCGAACCTGAGACTGCATGCCCTCTTGCACGATGCCGACGCTAAGCAATTCGCATGCGAGTTTCCCGACTGCAATTTCACAACCAAGCACAAACCTTCCCTGAAAAAACATGCCATCATCCACGATCCCGACGCTGAGCGATTCGCATGCGAGTTTCCCGGCTGTGAATACGTCAGCACAGACAAAAAAAGCCTGAAAGAGCACGCCCTCGTGCACGATCCCGACGCTGAGCAATTCGCGTGCCAGTTTCCCGGCTGTGTTTATACATCCAAACGCAAAAAGAACCTGAAACAGCATGTCATCGTGTGGCACGATCCCGACGCTAAGCAATTCGCGTGCCAGTCTCCAGGCTGTAAATTCGTGACCAAATATGCACAAAACCTGAGACTGCATGAAGTTCGTTGTCCACTTCAAGTTCAAGAACCCTAACGCTGAGTTCAAGTCGTACAGGGGCTCAAAAGGTGTGCGCTTCAAGAAGCTTCATTGAGCTATAATGGTCATGAGAGCGCCGATGGCTCTGAGGCTCCCGTAACCTCCCTCGAGCGTATTTTTCTGAATGGATAGCCAAGAGGTGCACCCCTTCTAGTAAGCGAAATTTCGTTGACATTCTGTATATACATATAGTTTACACCTTGACTTTCTTGAATGAGAATGTCAACAAAAGTTGGACAAAGAGTACAAAAAGACTCGGTTAAGTTTGGCCGTTAGAGAAAGCAAATTTTCCCTCATCCGATGTCCAGGAAGGGTTCACTCGGCGACTTCCTCGAGGGCAGCCTCAAGCCCGAATTCAAGCGCCGAGGTCGTTCTAACCTCGGCGCTCGACAGGCCTTCAACACTCGACAAGTCTGCCTCGGCCAGCGGTTCGTCGTCGACTGCAGCAAGTAGCGCAGAAAGTCTATCATGCCCCTCGTTGGCCGCCTGCCCAGGTTAGAACTAGTACCCGACTCGGGTCTCTGAATCTTGGCACTCATCGCGACACCCATGATCATCGCCCTTGTGCTGAGGATAGTACTAGCAGGCAATGGAGGGACGACCGACAGTAAGACAGGTGTCTCGTTCAATTGGGAAATAGGGACCCGTATACGTCGTATCACGAGTAGTATGCAGAGTAGTCCAGCAACTTCGACCGGAGTATCCATAGTTCACCACCACTTCCGATCGAAGCGCGATGGGACGGAGGTAGTACACTTGCGAGGCGAGCGCCCGTCGAGTGGCGAGGTCCCCTAGTTGGTGTGGGCGCTTATAAAGGTCCAAGCGGCCATGAGAGCGCTTGGACTTGGACCGCTGGATATCGATGGGTCTCCACACATTACTGGCAATACGGAAGGTCAAGCCACCATTCGGAATAGTATAAAAGCCAAGAGTGGTGCCATGATTTGTCCTCAAGGCACGAATTTCGAAACCTACCATCGACTTCGAGTCTTCGACTAGTAGTTACCCCCCGTATACAGCAACATCATCATGTCTCTGTCCAAAAAGGGACCATTCATCTGTTCCACATGCAAGAAAGAGTTCAACAAATGGTCGAAACTCATGGCGCACGAACGGCGTGTCCAGACGTTCGCTGGAACGACACGCCATCCTCCACGATCCCGACGCCAAGGCACACGTATGCCAGTTTCCCGACTGTGAATACGTCATCACAGTCAAAGGATACCTGAAACAGCATGCCCTCGTGGTGACGATCCCAACGCTGAGCGATTCGCATGTCAGTTTCCCGGCTGTGGTTACGCAACCAAGCACAGACATTGCCTGAAAATGCATGCCATCCAACACGATCCCGACGCTGAGGAATTCGCGTGCCAGTATCAGTATTCGGGCTGTAAATTCGTGACCAAATATGCGCATAACCTGAGACAGCATGAAGTTCGTTGTCCACTTCAAGTTCAAGAACCCCAACGCTGAGTTCAAGTCGTACAGGGGCTCAAAAGGTGTGCGCTTCAAGAAGCTTCATTGAGCTATAATAGTCATGAGAGCACCGATGGCTCTGAGGCTCCCGTAACCTCCCTCGAGCGTATTTTTCTGAATGGATAGCCAAGAGGTTCACCCCTTCTAGTATGCGAAATTTCGTTGACATTCTGTATATACATATAGTTTACACCTTGACTTTCTTGAATGAGAATCTGAACAAAAGTTGGACAAAGAGTACAAAAGACTCGGTTAAGTTTGACCGTTAGAGAAAGCAAATTTTCCCTCATTCGAGCAGTCGCAGCTGGCAGGGTAGTAGTAGGATAATTACTATTTCCATGGATTTGCGTTAAATTTCTTTGCGGCTTTTCAATCAAAGAATTGGGTATCCCAACGCTGAGCGATTCGCATGTCAGTTTCCCGGCTGTGGTTACGCAACCAAGCACAGACATTGCCTGAAAATGCATGCCATCCAACACGATCCCGACGCTGAGGAATTATGACCTGGCTGCTTGGAGGGACTCGAGCGTCTCTGTATGGATAGATAGCCCAGAGGTGCACCAAGCATTCAAACGAATACTACATAGAAAGAAAGAAAACAAGTATTATCCACAGTACAAAGTTACAAATCTAAAATACCGGACATCGTTCAAAGTTCAATTACTACTGACTACTCATTAATTACAGTCCAAAGCGTTCATTCATTTGTTCATCGTTCAAGTCTTTTCTTCATCTCTCTTCTTAAAGGGTCGTACACGATAACGATAACGGTACATGATAGCAATGATCATCGTCGGTGCATTAGAAATCGTCCAAGCGTTATCAGTCGTTGTCCAAGCATTATCGAATTATCAGTCCGGCGTTAGGCGAGGTCGTTTTTGGAAGTCGACATCCTATAATCGAGACATACAAAAGGAAAAAGGATGAGCGAAGTTCTTCTCAGCGATGACACCCTTTCGAGTCAAAGAGGAAGGAAGGACGAACAAGTTGAAAGAAAAAGAAGTAACCACTCACCAAGTCTGACGTCAACAAAAGGCATCAAGGGCATCGAAGACTCGGACATCGAGCAGCGGACAGATTCGTTCACTGCGGATCCACCACCTCCCCATCTGATCCTCCCTCACCGGGGCCCGGACCAGGAACCACTTCTCCTTCTCCACCTGCCCCTCCTCCTTCTCCACCAGATTGGGAGGACCCAGAGTCGGAGCTGGGGGACGGCGCACTCTCGTCTCCGGTTTGAGTTCCCGAACCAGCTACAGGATCGTCGCTGCCAGTGCTCGCAAGTTCTCCCTCCTCGCTGGCCGTGGTCGGTCCGTCTTCCTCTGAATCTGGGTGGGCATGTCCGCCCTCGTCCTCCTCGAGGGGAATCGTAGGTCCGAATACGGGTCCACCCGCCATAGGCCTGCACACATGGTACGTCCACCTCGTCTCCTCCGAGAAAGGTTCGCAGCTGTGGAACGGCGGGCAAGCTACACCACACCCAATAAGTTCAACGTGCATTAGTTAGCATTATCCAGCCGAAAGGTATCGAAAAACGTGCAGTTAGAACGCACCATGAGTAAACACAGGCTTCCCAGGTCCCTCAGAATCAATACAGGGGCAATTAGGCCTAGTCTTTACGTCGCACACTTCGAAGAACTGGCAGAAGGGGTCGGTAGGTCCGCAGATGTAGTGCGTGCGTCGGCCGGGGGGTGAGCCGAACGGCGCTCCACGCGCTGAGGGTATCAAGCTTGCTACGAAGAGGAGGGCGACTCCGAGGCTGAGGCCGAGAGTGCGGAAGAACGTGGTAGAGCAAGTCGTGGAGGAGGTCGAGGAGGACATTGTTGTGGGTTGGATGGACGAGGGGCTGAAGATGGGTTAGGTTAGTGCGAGTAGAGAGGATGGAAAAAGGAAACGAACCAACTTAACGCAGGGGACAGCGCACCAAAACTTAGTACAAGCGAGAATCGGGGAAGGAGGGAGAAGGAAGCGGGAAGAGACGAGGTACGGGAGGAAGAAAAAGAAAGGGAGGAACCCCAACCCAAAAACCCGCCGCCACAAATCCCTCTGTATTTATATCCCTCCACACCACCGTGCTGGCACCCGCACACACAAAAAAGACTCGCCGACGTGTCAACTAGCGATCTGTTGGGGGGAATAAGAAGCACTCTTACGAGCGGACTTCGAAGCACCATCTACGTGCGAGCGGATTTCGAAGCACCTTTAGGAGCGGATTTCGAAGCTTTGACACCCGGGAAGACGGTTCTTTGATAATCTAAAGTACAACAACCTTTTTGGTGCGCCAGATGCCTCGTGCAATGCCCAGATGGCAGCGGGTTCAAGGTTCAAGGATCTAAACTTTTGATTTCCGAACGCCCCTTCTTCGCTTTGTATTATCATTTCAAAGGGAGAGAAAGAGAGTTCTAGTCCGAGTCTTGCAAGCTGATTCGATTCGGAAGGCGACAGGGTCGGGGTCGGGGGCGCGCGCATCGAAAATAAAAATAAAATCGACATCGGAGAAGTTGGATCAGAGTTTCCAGCCAGGTGCTGTCTAGTTCCGAAAGTGTGCAGGGAATTTGGGTGGTCATCTGGCATAGACATCAGACCCCAGGTAGAAACCGTTCTGCAATCCAGCATGGGAGAGGAGATATGTAACATAAACCCAGACTCTAGAGCGCCTGAATCTGCCAACGTTGAACGTATATCCACACGTCCGGATCCACAAGCACAAGAAACAGATGAATGATTCCATCTATCACCCGGATGCGAAAACGTTCAACAACAACAGGCCAGAGATTTTGAAAGACAGACGAGTTCGGGTTTTGACATGACACGTCTTGATTCCAGGACAGAGAGGTCGGTGACAAGAGGAGGAGAAAGATCGCAGGAAACTAGTAGCAATCGGCCGAGCAAGCTCAGGCTGCAGGCAGCAGCAGGCCTAGCTCGGGTTTTGGTCACTGGTGATGATGATATGATGAAAGTGTGACTCAGGGTCCTGTGATCACCTTTTTGAAGCGCGTCGCTTTAGGGCAGGCCTCCTCATCGCGCCTTGCAAGAAATACAATCGAAGACACACCCAACCCAACTGTTCAAATTTCGAAAGCATAGATACGCATATTAAAAAGACCTAAATACAAACTATAATACACTCAAAACACGGGTATAAAAAGCCGAGAATAATAAGAAAAATAACGAATCCAAAGTCCACATTCCTACTCGTACTCACGCCTCTGGAGTCTGAATCCACTACTCAGGCTACGACCCAGTCGAATCCACCTCCGATTCCTTATGCCCACTACCTCTCCGTCTCACAACATCCACAACAGACCCACTCGTATCCTGCGTCTGCGTCTGGTTCAAATTCAAATCACACACCTCCTCCGAGACTCGATTAAGTCCGTATGGCCCACCAGCAGGCCCACCGCCGCGCCTTCGAATAATATCTTTCTCCCCACATCCTCCTCCTACTCCTCCTCCGTGGCGCCCATTTGCATTATATCCGTCCACCTCCCCGTGCGAATGCGAATGCCCCCTCTCCCCATTCGAGAACGAAATCTTCGGGTCCGTCTTCGTCTCACTGAACCCCGGATTCGTGAATTCGATTTTGGTGGATGTTCCACGGTGGTACGACCCAGGCGGTCCGTCGGTCGAGGGACTCGTACTCCACGATCTGCCCGTGATAACTCTGAAGATGATCATCTGCGGACATAGCGCCTATTGGAAAAAAAAAGGTCGATAAAGCAGTTCAGTCAATGTTACACCCGACTTTCGAAACGAAAGAAAGCGAGAGAGAGAGAGAGAAACGCACATTAAGCGAAAACCAACACAACAACGCGACAGTCCTCGCAACCGTAACAGCACCATCACTCGACGGACTCGAGAGGGCCGCAAACATGATCCCCGCCAAACTCAACGGCAGCGCCGACTCGACCAAAATCGCCACAATGCCCACATACACGTGCAAATCCTGCGGCGAAAGGACAGTGGCGAGTTGCCTGCGAATGCGGAGGAGGCGGAAGGAGATGAGCGCGGTGACGACGCAGTTGACGGAGATGGAGAGGAAGATCCAGGCTTGCAGGGCTTTGCCGTATTGGCCGGGTCCTGCGGCGTGGTTTTGCGACCATTTTATGCGCAGGCCGATGGCGAGGAGGGAGACGGCTGGTGGTGGAGGGAGAGGGAGGAAAGGTTAGAGAGGGAGAGATGGGATGGGAAAGAGGGGAGCGCACCGCATGACCCGACGTACGCCAACGCCGGCAAGACGCACACCCACATCTTGTCACTCCAAATCTTAAAACACCTATACAACTACGGCACGACCATGAGCGCACACCAAAAACGTAGAGAAGAGAAAACGCACCAACAACCCATCCCCAATCCAATTACATATCCACAACCCAATACTCGTACTCAGCCTCCACCAAGTATATTCGTACTTGGGTTTTAGAACCCTCAAAGCTTGCGCCGGGGAGGTCGAGTTGATAAGGAGGTTGAACATTTCCAGCGCGTCGGCCACTTGGGAGAGCGTGAACAGAGTGAGGATGGTCCAGCTCCAGATGATGTACATCCGTCGGCCGCGCCGCATGTCTTTGGGCGTTTCGCGGTAGATGATGAAGCCAAAGGTGCACATTACGATTTGCATTCCTGGGGCGGTGTGCAGGGTGTAGGGCGGTGAAGGAAAGGGAAGGGTGAGACGAGCATAAGGAAGAGAGACGGAGAGATAAAACTCACCGATCACAGTAAAGCTCACCGGAATAATCGTATACAGCGCCGTCAACGCCATCCTCGCCGCCTTCTCCTCTTCAATAGTCGACGACATCCTGCCCTTCCTTCGTCCACTCTAGTAGATTCCTGTTCCAGTCGAGCACGAAACAGACCCTAAAGGCTAATTCCAATACCGTCGGAGAACTCGAAGAAGCCCTCCTCTCGCTCTGCCTGTCTGCCTGGGTGTATGTGACCTGTCCTGTCCTGCTGTCTGACCGTTCGTCCGTATGATATGTCGTTGGGCAATGCGGGGGAGAAGTCAAAGAAGCACCCACAACCACAACAAAAATCCCCACGTCCTCTATTGTATAAAACTCCCTTTCCCTCCCAAGAAAAAGAAGCAAATCGACACTTGATGATAAGATCCTTCGCCGAGCCCGTGTGAGTATAGTAGTGACCAAATATCAATATTCAATCCTGGTGAGTGACCAAATATTAATCCAGCGGGGATATATAGGATGATTGACCTACGTACTTCAGTTGTAAGTCAATCGAGATGTTATGCCGAGGTGCCTGTGAGGGCTATTAGTATGTAGTCGAAGCCTGATTCGAATTTTGAAGGTGGTATAATATGTAGGTCGAATTGACGCACTGATATACTGTATCTCGAAACACAGCCCTGTTCGAAGTTTGCGTTGGCGGATAAAGCTCGTCTCTTGGTATACTGAGTCTGTATGTCTCGCGTCTTGGCTTCTTGTCCAATGTAATAATAGTCGTAGAGTCGAAGAGATGGCTACCCCACTAGGTATTGATTGATATGTTCGTCGGTGGAGCCCACGCCAGCGAATCGAAGCGACCCTCTATGTCCGGAAGAAAACCCTCTATGCCCGCCTTTGATGAACTCGTCCTCAGGCCTCAGGCTCTATGAAGTTCGCCCTCTACCTCGCCCCGAGTCCTCTCTAGGTCCACTGGCACTCCTTGACACTTCTTTCTTTGACTGCCCACTCCTTGACACTTCTTTCTGTCCCCCCCTTCTCAACACTTCCGAGTCTATTCCTACTTCGTTTCTCCGACTTCGAACCTTCTTGACGCGGACCGTACCCCCAGATTCCAACCACTGAATAGACCAAAAGACAAAAATCTCGAAGGTGGAGTCGAAGTGGGTTTTTTGTCGAGTTGTAAGTACGAGCCTTCGAAGTGAGTGCTTCGTTGGGATTTGGTAGTCGTCTGCTGTTCTTCCTTGAGCTTGAACGCTAGACCTTGACTTGAAGATCGTAGGCCTGTAGTAAAGTCGAACGCGATTTCAGACTGACGGCCAATCGTCACTGGACTGTCGTAAGGAAATGTCACTGTCGTAAGGAAAAGGAAAGAAGGAAGCACGAGGAGGTACTCGGCACGTCCCTAAATTCCCTCCGGTGGTTTTAGCCGTCCCTCAGGCCCTGATACTGATCTCACCTACACCCATCTGGACTGCAGAGCGTGGGCGAGGGGGGCCGAAAGTCGGGCAGCTGCCAGTACGCAGCCTGAGTGAGGCAGCAGTCAGTCATGGTTCATGGTTGGTACAACAGTGCATGCGGGACGATGTGTACGAACCCAAGGAAATACCTGGCAGGATCATGACAACTGGAAGTCAGTCATCCACGGCCCAATCGCGAGCAGCATGACAAGCCCTTAACGGATCAAACACCTTCAAAGCGGAGATCCATGCAACCTGATCCGCTATCCGGCTTGAAGAGGAGTCTACTGTCTACCTTATTTCACAGCATAACCGCTTTTCTTCTTTCTTCCACAGCATGATAATCTCTTTCAGTTGTTCTTTCATGGATTCGACCACCATAGCCTTCGCCGATTCTGCGAACGCGACCTCATTTCATAGGTCTCCGAGATCCAGCCTCGGTCATTAGTAGGAAGGAGACGATGGGATTGGAAGTGAAAATGCCGCTCCGATAGGTGGGAGCCACTGAATGAAATGAATGTTGTATTCACCTTTTCTTCACTTTTGTTATCCAGTACATAACCTAGGGTCAACGAAATTGGCTTTGTCTTTGGCGCTGCGTGCACCTCTGGCACGACGCGCTCGACGCGTCAGAACACAATAATAGCCACCGCCCCCTATCTGTCCAACCTCTGATGACAGCGACCTAGATCGAAGAGCTTGAATTGACATGGACGGGCTTTACCTTCCAGCTCCAGATTCTGTCCTCTTCTCTCTTTCCACCACTCATATACTTCTCCAAGTGGGTCCCATTCACGATGTCCAACGTGTTCATCCGTCGCCGTCCGGCGGCGCAATGCTCTCTGTAGTACGCGCATGGCTACGAAACACAAGCTGTCGGTAAACCACCTACCTACCTACCTCAATAAATAACCATACAAGGAGGTGTACGATTGGAGAGTTGGGATTGGGGCTCACTTGCAGAGCTTCGAAAGTTGGCTGAGCGTACAAACGTAGACAGTTGTGTACTCCATAAGGTCATGTCGAACGGCATTGGGAGTGGCCCTTTCGTCCTTAGAAGTACGAAGTTCGCCGCCTCCATGCTGGAGAAGACAATTAGCCACATATTACCAATACCCTACAGATCGAAAATTGTCTCGCACTGGCTCGAGGTCCGAGGTCCGATGGATTCATCCCTCGAGCACGCTCCAGCGTCTAAATGTCGACTGTCCGCTGAGCGCCTGTCGGGCGCTATTTGCCATTTGGTTCAGGTGGTCTTGTCAAACAGGTGCATCACTGGTTCCACACCTCGTACTTAGTTCGATTTCTTCAGCACCCTCTTCAATCGTTCAATACTAGAATGCTATGCCTCCTCAAAGACGCAGGTGGTCCAGCCTCTGATGGAGACCTCGAATACTTATGCATCGCGTGGAACCGAACACGATTTCAGGGATAAGGTATCCAATGTATCACATTTGAAGGACGTCCCGCTCGTAGTCACTCCGATGGAAGTAATCGAGCTCGAACGCGCGTTTAGACGGGAAAAGAACTCGGAGAAGCGAAAGCGCCGGGTCCAACGGGGCTTCTATTCTATCCAGTCACCAATTAAACGATGACATGCTATCGATGGCGCGATTTTGGAATGTGATAGGGATTTCCCGTATGTGAATGCATCTATATCGAGTGTAATCTCGTCTCCTGACTCCCAGTGATTCCTGAATCCCCATTCATCCCTCAGATCATATCACGAGTGCACGGTCCTTTCGAAGGTATAAAAACCACCCAGGGATGCACCGATCGTCATCAGCCCTCCGTATTACCACTTCACTTTCCGCACCTTTCCAGAACCACCATCCAACCATGTCTATCCCATCCGGAACATATGAGATCACCTCCAAGGAGAATGATCTCCACGTCGGCCGTCCACTCGCGGAGGATCGCTCGTTGCTCCCAAAGCGCATCGTTGTCTTGCCTAAAGATGGTAGCAACTCTGACATCTGTGTGCGTGCCTCCCTCTCTACGCTATTATATGCGCCCTCTCTTTCTTTCGTGATTCCTAATGCTTTTTTTTTTCCATAGTGGGTCGTTGAGAAAACCGATGGGGATACATACATCCTCAAGTCCAGGGGCAGTCCAGTCGCGCCCCTGGATGGGAAGCTCGTGGCCGATCTCTTGGGCGAGTTGCAGGATAACAAGTGGACAATCACCGCCCAGCCTCAGCATGGAGAGAACGTCTTCACGTACGTACTTTTGCTCGTCTATTGATAACTATCTCGAAACTCTATACTCGTCTAATCTAATCTGTACTACCTAGGGTCGAGAATGCCAGCAACACCGAGGAGGGCTGGGTCGTCCCTCAGGATGCCGAGGAGTTGTCGCAAGTTGAAGTCAGGCCCTTGATTGCGACGAGGAGTCTTCCCCCTCTGTACCCTCCTTCGGAGCTCTTCGTCTTCAAGCAGGTTTAAACTGATTAGGACTAATTGTCGGAATGCAATACCCCGAGGATGACTGAACGTCTCAAAGAAAGCTTGTATCGTGAATGTAGCCCATTTTTTGTAAATCAAATGTCCCACCTTCGAGTTTATTCAACAGTCCCAGATGTTTGTGACCTCAGGAAATGCAGCTTAGAGGTATCATTTTCGAAGTTCGCCGCCTCCATGTTGGAACCGCGTTCGCATAACGTCTGATTTTGGGCCTCAGCGCTCAGCGTCTAAAACGTCGACTGTCGGCTGCCAGTGAGCGCCCGTCAAGCTGTTTGTTTGGTTCAGGTGGCGTTGTCAAACACGGTGCATCAGTTCGGAGATCGCGGACATGGATCCTTTGAACAAACTTATCACTGACCAGAACGTCGCGCCTCCACGGCCCAAAGCCACACGCCCTTCAGCATTTCAAAGGGAAATAGGATAAGAAGGTGAGTCACTGTGCGATATCATGCCGCTTCTGGTCGCTCACACCATTGCCCACGAAGAACATATCATGACTTTCTTCGCCCGGAAGCGCTTCAAAGGCAATCTATCCGTGAAACCCCCGTACGACGACGAACGCAAATTTGCCAAGGTCCATAGTCCAATGGTCTCGGTTTAACCCCCGTTTGACCATCCTATAGCTCCTGGAACTCGTCAAAGAAGGCTCACTACCTGCTCACGATGCGCTTATCGACTTTTGGCCCAAGACTCCCGACAAAATGGTTCGCGCAGTTGAAGCTTTGCTCCCCAATCTCAGGGTTCCAATACCAGAAGAGGGTAGGGAGAGCGAGGTTCCGGGCAGGAAGCTGACGACTGAGGTCCAGGACGTCGTTTATCGAGCCGCCTCTTGCCTTGACGGGTTCTACCTCTTGAGAGCACCGCACCACCAGCTCAACAGGGACATTGTCGCCAAAGCTGTGAATCTTTATAGGACGAACCTGGACATCATCAGCGCATGGATAATGTACCTCACCTTCGACAATACCAAGCTGCTCGCCCGGGACACGACGCCTATGTCGCTCGGTGGACTCCTCTCTTCCTGGATAACGCTCGACAACAGACTGGACGCTGCCATTCTCGCGTCTCCCGTTGTACTGGACTTGATGGTCCACCTCTCCACCTCTGAGCATGTCAAACTCCACCCTCCAACCGTCCAAGCAAAATTCCGCATGCGAGACGCGATGATCTTCTTGAAGCTGTTGACCATCTTCCTCGAGGACACCCAAGGTCGGACCACCCTCCTCGCCGAAATTTCGGCTCGACCTCGCTCCGCCGTCGACCGGTTCACGCGCAGGATCGGGTACTGCATCGACGTCCTACAGCATTTCGTCGATTCTTCGAGGCCAGCAGAGGTGACGTCCTCGGAGAAAGACATGGTACAAAACATCCTCATCCTCCTCGAGATCAACATCGAGTTTCTTTCCTCAGACCAGCGGTTCAACCACCTCCTGCAGAAGAACTGCCAATACATCCTCAAGTACTTCGTCCTCCACAAAGGGTTGCTCGCGAAATCCCTGTTTGATACGGAAACGGTTTTTGGGTCGTCGACGGTGGTGTTGACGTGGGCGTCGCGTCACCGGACGCAGGCTATCCCCATCATCCTGGAACTCTTGAAAACGGGTGGTATACTCGAATATCTCGCTTCGTTCTTTGCGTTCCAGAAGGCGGCCAATGCGCGAGGTCCGTTAGAGCTCCTCTTTTGGTACGTGGGCTCCAGAAGGGTGCAGAAGGCGTTGGAAGCGGCGATCGATGGGTTACCCGCGAGGATCCAGAATAGGCTGAACAATCCCAGCCTTGTCGAACACCGCATATGGAACTATCTGGAGAGGATACATACCCGCTTCGCCGATTTCGAGGTGTTCGAGGACCCTGTGAATAAGGTGTTCTGTTTTAATGTGCAGGTGCGATTTTTCTCCGAGTTGCTCGCGCTTGGTGGGGTGTCATGTACTGTATGCTGATCGTTTGACTACTGGATGCAGCATGCGTCGCGGAAGGGAATCGTCGCTGCCACTGGACCCATGAAGGCGTGCTCGGGGTGTCATACCGTCACCTACTGCTCCACTGACTGCCAAGCCGAGGACTGGAAGAACATACACCGTTTTGAATGCGCGAAGCTAAACGGCGAACGCAAGGGTACGTGCATACATTACACTGGATCCCTTCATCCGTTTATTTTATCACCCCCTCCAGTCGCTGCGGAAGAGGATGTGTACATCCCACACGGCCTACGATTCCACTACCTCCCCGTTGCAAAGCGGTGGTTACACGAAGCGGGACACGTACCTACTCTCTTGGCCGACGAAAGGCAATTCGCAAGTCGTATTAGGCTGGGAAAGACGTCGTCCAGCACCAACCATCCGAGGACGTCGTCCAACTCTAAGTTTGATGACGTCCCCGTACACCTCCTCGAATCCCTCGCGCGCGACTTTAGATTCGGAGAAGTGAGCCGTGTCGTTTCGGCCTCCGAGTACATCAAGATGATGGAGAAGGGGAACGACAAGGCGCACGAGGCGATGGATTATTTTTGGAGTCGGGAGAGGTTTGAGAGGGTTGTTGAGGAGGTTCGGAGGAGTCGGGGGATGGAACTTGACCTTGGGGGTGATGATAGTCAGGAGTTGAGGGGTGATGGTAGTCGGGGTCGGGAGTTGACGATGACAAGGGAGTTGACGATGAGAAGGAATTCGAAACACGACCACCCATTATCCCTCCTGGCCTTTGCGGCGCCGTATGGGAGTGTGATCGTGCATATTCTGTTTATGGCCCCGCTTGGTGTTTTGGGCCCCGGGAGTGCGATCCCGTTGTGGGTTGGGATGGTTCAGCTTGAGTGAGTATCATTGGCCTTTATTTTTGTTTTATGGTTTAGAGGTTGTGGCATCGCTGACGGAGTTTTGCTGTTTGTAGGTATATTAAGGCGAAGGGACTGAATTTGGGTGGGTAGAATGGTGGAATGGGAGGAGATGGGTTCCTGCAGGGATCCCTCAGATTGAAGGGGGCTACGAATATACTTCAGGTTACCTTCAGTCCGATGTGATGAGTGGAACGGAAAGAAGGGCTCGGGCACTTAGGGTAAGAACCGCGTCGGGACTCGGATGAAAGCAACACGAATTTCCCCGTGCATGATACAGTTACATTGTCGTCATCCCCATCCCTTCTCTGGACAGGTGTCAAATCGTCAATCTCCAGGTCAATGCGCTTCAAACGGAGATCGTCATTCCGCCTAGTTCTGTTGGACTGGACGTGCATTCTGAGAAACTGGGAACCGGTAGCTATCCCCTCGATCCAGATAAACGACTTTGTCGCTCAACCCAGCCTTCTCCATGGCGTTTTTGAAATCCTCCAGCGGGCTCTTGAAGACGTCGTAGTCGCTTTGTGAGATGAGGTTTAGGGACCATTCCTCGTACGACAAGTTCAACGGGCAGTGCAACTCACTCGAAGTGGATTGGAATGGTAACGTCGGGGTTTATCATTTGAACGAGCTGAAGACCTTGTGTAGCGTCCATCGTCACCATCATCAAGGGCAAGTTGGCGCTTGGAATCGAGGTACCGCCTACGGTCATCAGTATCAACGGAATATCCGAGTAGGTAGGTAGAACCTACCGAGATGAACGAGCATCAAGTCAATCTTCTGGTCCTTATACCTCTCCGGAATTTCCTTCAGCTCGTCGACCAACAGGGTATCGCCGCTGATATAAATGCGGTACCCGCAAAAAAAGTTGGCTTCGTGAGCCACAGCGGGGCCGGAGGCGTACCCGAGTTCCACCATCCATCCGTTGGTAGGCGGGACCATTCCCAACAACTCGTTTGCGGCTGAAAGGATGTGCGCTGGACCGGGAGGTACGTGTTTTCCTGGCATTCCGGTAACCTTGATCAATGGTTGTTTCGCACCGGAGGCGGCGGACTGGTTCTTGAAGTCGATGAAGAGGGATTCGAAGAAGTCGAGGGAGTAGACGGAGGTGAAGGCTTCGCCCCCGGGTTTGGCTTCTGCCAGGTGGTGGTGGGCGTGAGGGGTGGTGATGATAGGTAGGTCTCGTCTCAACGAGTCTTCGACGAGTCGGTCGAAGTGGTCCCTACAGAGGATCAAGTCAGCATAGGCTCTACGTTGAGAAGAGAGGCGCACGCACTCGTGGTAGTGGCTCAGAAGGACAGCGTCGACGCGAGGAAGCTCGTGCAGGTCGACGGCTGGGTTTTTCACCCTGGTGGCCGTGACTCCAGGGCCGAGATGGACGTGGTCGCCAGCGTGCAGGAAGTTCGGGTCGGTCATGATTCGGATACCCTGCCATTCGAGAAGAACAGTCGCATTCCCAATAAAGTAGATGCTTCCATCTGTCTTTTCACCGGTTGATACCTTCGTCGCCTTCGGTGGAGGGAGGGAAGTGGTGGGCTGGTTGCTAGAGTCGTCCCTGGTCGCTGGGCGCTCCTGTGTCGGGTCGAGGCTGAGGCGCTTCATGATTTTGGAGTATGGGGTGACGAGGAATAGATGAACGATGTAAGCACAAGGACGACTCCATGGTGTTTTCTATTGGAGGATGCGACGACGTCACTGGTGACTGTGGACTGCATCGTTTCGAACAGGGGTTGATCGCGGTCCGGTGGACTTCAAAAGTGATTCGGGGGTTCTTCGAACACTGTCATCGGGTCTTAGTATATCTGCACGGTAGGGCTCGATGAATGGATTGAGTATGAATTGTGAGATATCTGGAGGGGAATCGCTTTTAGTGTTAGATTGGCAATGATGACCTGTTGGTGTATGTTCGGATCCCAGCTCATCATCACGAGAGCTCCTCTGCACGCAGTAGCCGGAAATCGTAAGGATTAATCGAGCGGCAGACTTGTGAACCTCAAAGGAAGATCTGAGAAGGATTCGTGCCTTTTGCCGACCTTCTGCCAGCGTCGCTGCAGGCTGCGATTCAACTCAGATTTCCTCAGTTCAATTCGGCATAACGTGCCGACATTGGGTTCAGAACTAGACCAGACTATGCAGCAGATCAGAGCCCATTCTTTACCGTTCTCTTCGAGTAACGTTAACGTGGCTGTCATTACCTTTGACGTCCGGCGTTTGTTAGTCGATAAACAATTGTAGGCCTACTGTGGGCTCCTTGAAGGCATAGACATAAATTGGACGGTGGGCCCTCCTTTTCCCCAATCTTTCCCTTCCAATCCCCTCCACGACAGGCCCCTCGGTATGGAGCGCATCAAAGACCTAACCGAGGGTATCGAGAACAGCGATATTCAAGCCCTGGTCAAAGCCATCAACGACGACCCATCCATCAGTATTCTGTTGCACCTCGCATCCGCTCTCGGTGAAGCATCTGTGCGAAACCCCTCGAAGATCGACCAGTACCTGGTGCTTATCTCCAAGCTATGCGACTCCCCCGATGTTTCAGAAATCAGCTACGAAGAAGAAGACGAAAGTACGGTCAGCGAGCCATTTGGCGAGATTTGTCCGCGGGAGATATGCGACGGCATTCAAGACAGACACTACAGCGACATCCAAGAGCATGGAATGGGCGCTCGGTCCAAGGCTATTAGCCTGGACAACGTCTTCCTATCTACGTCTCTCTTGTCAGGATGCTGGCTCAGGGATGGGATGTGTTACAGCAACATCCTTTTCGGGCACATCATCATTGGATTACAGTTTCCCGAAGCGAAGCATGAGGGGTACTTTGATCCCGAATTCTACGAGGTCCATGCCATCGCTTCATGCATCAACCTACTCGCCTCGGCGAGGAGGCTACTCGATATGCGAGTGGTGACAGAGCCAGAGTTGAGGCAGGGAATTGAAAGGGTAGCGCCATTCGTGCTCGATCCAACTGGAAAAAGAGTTCTGGAGGTACGTGGTTGCGTCCTAAGATGGCAAGGTTCTTTGAAGTTCTAATGTCCTTTTCAGGCATCCAGGCGACTCGCAAGCGAGGGGTTTCAGACGGCTTACTCGTCTCAGGCTATCTGCTCCCTACTTGACTGACGTTAATCACTTTTAGTGGCACCCTTCGCATCGAATGCAGGACACTCGCGTATTGTTACTCTGTTATAATGATACTCGGATTCTCGGAATCGAAGTCAAGGAAGAGTGCAGGGTCCTATCGCTGGGGTACTAAAAATGTAAGTTTACTACATCGACTATTTCCCTTTGCCTTGCTTCTTGGGCTTTTTCGGGAGTGGGGGCCCAGGAAGAACCAAGTGGTGGAAATTCCGCTGTGGGTCATCTTTCGACTGTTTCAAGGTGGGATCGTGAGATATCACCCCCATATACTTGGTGCCTGCAATTGTTTCCACAGAGTTAAGAGGCGCGTGTAGGGCCAGAGTCATGGCTTCGCATCGTACCTCCATCTTTTGTAGGCTGCGTGACTACTCGCATTGCGCCGACATTTCCCTTGCCTTGAAATCCTCCGGGCTTCCGGTCCGAGGGAAACTCATGGCCCGTCCCCTGCATCGATGGGAATATCTTCTTTCCATCCTGAGGGGAGTTTAGGAATGTTTTAGGCTAAGTATCCCATACGCCACTGGCATCAGCAGACGTATATATAAACGACAGGGCTACGCTCACATGTTCCGTCACAGGTCGGTTGGGATTCGCTTGCTTAAACCACAACGTGTTGATAACAGCGGTCCGCAGGTCTTTACCAGTTTTAACGGCTACAACCGGACAAGGTAAATAAAAGTAAAAATCAGAGGTGCTTCAAAAACGTAAAGAGAAGACAAAACGTACGGGATCCTTTGTAGGTAAAAGTCTCCTCCCGTCCAGGAAGAGTTTTGTCTTTTTTCATTTTCTCGTATTGGTTTCTGACTTTGGTCCATTGGGTATGCCTTTGTTGCTTCGCCTGCTTCGTTGCTTCTTGTTTCTTTTCCCAGTTTGCCTTCTTAATCGCACCCATCGGCTTAGGACCCCGTTTCTGTTGAGATCAGTAATCCGATTGCTATCTCTACCAGGTATACGGCTCACATGCTATCTCTAGCATACGCCGAGCTCACATGCAATCTCTTGCATATGCTCAATACCTGTATCACACTACGTTGAACTAGACCGGATAGCTCAGTGGTTAGAGCATCCACCTAGTGTTGGGACGGTCCTCGGTTCAATCCCGGGTCTGGTCGTTTTCTTTCCAAAGATCACTACGTGATTTTTCACAGTTTCAGGCCGTTGGCTCCAGCTTTCTTGTTTTCTTGACGGCGCTTCTCTCTCTGGTAGTTGGAGGCTGGCTTCTTGTTCCCTTTTGTGCTATAGGCATTGGCATAGTGGACCTTGTTGTCACGAGCCTCGACGAGCCTTTCTGCATATATCCGCAGCGCCCGGAGCTCATAACTGTCGAGGTATCTGGTGATATCCCGTACGGCCAACTCGTCAGCATAGTAACCTCGCTGCCGGACCAGCGCTGGAGACCCTGTCGGGTGGTTCTGTGCGGAGATTCCGACCGCAAAGTAGATGCTCAAGACGAGCGAGACTAGGATGAACCACCGGCTCATGATTGCATTCACTGGCAATAGATTTAATAGAAATCTAAAGACCTTTAAACCGATGAAGTGGTACATACCTCGATGGTCGCTGAGTAGATTTAGTAGGTTTCGATGTGAAGTATTCCCTCGAAGTCATAAGTTCGCCTTTTATTCGGACGGCAACGTCGACGACCTGTGTACTACACACTGTGTACACCTAGAAAATTAATGCCGGTTGGTCGTTGTAACGGTTACGAAAATCGGACTGAGTGCCAGACTTACGAGCCTGACGGGCGGTGATTTAGAAACGGAATTTGTTCACCAAGAACCCACAAAAGTACGCAACATTTAAGCCTACTCTCACTGGCGTTCTGAGAACTGATACCTACATAAGCGCTACCCTTCCTGAAGCACTAGCTCATCCCAAGCTTCATTCAGTGTGAGTCCCCTCGTTATTGAACGCGGAACCTACCCTTCACAAAAGAGAAAGTGTAGTACTCGATTGGGTAAATACCAAGTATCATACACCTTCCATTCACCAATACAAAAAGGCCCACAATCTGCCAATTTGCACCCACTGTCTACCCTCACGATCAACTGTTTGTTGATCAGTGAAACTTGCATGAAGAGAGAATCACGGAAACTTTGAGGTCCATTGTCGGTGCGCCAGCGAAAGTCCAAGCAAAGGACGTAACACTCATCGCTGATGGCACTGCCTATAGTGTGCCCCTATCGAGTAGGTTGCAACAAGGCCATGGGTCTGCAGCTGCTTCAAACCAGTTAACCGAGCACGCCCACTACATACTTCCTAGAAGGTTGTGAATGTGGGAAATGGCTACTTGTACACATGGAGAAAGGAAACGAGGGTAACTTTCGACTCGGAGATGCACAGTGTCGCGAAAAGCGAACACTAAACCAAACCAAAGACCAGAAGAGCGGAGCGGATGAGAGCGGAGAGCGAGATAAGAGCGATGAGCGACTAAGGCAGATGAATGCTGAAGCGGTGTATTGACGAAGAGGTCAAGCTGAGGAAATACAGAGGGATCTACCTAGCTTATATACCTATTCTACAGTCTACATAGCCGCAATGAGTCAAGATGACGAACAGATGGTGAAATACAAGAGAACAATAAGGAGAGTCACAAGGCTGTGCGAAGGATGAAGAAGACAATAACGGAGTAACGAGGCAGTGCAAGAATGGAGAGAACAATAAGACGTAGGGCAAAGGGCATAACGAGGCAGTGTTCCATGGGGGAAAGTGTCCGTGTCGAGAATAGAGGTAAAATAAGAATGAAGAGAAGGTGATGAAAGCGATAAGATAAGATAAGGAAAAATAGGGGCTCATACCCGCTGTTCACGACATTACCCCCCTTCTAAGCTTCATCGTCCTCGATGATCAACGGTAGGCGGCGTCCGAGTTCCCAGTCAAAGTCGGTAGGCGGAGCGTCGGTGAAGTTCTCAAGCGAGCGCCAAGGGAGAGAAGCAAAGGTGGTGGCTGAGATGCGGCGGGGTGCAGAGGGGTGACGCTGATGGAACTCCTTGATGGCGTTGGGGGCGTGCTCCAAGTTCTCCTCCGGTTCCCAAGTATCTTCTGTCGATCCGTAGCCCTTCCAACTGACCAGATACTCCAGCCTGCGGTTCTTCCCTCGTCCTCTCCAGCGACTGTCGAGGATGTTGTGAACCTCGTATTCAAGCTCCCCCTCCAGTTCAACAGGCTCAGGCGGAGGTGGCAGAATGCCATTGACATCATTGCCTTTCCAGGGGGAGAGCTTGTCCGACGTGGAACACAGGGGTGAATGCGGGGAGAGGGATGGGGGGAAGTTCAAGACGATAGTCGAGGTCGCCAATTCGTTCGATGATCTTGTAAGGGCCGAGTTGGAGGTCACCAAGTTTCCGAGTAGGAACTTTGATCTGGATGTCTTTGGCGTTGAGCCAGACGTAGTCTCCAACCTTGAACTGGTGAGCTGATCGCTTGCCTGGATTCGTACGAGTCCTTCTGTTGCGCTTTCTCGAGACGTAAGGCGGCTTCGGCATCCTTGCGGACCTCTTGAAGCTGTTGGATGCGTTCATCGACGGGGCGGAGATCAGTTTGTTTACCGACAGGGATGTTAAAGTGAGGGACGTAGCCATAAAGGACTTCAAAGGGTGATCGGTCGTGGGCAGAGTGGATTCGGGAGTTGATAACGAATTCGGCCATAGGAAGGTGTTTATCCCAATCATCTTGTCGGCGGCTGACGTAGAGGCGGAGATACTTCTCGACTTCTTGGTTGGCTCGTTCGGTCTGTCCGTTGGCCTGAGGGTGATAGGCAGTGGTGAGGTTGGACTCGATGCCTAGACGCTTGAGGAGGGTGCGCATGACCTTGGAGGCAAACTGAGGACCGCGATCGCTGATGAACCGGAGTGGGAGGCCATGGAGGCGAAAGACTTCTCGGTAGTAGATGTCGGCGACGCCTTCGGTGGTGATATCGGAAGTGCAGGGAAGGGCGTGGAGGAGCTTGCTGTAGTGGTCGACAAAGACGATGATGGCATCATGTCCATTCGCATCAGGAAGCTGGGTGATAAGGTCGACTCCAACAGTCTCCCAAGGGCCATCAGGTACCTCCAAGGGCTGAGTCGAGGCGCGGGGGTGCTGGGCGTGTTTCTTCCGGGCACAGATGTCGCAACCTTCCACATACTTCTTGACAAAGGCTCGCATGGTTGGCCACCAGTATTGTCGTTCGACCCGTTCAAGAGTTCCGTGTACACCAGGATGGCCAGAGGTGGGATCGTCGTGGCATTGCTTGAGAACGTCGCGCGAAAGTTCATCGTCAGGGGGAACGTAAACGCGACCCTGATAGTAAACAAGGCCATTATCCTCCTCCCATTCGGCGAGACCAGAGGTGAGACGACGGGGACCTGTCTTGCGGGAGTTGAGCGAGTCCATCCAGAACCTGGGATTCTCGAGCGCTGGCCTGCCGGATACGATCTTCCAAGGGGTTGACGGCCATGCTCGAGGCAGCGAGTTTGGCGAAAAGCTCGGGTTTGAGCACCACTTGCTGTTTGTTGTCCTCGGCGTCGGAGACCTGGTGAGTATCGAGGCGGGAGAGGGCGTCGGCTTGGGTGTTGGATTTTCCAGGGCGATGGGTGAGCGAGAATTGGAAACGGGAGAGGTAGAGGGCCCAACGAGCTTGTCGACGGCTGAGGTCTTGTGCAGTGCGCCAGTATTCAAGGTTGGAATGGTCGGTGACGATCTCGAATGGTTCGGGGAGTCCTTCCAGGAAGTGGCGCCAGTCCTTGAGAGCCTCAATAATGGCCAGCATCTCTCGGTCGTAGATCTCGTAGTTTCGCTCGGCGGGCTGCATGGAGGCGGACCGGAACGCGACGGGGTGCCAGAGGCCGTCGTCCTGCTTCTGGAGAAGGGCTCCTGTGGCAAAGCCAGAGGCGTCAACCTCGATGCGAGTGGGACCATCAGGATCCCAGAGTGTCAGGATGGGGGCAGACGTGAAGGCATTGCGGAGGGTGTCGAAAGCCTGCTGTTGAGGTTCGTTCCATTGCCAGGGGACGCTCTTCTTGGTGAGGTCATTGAGCGGTCGGGCGATGGTGGCGAAATCCTTGATGAAGCGACGGTAGAAGTTGGCGAACCCGAGGAAACCACGAACAGCGCGGAGGTTGCGGGGAACTGGCCAGTTGCGGACGGCTTCAACCTTGGCGGGGTCCATGCTGACTTCGCCCTCGCGGATGATCAAACCGAGGTACTCAATCTCTTGACGTTCGAACTCGCATTTCTCCGGCCGGAGGTACAAATCGTGTTTCTTCAGGCGGTGCAGGACTTCGTGTACAACTTGTCGGTGCTCGTCGAGTGTGGCCGTGAAGATAAGGATGTCGTCTAGGTATACCGCAACCTTTCCTCCAGCGATGAGGTCCGAGAAGATCGAGTTCATGAGAGCTTGGAATGTCGCCGGGGAGTTGGTAAGTCCGAAGAACATGACGAGTGGTTCGTAGAGTCCCTGGTTGGTGGCAAACGCAGCCTTCCACTCATCTCCTTCCTTGATCCGGATGTTGTTGTAACCCCAGCGAACATCGAATTTCGTGAAGTACTTGGCACCGCGGAGTCTGTTGACGATGTCGGAGACCAGGGGAAGGGGGTAGCGGTTCTTGACGGTGATCTCGTTGAGCTTGCGGTAGTCCTGAACAAAGCGGAGCTTGCCATCCTTCTTCTTGACGAAGAAGACCGGGGAGGAGAGAGGAGACTTGGAGGGTCGGATGTATCCCTTCTTGAGGTTCTCGTCGAGGAATCGATTAAGCTCTTCCTGCTCGTTCTGAGACATGGGGTAAACCTTGGTGCGCATGGTAGCCGGAGCTCCGGGAATCAGATCAATGGCGTGGTCCCAGGGTCTGTGTTCAGGTAGGCGATGCGACTCGGACTCGGAGAAGACGGAAGCGTGCTGACGATACTGCGGGGGGACCATCTCTTCGAAAGTCTTCTGGGGCTTGGCTTTCTGAGATTTTTCGGCAATCTGCTGGGAGTAAGTGAACCCAGCGGCACACCAGAGTTCATCGCCGGTTTCCTCAATCAACCCTGCTCGTAGCCATTTCCTGCGAGTGGTTCGGTTGGCACGGATGCGACAGAGGGGCGGTTCGACTGGCTCGGGCTCAGGTCCAGGAGTGAGGCTGGGGTCGGGGGTGGGGAGTACCGGAGAAGGGTCAACCGTGGTATCAATCTGTTCCAGGATAGCATCGCCAGAGGGAGTTCCTCGACTGGGAGGGTGTGCGTCCTCGTCTGGAATCTCCTCGATAGTGACGCTAGAGACCTTGGAGGGGACCTGGAGGGTGCCATTGCGCCAATCAATGGTGGGGTTGATCTTTCGAAGCCAAGGGAGCCCCAGGATAATGTCCTCGCCCCCAAGATCGGCGATAAGGAAGTCGGTCCATTCGGAGTGACCATCAACTGTGAGCTCTAGCCGTGCGAAATGTGTGATGTTGCCTGCCTGGTTAGGGGTACCGTCAATGTTGAGGAGTCGGATGGGGTGTCGGAGGGGGAATGTGGTAAT